AGAAAGGTCCCTAGACCTGGCCCAGTCCTCACTTTTCCTGAGACCTAATAATCCTGCTTTTTCTAGATTCTAATGCAGGTGTATCCTTTCAATACCACCCCCATCTCTTCATTCCCATCCCCTGGTGGTATGTAAAGTGCCATCTCTGGAATCAGACAGACTTTAAATCAATGATTTGGGGGTAATTCATTTAATTCCTAACCTCAGTTTCCTTACTTGTAAAGTAAATACAATAAAGTTAGTTATTTCAGAAGATTTTATACTATTTTTAATATACCACAAAGCTTTGTACTACCCTGACAAATAATTTCCTTGAATCACATTTTGTTACCTGAAGGTGAACACAGATAGTCAACAAATTATCAATCAAGATGAAATAACCAAAGTTTATTTTCATGCAGCATCCCTCAGTAGGGAGACGACCACCTTTCATAGATGCCCAGTTCACTACCTTTCATGACAACCATTGTCATCCCTTTGTTGAACTAAAAAGAGCCGGCTCACTGTAACCCAGTGCACTTCTCTTTATGCCATCCATTCTAAGCACCTGTATTTGAATTATCTATGCATTGTATTAATATGTAATGTAAAGATTCATAGCAACCCTACTCTTCTTTAAAGCAACAAGGTAAGATAAAATGTGAGTGTATGCACACATGCATGTGTGTATGTGGGGAGGCACGCACATGTACTGAGGGGTTGGAGGACAGGTTGTAACCTGTGAGAGAGAGTTAGCCGTACACTTTAATGGGTTCATACAGTTGAGGATTCTGTTTCTGTCTACATTCAAAGGATTGATGAACATTTTGGGTGTCTGAAAGAAGGAAATTAGGAATTTTTAAAAATTTCTCTTTACTTAACCAGTGTTGGAACAAAGCCCCAACTGCTATGAGTCAAAGAGCAAATTCCTAGATATGGAAGCACTGGCCTAAATCCACTTGGCCCTGATAATATTAAAGGTCAGTAGTCTTTCACTTAATAATAACTGATAATGTACATAAATAGCACACACTGTAGCTCTAAGAGGAAAATGGGAATGAAGCAGCAATAACTTTTGTTGCACTGTTGCTTTATATGAACAAGTTACTTATTTTATGAAGGGGACAGATTAAGTGATAAAAATAATGGTCTGAAAATAAAGCTCTTTGTCATTAATATGTAGTGTATAATGGGAGATGGTCTGTGATGGTTGCTGGCACTGAGATTACAGAGGACATTCTTCTTAGAGCCAATGAACTCATTTCTCCAGGTGTGGCTCCCTTGATCTTTTGTCAATTTAGAAATAGGGTGTTGGTGACCACAGTGGGAATGGCTAAGGGAAATTTGCCACTACAAATCATTTAAATGCTGTGTAGTAGACATTTAGGATGAAGACATCAACCTTCATATGTCAGCAATGATAACACCTGCAGAAAAAATATGAAGGTGGAGAGGGGAATAATCATCACAGATAATTTATCTTCTTTCCTTATGGTGAAACATTAATAGTAAAACCTACCCAAATTGGTCATATTTATGTACTGTGAACATTGGGAAATATGAATTAAAATTCAGCAGAATAATGTGCAAATGATTCAATAGCTCAATCAGATGTGGGAAAAAAAGCTTTGCATCTTTGTGATACATGTTCCTCTTAGGTCACATATTGCTGATTAAACCACGAAACATAAGAAAAGAGCATTCAGAGTCCCTGTTTATATCGTTTCAGCTAAGATTCAGTTCATTTAACTGTTTCCTTTATGATGGAACTAAGGCAGTTCACTCAATGACCCAGAGAGGCTTGTTTTAGAAATCCCATGTAAGGTAGTGTCAGCAAAGATAGGAAGCATGTGAAAATCACCTTCAGGATTTTATGGCTCCATGTGCATAATAAAGAGAAGCTAGGATGGTGACTGAGGTAGACCAGTGATTCCCACACTTAGCCGATTATGAATCTCACCTGGAGGCATTTGCTACCAATACAGATAGAAGCCCTTTCATTGGAGAGTTTGAGCTAGGTGACTCTTACTAATGCTTGAGAAAATCTGTTGTAAATGATATGTAGTTACTAAAGAAAAAATTGAACTTAAATTACAGGATACAACATTTTGGCTACTGTTTTTGATGCTAAAAGGCTAAAATTAGAAGACTGAATTTAACTTTGGATAATGGGGCAATGAGGGAATTATCGTAGTACTATAACTCACAGAACTCGAAAGAATGTAGTACAAAATAAGTGATAAAAGATATATTGAAAGACAACCAGAAGAATTGATCGATAAACACAGGAAAAAATTCAGACATCCAGCTATTTAATTAGAGATGTAATAAAATTTATTGATATAGCTGTTCTACTTAATGGAAACTTCCCTGAGGCCTATATATAAAACTGATGAAGTGCATGACAGTGGCAAATATGAAACCAAATCGTCAAAGCAGAGTCAGCTATTGTCTTGGCAACTGGTGTTGATTTACATCTATTGATCGGTCCTCGTTGATACCCAATTGTATTATAAGTGAAAGAATAATCATCCTCTTTAGTTGAGTAAACAAAAAGAGTAATTTATTATACAACACCAAGCCAATATATTTTCACAGTAGAATAAACACAACACAGAAAGAGAAGAGAATAACCCATGGTTATAGGCAAATGGCTAGCTGTGAAACTCATCAATGGATCAATCAACTATACTTATTAGGGCCTACTGTGGGCCAGGCACTTGTATTAAGTACCAAGGGTGCAAAGACAAACAAGACATGGTCCCAGATCTCAAGTATCAGTTACTTAGAATGGTCTTCTGGTATCTAATTGAGAGCTAAGTTGACTTTTAAATGGATCATGTGTGCAAGTATAAAAGTAGAGGATACACAATCATTTAAGAGAGAGATGTTTTTCTCTCTCGATATCAGTAACCTTGTTATTTTAATATAAAGCCTATGCATTTATTGCTTTTAACAAATATTAAGGAATTAAAACTTGTAAAAGTGATTTGGTTAATTAAATGTAAAATTTGTACATATAAATTTGATTTGGTTATGCTGCTCTTCTTTTATATATATGTACCTCTTTAGTAAAAAATTATTCAAGATAAATCATTTCTATATTCAATAGATAATACATATAACATAATAAATGGTTAAACAATTTAAAAAAATCACCCCTGACTTTATTCAGTCAATTTAGTTTTGTAAACAATTAAACACTTATTCAAGTGACTAAAAGTTATGAAGGAACCAGTGACCACTTGGGTGTAAGAATGTTAAACATGATTCTCACTTTAGTGTAATTAGATATGCTTCTGCTGATGTTGCCTATATAGCAGTATAATTTACATATATTGTGAGGGATTATTTCTATGGGTAAATCCCCATTTCTCTGTGAGAATGAGGTAACAAGCATCAGTAATCAGTAATAAGCATCATGTAAATTCAGCCCTACAAAACATGTGCATGCCAGCGATACTTTGAGCAGACTGGTTGAATTTTTAGAAAATATTTTCAAGATCAAGTTATTGGTTACTGATTCTGTTCTGTTTAGCTTTCAGGAAGCAATAAGAGGATTTTTCTCCCAATGAAGTTTTATATATACAATGAAGCATGACAATTTAAGCTAAATAACATAGAACATTTTTGTCCATCCTTGTGGAACTTATTTTTGGTAAACCATCAGGGCTCTGTATTCAGAAGGCCCAGTTATATATTCTGGATAAACAAGTATTACAGATTTTCCAGGAGTGAACACCCAAGACAATAAACTGAACACAAGAACTAAAGGGAAGGAGTGTAAATTCTCTTTTTCCATCAATCATAATTCTTCAAAATCTTACAATGCATGCAGATCCTCATATGAAAATCAATGATATTTAGATGAGATGGGCACAGAATTGTAGTAGAAAGCTTTGGCTGCTAGCATGACAGTGAAGGTAACCTTTGGTATTTTTAAATTTATTTTACATTTAAGCAAAACATAGCATTAGTATCCTATCAATTTTTGGTACACTGTTAACATGCGCATTAAAATTAGAATAACATTTTTGATACACTTTTTACATGCACATTAAAATTAGAACAAAAGCAAATGTATACAGGTGTGACACCACTGGGCATAAATGTCTAAAAGAAGTACACTCTTCCACCTAGAAATAAATGGAAATAGATACTTGATACATATATGATATATATATATATATATATATATATATATATATCCTGTGCAAATAAGACCACCTGTCTATGCTCCTGAATCTTGAATAATGTGGCATTTTAGAGCTCAGGATCATAACCACATCTAATGATGAATTAAACCATAGAAAGCTTTAGCTGGCCTGCCACTGAAGGATTGAACCTAATTACTCTTTGAAATGACTTTGAATTACTCTGGAAAAGGCACATTATGTGTGATATCTTAAGAACTCTTTCCTTACTAGACAGGGAAAAACAGAAACTTGAGTACAATTTTTCAAATATCCAAACTCTTTTCATGATCTTTCTAGTTAAGGCTTTGGCTTTACAGAACTACTATAAATGTGATAACTTCTTGGTGACAGGAAACAATTAAGATGAAAAAAGGAGACTGCCAAAGGACACATCAGTATTACTAATGAATACAGAAAATATTCTCATACAGTAGATAATGAATTTGAGTGTTTCACTTTCTAACTGAGTCAAAACCTGTCCTTTTATTCTCTTCAAATAGCATCTGGAGACACCAACAAAAATGATAATATATTCTTACAAATAAGAATATAATAATATTGAATACTCAATGTAACTTCTGTGCCTGAGAGATATTTACCAGACTTAAAATTATGAGAAAACACAGCTGTTGATTTACCACTTAAAGTAGCTTACATGTTTTAATACAATGTGGTATTCCTAAAGATAAAGTGGCTTAATCATTAGAAAAACATCCTTAATGAATATATTAAGCAGTAATATCTTAGAAAACAAAACAAAACTAGGAATAAGACATGTTAATATAGGAAATGCAATATTCACTGATAAAGTGACATTCTTACTAATTACAAAGTTCCACAACATAATAAGCTTTACGAAAATGGGTCAAAGTTTAAGATGCCGCTTTACGAAGGTCAAGCCGATGATCCATTAAGTAGGTTATGACTGCGTTATTTTAAATACATGTATCGTTTTAAGAAACCTCTTCACATGTCTGCACGAACAAAAGAAGCAAATACTCCATCTTCGCGGGCCAAGAGGCTTTCTGGAGTGTCATATTCTAAAATATTTCCTCGCTTCATCACAATGACTAGGTCTGCCGTCAGAATAGTGTGAACCCGATGCTGTGAGTGAAAAGAATACGTGTATTTGTTACAAACTTCAGGGTACAAGCCAAAGCAATGGAATATGCATATTTCACTGGTTATTCAGGGACATTTCTTTGTCTTGGGGTGAAAGAAGGTACGAGAAACACAGCCCTTCTTTTTCTTTCTTATTTAAAGTATTTATTTACATACTTTTAAATACTGGCCAGTGTGGCTGGGTCTTATATGGGCTGTATTAAATTGAGTGTAGCTAACATAGTAGTTGCATCATTTTCATGGAAGTGTAAGTAGGCTAGCAAATGTTTATCAAATAATTAAATAATAATAAGAGCCATCATGAGCCATTTGGGTTATAGTTTAGTCTAGACTAAAATTATCTCTTGTGTAGAGTCTCAGCTAATTCTGTAAGCTAACACAATTTGAAGAACCCTGGAAAGTGGTTTGATTCTGGGAAGGCAACACGGGGAAGTCCATTCTGGCATGCAGTATTATAATGGATTATCCAGGACTTTAGACATGCCATCTCTTAGGCTTTAGATATCACTGCCACTCACTCATTCTCTCCACACGGTACCCTTTGGAGAGAAGCTTTGGTGTTAGTAATTAATAATAATAAAAGCTACCAGTTATTGAGCATATACTATACATTTAAAGTGCTCTACACACATACTTGTGAATCAACAGAACATTCCTCAAATGTCGGTGTTATTTCTCTCCACTTTATAGGGGAAACCATTGGGGTTCATAGAGATAAAGCAAAATCAGAAGATCATGTAGATACAAGTAGAAGAACCAGCATTAAAATCAGATTTATTAACTTCAAAGTGTGAGATATTTCCACCCAACCATCGAACCATTCGTAGGGAGTATCTGGTCCCTCAGAGGATGTTCCCCTCCCATTATTATCGCTATGGTTAAGAGCACAGTCTCTGAAGTTAGACCTGGCTCATACTTTGGTTTCACCACCTGTTAGGTGTGCAATCTTGAGCAACAAACTGAAATTTGTATGCCTCAAGTTTCACATCTGTAAAATGATGGTAATAATAGTATCTGCCTTGGAGAATGGTGGTGAGGATCAAATGAGATAATCCATGTAAAAAAATTCAGCATCTTGTCTGACACATACCAGCAAATAATAAATGGTAGCCAATACTATTTTTTTTTTCCATTTTCTTCATTTGACTTCCAAGACACTGCTGTCCTGAATGTCTTTCTTTCGTTCTTTTTTTTTTTTGAGGAAGATTGGCCCTGAGCTAACATCTGTTGCCAATCTTCCTCTTTTTTTCCCCAAAGCCCCTAGTATATAGTTATATATCCTAGTTGTAGGCCCTTCTAGTTCTATGTGGGATGCCGCCTCAGCATGGCTTGAGGAGCGGTGAGTAGGTCTGCACCCAGGATCTTAACTGGTGAACCCCGGGCCGCAGAAGCAGAACGTGTGAACTTAACCACTGCGCCACCGGACTGGCCCCTACTATTTTTTATTTTTAAGATGTACAAGGGTGGGGCCACTCCATGGCTTAGTGGTTAAGTGCGCGAGCTCTGCTGCTGGCGGCCCGGGTTCGGATCCCGGGCGCACACCGATGCACCGCTTCTCCGGCCATGCTGAGGCCGCATCCTACATACAGCAACTAGAAGGATGTGCAGCTATGACATACAACTATCTACTGGGGCTTTGGGGAAAATAAATAAATAAATAAAAATTATAAAGATTTACAAGGGAAATATCTGTGCAGTGGGCCTTTTTGCTACTCTTGCTGAGATAAGTGCTGTCTAATAGAAACATAATGTGAGCCACAAACGTGAGACATGTAATTTTCAATTTCTTAGGAGCCACATTTTAAAAGCACAAATAAACAAGTGAAATTCATTTTAATAATATATTTTAACCTGATATAGCCAAAATGTTATTTCAACATGTAACCAATATAAAAATTATTAATGAGATCTTTTACATACTTCTCTTAGTACTAAGTCTTTGAAATCCAGTGTGTATTTCACACTTACAACACCTCTCAATTCGGAGTACCTGTATTTCAAGTGCTCACTAGCCACAAGTGGCTACGGGCTACCATATTGGACCTGGACCCTGCAGGTCAAAACATCAGCATGCTGATGGGAGTGCCAAAACTAAAAATGCCATCTGTTTAACAAGCCAAGGTCCAACCTAAAGCTGTCCAGGGCAAAGGCTTATCTTGTACCCTGGGCCATGTAGATAGGGTAGTCTCAATGTTCATGCTTTCAAAAAAGCGAGCAGTCATAGTTGGGACTCACTAGAGGGGAAAAGAAATACATATGTGGAATATGATCAAGATGCCAGCTTAGAACATGCACCACTATTTTCTTTTTTTTTCTTTTCATTAACACTCTTTAATTAAATTTACTAGAAATCAACTTGAGCTAGCTTATAGAGATATAATGGGAATTTATTATGAAGATTCAAAGCACCACTATTTTCATAGACCTATCATTCACTGAATATTGGTAACCAATGATATATATTTAGGAATTAACAAAATTTGAAGGATAATGTTTATTTATTGTTGAGAAAGGACTAGAGCCACTTGCACACCCATACATTTAGAAAAAAATAAACTTCAACTTAATGAACCGTTTAATAGCTGCTGTGCATTTTCCCTCCAAAAAACATTAGTTCTTCAATAAGCATATCATAGATGTTAAAAAAGAGAATTTGACCTCTAAATCCATAAATAGAATATTATAAACAATGCCTTGTTATACTAAAATCATGTTTATTTTAAAAAATAAAAATAAAAACATTGAAAATCTTGGCCAATAAAAATAAATATATCCAGTGTTTATTTCATTAATCTAAATTATTTTTTGTTTGAGAAAGTGTGGTGTCAATTGTAAAATTGATGAAATTTTCAAAATGCTGTGGAGAAATTAATCTAATCAAGAGTGAAGAATAAGTTGCTTTCATAAATAAATGCCATGCACTATTTTGGTGCATGAGGGCTTCTTTTTAGAAGCCAGAGAAAGTTTCTTTTTAAGTTATTACACAATTTTCAGTGGCAGTTGTTAACAAAATTACCAGAATGGCTTTTAGCAGGGAAGGAAAAAATAGTTAATAGAGCTGAGGATCATTCTACAATGGGTCTACTGCAAGTTGGCAGTGCCCTCTCTCCTATGAGCCTCTTAAGAGGAGTTGGTCCACAGTACTTCATCCTCCCCACAGCTTCCTGTATGTCCAGGGTGGAGAACTTGAGGTATCCTGGTGGCCACCTCCACATTAGTGGTCTTGAAATGAAGAATGGGTGACAGACACGAGGTCTATGAAAAGTATTCAGTGAATGTAGGCAAACAGAAATCAGAGAAGAGAACATAATATTTTGGTTGAAAATACAAATTATGCTAAAGTAATCTTCCAGGCCTTGACTAAATGGGACCACTCAACAATACCATGCTTCATGCAGAACAGAGAAAACTAGTCTTTTGAGTAGACACGGGTCTACTCCTTCTACCTTTACCTGTCTATTTAGGGGCAACAGAAAGTTCTTTCTCCTTCAAAATATCTCCTTACATTCTCCACTGAGAAAATTCTTGAAAATATTAGAGAACTATTTTTCAAGTTAGCTAATTCTCTTACCCATTAAATCATTCACACTTTAGTGTGAATCACTCACACTAAAGTATGAATGAGTTATCAGGTGACTCTCCTCCAGGGCAGAAGGAACCACAGAGTTCACTGGGAAAGTGAAAGTGGCCTTTTTTTTACTTAGGCCCAGTGTACAGAAGGTGGGCCCTAATGGGGAACCATTTCCTGCCACCTTGAAAAAGCTGCACTTCAAAGGGTGCTCTTTCTCCCATGCATCATTCACAAAATTGGAAGCATAAGCGAGCACGCAAGCACATAGCTCCCATTACTCAACAGTTAAACTTAAGTAATTATTTAAACAATGCAATCTTCAGGGCAGGTAAGGAAGATATATGGTATTTTTAAGGACATTTACAAAATATCCCCAAGGAATAGTGAAAGTGATCCTTAGGATAGAGACAAATCTGGTTCTCAAGTTTTCATCAAAGCACCATCTTTTGCATGCATACATTTGAAAACATATGCACGTGCCTCATTCGGTACTGACAGTAACTGAAGCACCTGGTTGAGCTGATTTGTATAATAATACCCTGTAGTTAGGTCACCACATCCCTCCCCTTAATCACTGCCTTAGCCTTGTGATACTGAGGGGGTGGCGCTAAGATAACTACCAGAGGATGGGGTACTGGCAGAGTAGCTCATGACGGTCTACTTGTTGGTCATCACCAAAGTGGAAAAGAGGCCATTCTTGTGGGCGAGCAAGTTTGGAACAGTATCACACTCCACTAAAATACCCTCAGAAAGGACTAAAACAAGGCCTGCATCCAAAATAGAAGAGACACGGTGCTGGAGAGAAAAGAAAAATGGAAAGAAGAGAAGAGAATCAGCAAGAGGGAAAATGTCCAGGTGATTCATTTAAACAATAGTTTCCGTTCAACATTAAACCTAAATGTGAGCGAGAATCCATCCCTCTGCAGAGGAAGAGAGAAAACCAGGGCCTATTCTAAGTAAGCTGTCACATGAATTACAAAGATTTAAGCAATTCTTCAATTTGATTGGTGCAACCTAAAGTCAGAGAAAATATCTGCCTCAGCTTGGAGGTATCTCCATTGCCTTCTTTTTTTAAACAGTTAAGTGAATAAAACATAGAAATTAAGTATAAATAGCAGCAGATGGACAGTCAAATGTAAGAATTTTGCTTCTGAAACTGTTCAGCAGACCATTAGATTACTGAAAAGAGAATTATGCCATATAAACTACATCTGTATCTGGTGAAAAAGCACAGGTCATGACCTATCATTGTAATTTAGGGGAGGTAGGCAGAGCAGTTTGGAAAGAAACAATGTAAAGGCTTTCAGAGCATAGTTGAGTTTTTGTTTTGGGATTTTTTTTTTTTTTTGCACAGATACAGAACATTAGCAGAGAAATACATAATTCACCATAAATATATTTTAATTGCTCAAAAAAAAAGATTATTGACTCTTGGAACAAAAACCAAAGAGGAGTAAATCAACTCTGTCTCCCATACTTACAGCTATTGTAACCACGGTGCGGTCTGCAAAAGCTGTCATTACCACTTTCTGCAAAATATTTTCCTGCCAAAAAAGAAATAAAGTCAGTTTGAATTTTCTTTAGACTACTTTCTCTCACCATAATATTTTATCCCCAAGAACAAGAGTCCACCATGCCCAATCCCTTCTGATAACTCCCGCTCCTAAGTCTTCCGCAGGACGGACAACAGGGAGCAGTCCCCAGCAGCAAGCTCATGCTGGGTTTGTGGGTGTCTTCAAAATGCAAATACAACACGGTGATCAACCAAAAATGACTGACAGATTTATTGCCAGGGGACTGAAAGAGGAAAAGGAAATCAAACGGGCATGGAAATGCTCACTTGAGTTATACCACAAACAGTATGTATTCAAAACTAATAAAGTCCTAAAATGGTGTTAACCTTTGGGTCAGAAAAGGGAAAAAATGAAATACATGCCCCCAATTTGGATTTTGACCCAAAAAAGAACATTCCGGGCAGGAACCATTTTTATTCCCACCACAAACTGTTATCGTTACGTTTTAAAAGAAGTTCTGGGTGAAGATTCTACCGCTTTCCTAGAGGAAAGCTTGATTACCTAAGACATAATGTGAAAGAGTTCTTTCTTCCAATCAAGTTGCTTATTTGCCAATCAAATCATTCTCATATTCTCTCTCTCTCACACCTCTATTGAGGCAGTATTATCCTTATAATAATCCCCAATACTGTAAAACCTTAGTAATTAATAGTAATTTTGATGTAGTTATGCTTATTCAGTGAAATGGCTTGATTAGGAACTAACTACCTTATTGCTTTAAATTATGTTAACTTTGAGAAGGATATATAACTTTGTACAGGTACCTTATTGGATTAGTCTTACTTAATAGAAAGAAATCATGTCAAATTAGCATCTCCATATATAACGGGCACTTAATGATCTTGAAACTGTTTCACTTTTTGGGGTAGTTTTACCCAGTCTAAAGTGTACAGCAAGAAAATAACATAAGGTTGTGGATGTTTTCTATTTTTGTCCTTTCTGATGTCAAACTTTTAATACGAAGTTAACTTTTATAAGAATAAAATAAATTGCCAGCTCATTCAGTTTGTGGTTTAATGTGACCTTTTCTTCACTTGATTATAGCCTTGCAAACAGATCTTTCTTGGACATATTTGATACTTTTAAATAATTTCTTTCAAAAGGCAAAGTTTCTGGCTTATTACCATGAACACATTGAGAAGGTCATTATTAATTCTAGCCATTATTAATTCTAGTGAATCCTTCTTCTTCAAATTGCTTTAGAAAGAAATGATTGGTTTTGATTATCAGTAGATTCTATCAAATAGAGATATGTATCCTTCATTTTAGAACTTCCATGGCATAATACTTGAATATTTGACTACAGTACAGTACTGTCATCAACTGAGCCCTGGAATTTCACTGTTTTGAGAATTTATCAAAAAGTGATGGCAAAGTTGTTTTATGTTTATGAGCAACAGGAACTCCTCTAAAGCAGGTGTTGCGTCTCCTTTACTGTAATTCTCAATGTGCTATCATTCATTGATGAAGGAGATGAATGAGATGACACTCAAAATAATAGTACTGAGGATTCAGAACCCCATCAGGAAAAAATAAATTGTAATTTTCATGTGCATTTCTCCAACTCGTCAATTTAAAAGGCTTAGAGAATGCACTCACTGTGGCCATGTCAATGGAAGCTGTCGCTTCATCCATGATGAGAATGCTGCTCTTGCGGACAAAGGCCCTGGCAAGGCAAAACAGCTGTCTCTGTCCAACGCTGAAATTCTCCCCACCTTCAGTGACAACGGCATCTAAATCAGAGGAAGAAGCAAGGATTTCATTAAAGAAATGCTACTAACATTTTCCATGGGCAAAGTAGTGAAAAACAGGTTAGATGATGTAACAGCTAGCTGGATATCACTTTGTACTGGTGCAAGGATTTCATATGTGAAAAGCAAAGAAGATCCTGGGCCATCCTATTTTTGACAACAGATGGTAAATTACCTCCTTATAGTAGGATATAAAATATTGCTAAATATTTTGAAGACTGGAAGACCTTGGAGGTTATTTAATTATGTAATCTAATTTTCCAAGAGATTATTTACTGTAATTATCTAAGGCCCAGAGAGATTAAGTGGCTTGCCGAAAATCACATAGCTCGTTTATAGTAGAGCTTGATAAGAAACAGAATATTCTCAACTCCAAAACCCATTCTCTTTCCATTATACCATCCCACTGGACTATAAGCTCCAAGTAGGCAAAGACTGGGTTTGTTTTTGTTCATCATTGTATCCCCAGCACTTACCATGGTATCTGACTTAGTAGCTGAATAAAATATTGTTGCATGGATAAATGAATGTATTCTTATTATAATTTCCTTTTTTTGTTTCCATCTACATTTCATAAACTACTATTGTGAGTTTCAGATAAATTCTGTTTCCAAAATACCTCTTTTATTATAATTCAAACACTTTTTCATAGTATGAAAATGGAGGGGAAATTTCCATTATTTTATTCTCACTGAATCAAACTCTCATAATTTCTCACTCTTGGAGGCTATGCATTTATTCTCCAAATTTTAATTTATATAATAAATAAGAAGGATGCTGGGGATGATGAATGTTCTTCACTAGAGTTGGCCTGAACTAGAACTTTATCAAGCAATGGATGTAATCTTTATTAAGACAATGAGCATAAACAATGTCCAATTACATAGTGTAAATACAATCCCCTGATGTTTACACTGCACCATAACCCCAAACACTATGCCCACGATTCAAAATAGGTGCATGCAGCTCTCATGTTAGTGAAGAGGACTATAATGATGTAATTGCCTGTCTTTCCACATATTAACGGGGGGGCTCTAAATACCAAGGGAGAAAGGTCTATAAACATTATCAATTTCTCAAGTGGACTTGCTGGGCTCTCCAGAGGAGACATCAAAAATGATTATAGGAAAGTTCATCCAGACTTCTGGAATTACTTCCATAGTCTGACACTGGCAAGGTCCATAAAACTATCCTTAAAGACATGCTGTCTCAAATTTTGTTTATGAGATGCCTTCTCCCTGGGACTTAATTAAAATCATAAAAGGTATTGTTTTTGAGAAGGTCTTCTTTCCCAAAAAAACTAACAAATAAACATGGTGTTATTTTGTAGGCTGATTTTTTTTAAACTAGATGCCAAAACAACACAAACAATTTGGCAACTACATATTATGTATTAAAATTAGAATATCAACTAACTATTATCTTCCTGATTGCTTTCTTAAATGAGTTCAGATTTTAAGGAAGCAAAAGTCCAAAACCATAGATGTTCATTTCTATGAATTAAAGACTGTCTCGTGAACTCTCGGTTATTTCATTAATCATGCTGTTCTTTTGTTATTCACATGGCTCTTTTGTTCTGTCATCAGTTATTTACCAGAAACTGTACTACCTCTAAGACTGAATTTATATCAGTGCCTGTTTGAGTGCATGTTTCATCCATTACACAAGTGACAAAACTGATACTGCAGCAAGGTAATAGAAAATAATGTCTTCAAAAAAATTATGTTACGTAAATAAAAGGAACATGCCCTCCTGGCAGCAAAGAAAATGGCTGCCAATGTGGAGAAGTCGCCTGCTCCTAAAAGGCACCAAGCACTCTTTGAACCTAACAGCCTCTTCAGTCCCCTTTTCCATTTACTGAGGGTAAGTGAACGTGTAAATCACGTGACAGAATGACCACAAGGAAATATTCTGATTAAAGTGACCTGTACCCACCAATGGTGAAAAGACTAAAGATATAAATGTATTAATGGGAATATTTTGGAAGTGCTCACATGCAACCGAATGTTATACGGTTCATCCTGTTGTACTTTGTGCAAAATCATTAGATTCTGAAGTATCCTAATGACCTTTAGGAGATTATTTTAAATATAAGGGGATTTAACACTAGAATTATGTGATTCTAGCATAAAATGTAGATAGAGACATGTAGAATTAATTGCATATGTAAAAAATAAATGTATTATTTAGAAAATATACCTAGACCTCCTGGTAGAGATTTGACCATATTCTTCAACTGAGCAATTTCTAGAGCTTCCCAGAGTCTGTCATCTGTGCATTTGCACTCTGGATCTAAATTAAATCTGTAGGGAAAAAAAATCAGTTTATTAGTCAATAAATAAAAATAAAGGAATTTTTATGTATGTTTGCTTATCGCTATTCTTTCCTTAAAATGTAAGTCCTATTTGTTTTGTTTACTGCTGTATCCCCAGTATCTACAACAGTGCTTAGGACAGAGCAGGCATTCAATTCATGCTTGATGAATGAATGAATGACCTTAACATCATAAAAAATGGGTTTTGATGATATAATTAGTAAGTTTATATGCATGATAAGATGTGGTAAAATTCATTACTTGGATTCATCCACTTTCATATTGTGTTTAATGTAACTCTAATAGTGTCTAGAAAATACTCCTACAGAACTGATGCTAAGAACATAAATCTATATGGGAACATATCATGCTATTTTGGATGAGCTGTGCTGCACTAACCACAATAGTAGTATTCATAATAAATATATTCAGAGATATAAATTTACTATGGTATTGCTAAATAACTTGATACATCCAGAACTTGTAATTAAATATCGACCAATCTTCCACATATTTTCTCTTCAAGACAAGGAGTAATCAGTAAAAGGAGGTGGCAAATACTTCTTTGTAATTAAGTGGATGGAGGAGGGAAGCAAGAGAGAACAAAGAATGGATGAAATGAGAGAGATGATCTGGTGGATAACACCATGGTGGACTAGGGAGTCAGACAAACTTTATTTGGAATCGCAGTTCTATCACTTACTAAGTGTATGAACTTGGGCAAGTTACAGCTTCTCTGAGGTTTAAAATCCTCATCTGTAAAATGGGGATCATAATATGTACACTAGAGCAATGCTTTGAGGATTTAATGAGACAATATATCTAAAGCACCTAGGAGGTAGTAGATATTTCCATTCTTTTCCTTTTTTTTTTTCCCCCGTGGGAAACTGCAAACCAGGCAGAGAGAAGATTGTAGCAGCTTCTTAAAAACAATTTTGGCTGAAAGAAAAGTTGTGAGGGATAGGGGAATCAAAGTATTAACCAAATTCAATATCTGCAGAGGCTAGGCCAGACGTACAAGAGACAGGCAGGCTATCTTTAGGGTGAAACACCTCAGAAACGTCTACTAAGAATCATTGCCCCCAAGTACAGAGGCAAAAGTGACTTGTAGAATCAAACTAAGAGAGAAGAGCTCCTATAGACATAAAGGATTGGCTTCTATAGGTTAATTGAGCAACTCTAGGGTTTCCCAATCCAAACTGTTGGACAGAATATTTGATCTTACTATCTTGATAATGTCATTTCATACCTACCTGAAAAGCAATTCTAAGCAAAACTCTCCTACGAGCCAAAGGGTAAATCCTGAGGCACTCGGGTTTCTGCTGAATACATCACCTACCTAATAGAACCACTGAATAGTATGGGATCCTGCAGAATGATTGAAAGTCTAGAACGCAGTGTGTGCAGCGGTAGTTTGGAAATGTCTATACCGTCAATGACAATCTTTCCTGTTAGAGAGAAACAAAAATGAGAGGCAAGCAGTAAAATCACAAGGAAAATAATATTTGTTTACAAATTGAAAGTACTTTCCTAGTTCAGGGTTGAAATTCAGAAGATGAAGCTTTGCATTTAAGTATTAAAAACATTATACCTCTCTAAGAAAAATATACCTTTGGATGATATTTTCTCTTTCTTAAGTATTTTCTCATAAAGGGATTTTGAGGTTTTTTTTCAGTTTATGTGATTCATACAAACCAGAAGTACTTTTTTTCCATTAGTGGGTCCTCTTCCTTCCAATATTCCCTGATCCTGGTTCCCTGCTTAGTTTTCCTTCATAGGACATTTTATATACATTTTCTGATCTTTTTTATTGTCTCTCACCCCCAACTAGAATATAAGCTCCCTGGAGACAGGGGTTTTTGTCTGTCTTACTCACTCCTGTGTTGACTGAACAGTATAGTATACTACAAATAAAAAAGTAAATTCTATGATGCAGACATCAAATTTTAATGAATTTCTCCATACTGTACATAGACTTACAGAGACTTGTGCAATCTTGAAGTCCTCTTCTCAACTTGATAGATATATTTTATCGTATCATTTTGTGCAAAGACAATATTGCCCTATGAGATGAGTGTGCCAGGTGAAGAATGGCAGCTTGGTAGCTGGAATCCCTTTTCCAGCTGGATTTAGATTCAAGAGCAGGCAAGGTGATTAGCTTAAACTTTCTTTCAGGAATAATATATGATCTACTAAAATCTTAATAGCCTAATGCAATTAAAAACAGAATTAGTCATTGATAGTCCACACGGGACCTGAAATGATGTTTCTGGACTCACGAGCATTAGGTTAATCTAATAGGTTCAGTCATAACCACAGTTTTTAAAAGAAAAGTGTCCATCATCTTTGGATCGTGTAATTGACTTAAAATGCAAATCTCACTGAAAATCCTTAAAGTATTTGCATATTATTATGAGCCATGGAAAGAGCAAGCTGCTAACTCAGCAGCAGATGCTTACCCTGTTCCTGAATCTAAACCCCAAAGAGACTGCAATTACCCCAGTTCAACTTTGTTGTTCAGAAACTCACCTCTTTATCTCAAGAGCTGTTGTGTAGATTAAATTAAATAATATCAACTGCCAAGTACAATAAAAATGTAAAGCAGTATCGTCATCATCATAGTCATTACAGATAATAATAGTAAGCACTTCCTTGGTCAAAGATGGTCCAGCACACTGCTGGATCCCCTGTCATTCAAGACGGCTTATGTGCTGGCCTATTTCTAGGCCACTTGATAGACTAAATAATGTGACATATTTTTTCTAAAGCAAATATTAAATTATTTCCATGTATCATATTATTAATAGTTTTGTGGATGAATAAATATTTTTGTATATTGTCAACACGTGCTTGCATTTTACAGCAAAGGTTGCCTCCTCACAAAGTGCTTAACATCGTTAAACAATGTTATTAAGAAGATGATGGTAAGAGTCATGCATCAAAATTAAAAATGCAGATTACTTATCTCCTTGCATTTTTTTCCTTTGATGGAAAGAGATATATTTTTAGTTTGTGGGAAGCAAGCCAATCTTCCTCGTGAAATGCTACCTCCAACTGTTGCTATTCCAAATGGGTGGCCTTGTTTTCATTCTACCAGTTTATTAGAATTCTTTAACAAAAATCTCTACAGCTGAGGGCAGGGCTAATAATTTTATTTCCCTAATTCTATGTTCTTTCTTTGCTTCTGGACTGTTTATCAGGAATACCTGCCTCAAACCATGGGCTGTAGGGCAGAAAGTCCTTATAAATATTTGCTTCTTATTTCTGCAGGGTTAGATAAGTTGATGTTGCATTTTTTAAAGGGAAAGCATCACAGGGCCAGTGAAAAAATTTACTTAGTAACTCACCATCAAATATATCAACCATTCTGAAGAAAGCCAGAGATAATGATGACTTCCCACTGCCAGTGCGACCACATATGCCCACCTAAAAAAGCAACTGTCACTCAGAGAGAAGAGGACTCAGACAAAAGAGAGAAAATGGGCAAAAGTATTTTTAACTTAGACCAGATACCATAGTGAAACTGCAATTCTATTCAAATAGTTACATTAAAATCATCATTCCCTTCTCAGATCTCCCTTACAGATTATCATTTTTAAGATAAAAAGATGGAGTCCTCACCAAATCTTCAGTAATTCCATTCTAACTCTTTTTATTTGTATGTGGTTGTGCTGTTTTTCCTTTGTGGCTTAATTTTTGCATTTAGTATATTGTTGATCTAATAAGTACTCCATTTTATCTTAGAAATGATTTTATAATAAAAAATATAATGAGTCTATTTTTTTCTGTACCCTTGCTCTTTTTAAAATAACTGAAATAAATCATTTGGGGACTAGAGTTACTACAAATGCAAAAGTTCTCAAGGGGATGTCTGGTATGACTATGAGCCAGAAGCCAGAAATTTTGAAAAACACAAGTATTGTTGACTTTCTTGATCTTCATGGGAGGCTAATAAATGGCAATAAACTTAGAGAACGTGTATTTGATCTTGATCCTATCTCTCCCTTTTCTCTTTTATGTAGATAATCTGACCTGTAAAGTGTAGGGAATATTACGTGAGCCCAGTGAGAATATACTTGGCTGGGATGTCTGAAGAGCTTAGGTGCTGATGGAATGGTTCTTTTAGAGGTTTTGTATGAAATAAATCAAATGGCAGTAAGCTCCATACCTTTTGCCCAGGTTTGATGTAAGCCTTGACGTGTTTAAGAACAGGTTTCAGATTATTTTCATATCTGACACACAGATCATGAATCTTGATCTCCCCTTCCTGCGGCCAATGTTCTGGAACTTGAGAAGGATCTAGGGGATGAAGGTGGAGTAGGGGAAAACAGAGAGAGAGAGAAAGAGGGAGGGGTAGAAAGAAACACATGCATACTTACATATATTTATACATACAAATATATAAATTGTTTCTAAATTTAAAGTAATACTGAACAAAATTCTGGTTTTTCTTAATAAAAATTACATTCAAAGTAAAGGCCTCTTGATTAAGAACTTTCAAAAATAGTTTTTTTGTATTTGTTTTTGGAGCATTAAACAGCATCACGTCTCTTCAGCATTTCATCACTCAATTCTAGTCAAGATAGTTCATCTGTGAATTGATTCATTTCTTCAGTCAGTTGGTCATCAAACACTTAAGTGCTTAAAATGTGAGAGGTGTTGTGCAAGGTGTTAGGAATGTGGAGAGGAAAGGCACACCTCAAGGTTCTCACTGTGTCCCGGGAGAAGCATACAAGTCAGTCAGCATCTACAGTACTGCGTGGAGGGTCACATGGTGGAGACCAACCTAAGGGGCTCTGGGAGCCCAGATGATGCTAACTCGAGAGTTCCAGGAAAGTTTCAAAAGGAGATGGTGCCTGAGATAAACCTTAAAGAATAAGGGATGGGAAAATTTGTTTCAAATATATGTAGAGAGAAGAATAAAGATAAAAAGAATGCATACCATGTTGGTATGGCCAGAGTGCAAGCTGTGTGGATAGATGATGAGAGATGAGACTAGGTAGGTGGGCAATGGTTGACTAATGAAGGGCCTAGTGGTCTTAGCTAAGTTATCTGGATTTTGCCCTTGAAGACCTGGAAAGTTATTGAAGGATTTAGGCAAAGGAATGCACTTTAAGCATGAGATTTGCAGTTAAGAAATATTATTCTGTCTTCAGTATTGAATTTCCTGCCAATTTTATTCTAGCAAAGCTGAGAATTTCAGTCAGTATTTTAAGATCCAAGTGTCATGACATTTAAGTTAATAAGGTCTTGAGAAAGAGAATTTAATAGTTCATAGTTTAGACTGATAATTAATGTAATAAAGTCTAAATATTTTTATAATTCTCTTTAAATGTTACTAAATAATCCATTTGGACACTGGTTGTATCCAAGACATTTCAGTCCTAAAGAGTCATATCATTTCGGGTCTACCTAGTCAAGCAAAGTCCAGATGAGAAGGGATTCTCTGGATATTGAAGTGGAAAACAAAAACAAAAATGACAATGTGTCTGACACACAACTAATATTTGTATAAAATAAATATATAAGTGAAACAAAATAATATTCAGAACAATACCCATGGTGCCTTCATAGTTCTCAGACTCCATAGTCAAGAAACTGTTCACTTTCTTCACTGCTCCCATCTGGACCTCCAGGTCAGCCAAGTTCCTCACAACCCAATTCAGATAATTGGTTATCTGTGTCAGGTGATAAAAAAATTAACACATTTAAAATGAAGTAGCAATTTTTGCAATCAGTAGATATTTGGAGATAGAATGACTTGGACAGTTCGTGTACATCGTGTGGTACAATTCATAAGTGCTGCAGGTTATCAGAGACCAGAGACGATGTCACAGGAGAAAGTGGGCAAAGAAGGTGTCTGCTCTTCTTCAAGGGGCCTCAAATGTCACTGTTCCATGAAGTCCCAATTTCTCTGCACAACTGATACTTGTTTGTATTTCTGGTGCACTTAACTCATTTATATTCATTCATTTTAGTGTCCCCAAAAGGGTTGTGAGCAACTCAGGACAGGGATCCCAAACAACCTTGGGGGCGCTCTGACCGTGGGGTGTGAGGGTTTCTAAAAATTGGTTCACAATATCAGAAATGAATCCACGCTATCATAGAATGCTGAGTTTGGACCCAAATCTACTGTTATTTACAAGATATCATTTTGTTATGAAGTTCAAATTTCTTCTCTAACATCCATGAATAAGAGTTGAGAATAACTATGGAAAGTACCTCCAACATTGCATGAAAAGGGAGAAAAATTCATGCATACCTACCGTAAGTGCATACAGAAGACCTAAGCCCACCAATCCAGAACTGGAAGACCCACTAATAGATGCAATAGATGCAGTGAGGACAATGCAAGCTCCCAGATAATCCTAAAAAAGAGCAAGAAAAAATATTAATAGATTTTTCCCGAGTTCTTAAACCAAAGATCCCAATCAACTTAGAGAGACGATCACTAGGAGACTACACGTCACTCCTTGTACATACTGTTAAGTTTCAGAGAAAGGTTATCTAAGATATAGAAGAATGATAACTCACACAATTAGGGCTGCAATGGGAGCCATGCAGGGCTCTCATTATATCCATGTAGATATGCGTTCAGAGAAGTTAAAATACCTTGCCAGAAATTAAGCTGTAATTTGTGGCACAACTAGGATCAGACATAGCGCTTCCTTTTTTTCCCCACCTTTTCTACTGCATTGTGTTGCCAGATGAGCAATTATTTTGGGACTTGATTTTCTACCTTAAATTTCATGCGTGTTTATGCCAGGGTTGGGATTAGCAAACTTGAGGGCTAAACCAAGGCCCTTGTAGAAATTCGCCTCTGATTGATTTGTTGGAATTTGTATTTGAACTTTTTGTCAACTATCTGGGCTCAGAGTCTGGGACATTAAATCTACAGATTTCAAGGAAATAAGAATAAGGGTAATATTTGCTCCTAAATTAAAAGTATGGGCATGTCTTAGGGTATCTGAATTGTCTATGATTCAATGATAAACTCTTTTGCGAAATTTTAAAAATTCATTAAGGCCAGCCTTAAACTCGAAGGAGAGATAGGGGACATCTGTCCATTTTCTAACACCTGCTTCCTTCCCCATTTCCCAGCATGCTTAGATATTGATATGTCTTATAATTCAAAAAAGAAATCTTAAACACTTGTCATGCTGATGTGTCACACATCCCAGAAGCAGGAAGAATTTCAGGCATGAGCACTTTCTAGAATTATCTCAAGTCTTATCTCACTGGTGATGACCTTCTCCAGCTAGATACATCTCTGATCCCTCAAAAACAAACAAACAAAGTAACTAGGTGATAAGACTTTAATGACAGTAATGAAGTGTTTTACATGCTGCAGTCAACAAATGAAGTTTTTCAAATCAGCTCACATGTGCGTATTCCTGCCTCTTTTTAGAATAGCTCCAAATATCAAACTTTTGGGGAGCAATCACTGATCTCAGAGATTTGAACCAGAGATCTGCCTTCAAATGCTGGCTTTGCCTATTACCAGCTAGTCATGTCATTTCACTCCCTTGAGACTCAGTTTCTTCTTTGGAAAATAGAAATGACATCCAATTCACAGGGATTTTGAAAGGAATAAAAATGTTATATACCAGTTAGATTTCCCCACCTCCCTGTATCAAGGTGTCTTGTTTCCGCTTACAGAGGTTTGAAGCAAGTTTAAAAGTCTGTGTACATCGTAAAACATCAAAGGTTAAAATAGGCACTAAAATTTAATTCCATAATGATTCCCATGATCTTTACAAAGAATAAAGAAAGAGATCATGCAGAGTTAATCCCTTGAGGCAGTAAATTCCACAGAGGTAGTAAATATTCCTTTGATCGCTTCTTCTTCCAGGTACCCATTTGTTAACAACTTGTCACATCCCAGTAAGACAGTTCTTCCTCTTTTTCCCTTTATTTGAAGCAACAACTATATGGATGCAGAATCTAACCAGTCTGGGCTGCTCTTTTATATTTTATAAATGCCAGTGTGTTCCCAAAATACTTCTAAAATATTTACAGGAACATGAATTATTCCTTCTAGCTCTCTTGTGTAAAGTTAATACTTTCAAACTTATGTTATAAATTTGTCATTTCCATATTATCTTTTCAAAAAAGACTCATAAAGAGTTTCTGTGGTTAAGTCTCAGAAACGAAATTAGTACAAGAGGATACTTCCAGCAAAGTGCTCCCAGTTCGATATAAAGAAATATGCCATTTGGCTTCTGAGAAATTTCTGTGGGCAACATATATGTTAAGGGTTTGAAGCATGGCATGTTTTTATTAATCTTTATTCTCTACTTCCTCCCAGGTGACCTCATTGGGAAGAAGAGCCTCATTCATTCATGCATCCATCCTTTCATTCACTCATAAATTCTTTTAAAAGTGAAAGTTCATATAACTTCCCTGTTTAGAATTATCAATGCCTTCCTACTGCACTTATAATGAATTCAGGCTTTGATGAATTTCAAAGCCTTAAATGACACAAAGTCTGGATTCTAGACCCTGCCTCCTCTGACCTTATCTGAGATTCCTTTCCTGCTCCTTCACTCTGCTCGGACCACGCTGGTCTTCCTGTTCTTGGGAACACACCAACTTTGTTTCTGCCAAGGGTGCTTCCCACAGGTCTCTGATACCATGCTCCTTCTTATCATTTAAGAGTCAGCTCAAATATCACCTCTTTGGAGAGGCCTTCCTTTCTTGGCCCCACCTCCAGCTCTGGAGCTGCTTTTCTTTATCCCATTGTCCTGTTTTATTTTCCTCCCATCACTTAGAGCTATCTGAAATGATCTTATTTGCTTATTTGTTTACATATTCATTGTTTATCTACTCTCACTAGAATCTAAGTTCCACGAAGACAGCGTCTTGGTCTAAATTTTTACCACCATTATCTCCAGCAAGAGGAATAATGCCAAGTACCTTATTAAGGTCTAATAATTCTTTCTTCTTCTTTTTTTTTTTTTTTGCTGAGGAAGACTGGCCCTGGGCTAACATCCATGCCCATCTTCCTCCACTTTATATGGGATGCCTGCCACAGCATGGCCTGACAAGCAGTGCGTTGGTGCATGCCTGGGATCCGAACCGGCGAACCCCGGGCCACTGCAGTGGAGCACACGCACTTAACCTCTTGCGCCACCAGGCCGGCCCCAAGGTCTAATAATTCTTTATGGAATAAATGACTGGATAAATAAATTCATCCCTTCATAAAACATTCACTGAGTTTTTCCATGAGCCAAATATCTTCTGACTTTTTTAAGGATTCCTATGAATGATTTAATTCTCCACCAGTCCCTTTTCCAGACTTTAAGAGTTAAACACATAAAACTATTACAAGGATGCGTTTTTAATAAAGTGGGAAGTCCAACATGAAGTTTTAGGATCTTTAATCCCCCACTTAGAACTGTAATATGACTATCTTTTAGAAAGCTTTGCTGTGCATATTCTAAAGTGAAAAGCACACTTACTTAGGCCATGAACTTTATCATCCAGTTCCAAATTATTATTATTATTTACTATTTTAATTGTGGAGGAAAAACTCATAAAACACTGTGTTCTACGTTACAAAGAGTAGATCTGAATAGGACTAGACTAGAACAAGGCCAACTGAAACAAGAAAATAATCACGGAGTCTCAATAAATGGAAATTAAACAGTAGGCTTAATATAAATATTATAAAAGAAATGCAAAACATTATGCACTCAATGTCTCTCACTCTTTCTCTTTCTCTCTCTCTCTGTTAAATTAATCTACTATGGAATATTTGTATTCTATATCGGGCCCTGGATTCATCCATTATATAGAACTAAACGGTAGAGTCAATTAGATGATTACTTAAACCGCTTTCTACTGAATTAAAATGGTAATTTTGGTAATAGATAGGCAGCCTTATCCTGGCAATAGAGCCAGCAAGAGAAGTGAAAACGGACGAAGGGAGGGAAGCGAGAAGGCTGATTAATAAGTTAGAGTCAATGTATATTTTCTGGGTCTCTTTCACATGGCTAATGTTTTCAAAACTACTTGTAATGTTTTTAGTATGATCATTAGACATGATTATTTTAATTATTAGTCCAGTAAATAAAATACGCCAAAATTTATATGAAAAGATAATGTATAGAGATAATGTTTTTGACACCTCAGAATAAGGCATAGCTTTTTGAGGTATATTTACAGCAAATTTTTCAAGGGATGAACCCATTTTCAAGATCAACAATCTACTAACTTCAAATAGAAATGAAAGCTCAAAAGCCAGTATGTCTGCAGTTTAGTATCTATAATAAAGTTATTTTATTTATTATAAAAATATTCTTTATCCTTTTTGTTTTTTTAGAAAGCTATTATTGTTGTCTTTTAGTTATACCAAGTAGATACTTTTCCGCTCACTCCTAGATTATTACCAGTGCTCAAAATTGGAAATTTTCTGGAGGCATTTGATCAGAATTTTACCTTCCTCTGCATAAGAGAGGAAGCTCCTTTGTGCACAATGTTTATCAAGAAATCTTATAGCAAAATCACTAAATTCCAATAAGTTTCCTACAAATAGTAAAGGAGTATAGAAATGTTGAAATTGATAGATAATGTAAGAGGGTTATGTTAGCTCCCATTTTCCACTTCCTTTACCATTAAACTTAACAAGTCTAATGAATTACAAAGTGACTTTACAGTTACACCTTTCCTTTCCTCTCAAATATGTGAACAACAAAATGGCTTAAAGGCAATAAATTAAGAAAAGAGAAGGAGATGGTCTGAATAGCTCCCACACAGAGCAAATACTTAGGGATCACTAGCAGCATTTATTCTACTGCTAAGGCCTTACACATCCCAACCGATCAATTCAATGAGAAAATACCTATGGTCAACACAATACAATGGAATGAGAGATTCAACTTAGGAAATGGAAGCTACTACATATGTGAATTACCCACTCTCAAAGAGAGCCCAATCTCAGGGCATTTTATCTGTATAGTGATAAATTTTAGCTTCCCTAAATTTGTGAATTCAACACTCCCCTCCAGAAGGAAAGCCTTTGATTCTCAAGTCAAAAGAGAGGCCTCATCAGATTCCTAGTAATTCAATGACATCTATCTATATGTGGGATTATAGTGAAATTATAGTTTTCTATAAAACAGACTTGTAAATAGTTAATAGCAACACAATCTCTTTCCTTCACATAGCCCTCAGAAGTCCATGGTACTGCTGAGTGTCCCAGAAAATAAATTAGGGCTTGCAAATTACAAGATCAGTGCGCACCTATCACGGAATTAGGAACACCCAAAAACGCTCCGTGCAGTTTCACAAAATAGACTCTCGTGCAAGCTCATCCTGAAGACTATTTTCACTTTAGCCTGTTGCTTCTAAAAACCTTTTTTTGGCCTCCTGACGTGAATTTTCTTTTATCCTTTCACCACACAGCAAGACAAAGTCTTGGAAAGACAGCCTTTAGATAGAGTTACACAATTTTCGCAAGTGGAAACACCGATGCCAAAGAACTGGAATTGTTTAGTGCAGAGGGATGAAGAGAAAACGCTGTGCTGAACGAAAGAACGTAAGCAGCATTCAAAGGTTAGAAAAGAGTGACACACTGCACACAACTGTGGCCCACTTCGCTCGGCACCCAGAGGAAAACCATTTCCCTCTGCTGCCAGAGCAAGCCGGGTGGTCACAGTCTGGCTACTTTTCCACCAGCCAAATTATTTTATTCTTTTAGACTCTTGTCCCTTTTTGATTTGAGTGTCTTGTGACCTTTATTTTTTTCCCAATTCAAAATGAATTGAAATGAATTGGTGGGCAGGGCTAAATCTTCCATAGGGAAAACTGTTTACCCAAAGAAAGGGAATAACTTGAGATTGTCTTGACTCAGACATAACATGACCAGGAAAAGAAGCAAGGGCTATATATTTAAAAAATATTAGATAATAAACAGAAATTAGATGAGGCTCAGGGATCTTCCCAAATTCAACAAAAGGTGTTTTACTTTGGTTTCCCTTTCTTCCTTCTCCTTGAGATTTTCTTTCCATAGAATTCAATGGCATTGCCGGGGAAAGCTAAAATTGGGAATGAAGAGAAAGGAAAGAGCCTCAGAAAGCTATAGTAAGCTTTCTCCTCTTTCTCTCCATTAAGGTGCTGAGTCTCTGAGTTAGAGTTGGTGAAATCCCCAGATCTGCATCAGAAAATCTTGCTTGCCTCTTTTCACTTATGCCCAATGTTGTACCTCTCGTAGTACCATTTTAGTTGTGTTTTTGCTGTGGGAACTCCAAGAATATTTGCTATAAGCAGACGTTTTTGTTAATTCACTGAGTAAAATGGCAAAGAATAGGGAACAGAGGGGGTTGTGTTGATTCTGTGGATAAGATCCATGCAGATTCACTGAGCCAAATAGAAGTTTTCATTACTTATTTTTTAAAAATGACTTACAAGGCAGAATATGTCCAGCTGTGGGGTTGAGAGAGCAGTTCACACCCTGGTCTCCAAGGCCCTGTATCTCAACATTCATATTTCTGACACAAGATCCATTTATTTCAAACTGGAATTGTGTCTCCAGTGACGTGGACACGTCCACAGAAGCACAGTAGTAATGAGGTCATTTATATGTGTACAACTGGGAGAAAGGTTATTTCCTAATAGGAGTCATCTCTTTTATTTATTCAATACTCCTACTGTGGCATATGTTCTTGGATTATAGCATTTATATTCAAATAAATATTCTAGTATTCTAATATTCTAAATATTCTGGCTCTAAAGAAAACTCTCAGTGTACTCATAAGAACAGAAAGAGAGTGAATCTGACTGGTTTTAAGTAGGATCTCAGGGATTGTCAAGAGGGATGTGTGTGTGTGTGTGTGTGTGTGTGTGTGTACATATCCACATAAACTTATTGACACTAAATACAATAGACAAAGGAGACAAATCATACACAAAGGACTTTGAAAGTTGACTTCTGTCAGCAGATATGCCTGAAAATTTGCAATAAATCAATAAGTTTCTTATCAAAATTTATCTTTACCCAACAGAAATAGAAGCAAAAGATTCCTTAATTTTTTATATTGGTTTTTAAGGGAGAATTCTGGTAATGAGACTAGATAGCAAATCTTGGAAGAATTATAATATACAGAAAAGAAAAGACATAATAACAAATGTATTATAAAGTACTAGAGTGAATGGCAGATTCTGCCCTTCTTGTTGCAAATATCAGTATTTTCTTCAGGTTCCTCCACGTGGAACTAGAATTCTTTTATATTCAGGTAGGTCCAGCTGCCTTTTCATGTGGGGGTTAAAGTAGTGGGTTGTGAGTCAAGTAAACTAACCCATTCTGAATCTGACTGCTGTTCCTCTCTAATTTTTCCTGACCTTCTCTTTCTTGGCAGCCTGAAGGCTCTAATGTCTTGTCTTCTGGCTATGAGAGCAGAACATATGGTTTGCTTGAAGGTTCCTGTTGACCACTTGTCCATTAACCTGATGGTAGGAAGTGCTACAGAGCAGAAACAGGAGTCAAGTAAGACACTCACTTCAAGTCCAAAGCAAACACACCTGCCTCCTGAAAACATACTTGACCTCCAAGTTTAGGAAAATCAAGTACAAAGGTAGCTACTGACATTCTTCCCTTGTGATCTGGGGACATTCTTTCATTAAGCTATCTCATCATTAATTCTGTTATTCACATGATTGTTTTTTCCTTAGAGAAAAGAGAAATTTAAACAAACAAACAGAAGCTTAAAACAAGGATTTAGAGTCCGGATAGGATCTAGGAATAATGTTTTGGTTTTGTTATAAATCCTAAGCAACATTTCACCTGCCTTTACGTTATCCATAGGTAATTCAGGAGACAGTCTGTCCCGCCCCCATAGATACCTAGAGAGAATTTCTTATCAACAATCAATGCTTCTATCTAACATCTTTGAAATATAATTATGTTATGTTGCCAAATAATTTCTACATAATAACTAATACAGTGGTAGAGAATCTCTGTAAACCAGTGAGAAATCATGACAACTAAAGCTCACGATTCCACATCAATCTGTATCCATCCATCAGCAACTCAGATTTTAACTTGGACTCCTTCATTTCAACCTTATCAAATTCCCTTTTCCACCTGCCCTCTTTGATCTATTGAGTTTTGAAAGAAAGCCTGCATATAGTAGAGATGCTTAATTGGTGGAAGTGACGTCTAAGAATAGTACAGATAAATTCCTTTTCCTTTTCACAAGTGGATAGATAATTATTAAAAAAAAAAAAAAGATTACAGTCAACTCATCATTACCACCAAAGGAGCTTATTCATACTACAGATTACGCAGACCAGGCTGCAAACTATATTCTCTTCCCTCTAGAACTTGTGTCTCATCTGTCTCCTACTCCACACTCCAGCTGGTTGGCTTATTAATCACTTACCAGGTCAGTTACCGTTTCCATTCCTTTACTCATTCATCCACCCATTCAAAAGATATGTTGAGCGCATTTGCTAATCAGTGAGCTAGAGGATTTATATTATTATTTTTAATCCTAACACCTCCAAGAGGTACAAATTTTTATTCCTATTTTATAAATGGGGAACTGGGACTCACATAAATTAGTTAACTTGCTAGACCAACTCTGCACAATGCCAAAGCTTGTGCTGGTTCTCCTACTTCACATGGGAGAGGAGAAGGCAATAGTTGCTTAACTGCAGTTTTTTACATTTTGTGCAAACGTGATCCTCCATTGGCTTAATAATTTTATTTATTTATTTTTTCCCCCCAAAGCTCCAGTAGATAGTTGTATGTCATAGTTGCACATCCTTCTAGTTGCTGTATGTGGGACGCGGCCTCAGCATGGCCGGAGAAGCAGTGCATCGGTGCGCACCCGGGATCCGAACCCGGGCCGCCAGCAGCGGAGCGCACGCACTTAACCGCTAAGCCACGGGGCCGGCCCCCTCCATTGGCTTAAAACACAAAAAGTTGCCATCTCTTCCAGGCCTGTCCAGCTCAGTGAAGGAAATGAGTACATCTGTTTACTTGTCAAATTTGCTTTTTTGAAAAAAAACGGAAGTTATACAAATATGTGCCATTCCATTAACATATGTAATCTAGAGACTAATGAACCTGAAATGAATTTTTGCTTTTCAGGCTATTTGTCTTGCCATTAGCTAAAACATTATGACAAATTTCATCTGTAATGTAAACAAACGAGCTATTTTAAAGTCCAGAAAATGTGAAGTTAGTGCTGAATCTGAGTGGAAGACTAATTTTTACAACTGTCTCCCTCTTTGCATCAGGCCTCTTCTCTGGTTTCCATTTCGAAATCATGAGATGAACGTACCGTTCTGACCTCTAGCCATCTGTTGGCAGCGGAGAGAAATAAGTAGGCAATGTTGTTTGTGTCCGTCAGTTCCAGCATACGTTGCTTAAATCTGGTTTCATGCCTGCAGAAAACAAAAATATTATGATGTTAGCCACACAACAGGAGAAATAATAAAAAACAGCCACACTTACTACAACACTATTTACTCAACATAGTGACAAACTGTTGGGATGAATGACTAACTAGTAAACGGGCTCCCACTTCAAAATAAAGCCCAACTGCTACCGCTCTGCTGCACCCTGACTTAGAGATGGTGTGGTCCCGTGTTTCCTCCCTTTCTCAGACCCCCGCTGCGAAAAAGAATCTTTCTGATGACAAAGTCCTATTAAAGATCATTTCATAAATTTCCATGTAATTGTTGTAGCCGTGAAAACAAGGCATGGCCTATGTTGCAAGGGCCTTACAAAAACCAGGATAAGTTGTACAGAAATGTAACATGCTCTGCCTACTTTTTATTGCATTTATTTTACTTGTCCAAATGGCACGGTTAGTTGGGTGGGAGGTGCTGGATGAAAACCAGGGAAGAGAGGAAACTATGCATTTGTAGCAAACTCATACATACTTTTAAATTCCTCTTTTTGGGGGCCGCCCCAGGGGTGTAGCGGTTAAGTGCACACACCCAGGGCTCAGATCCCAGGCATGCACTGAGGCACCACTTGTCAAGCCATGCTGTGGCGGCGTCGCATATAAAGTGGAGGAAGATGGGCACGGATGTTAGCCCAGGGCAAGTCTTCCTCAGCAAAAAGAGGAGGATTGGCGACAGATGTTAGCTCAGGGCTAATCTTTCTCACACACAAAAATAAATAAATAAATTCCTCTTTTTGCCTGGTGTTTTTTGGGAACCAAAGAAACTGGGGTGACAAGAAGCAGAGGATGGGAGTCCTTGGAGATGGCAGATGTGCTTGTTAAATAAGGTATCTTATGCCCCAAAGCTCCAAACTATTTGTAAGGATGGTCATTGCACAAAAGGAACTCTTGGTCTACAGTCCTAACAGGGTTCTATGACACATACAGTTTAGGTATTGATCCTTGACCAGATTAAGGTCATTCTTGGTGAACAACATAATCAGACCAAATTCTGTGTTACAGAAACTTCTAATAAAAACCTTATCCATTTGAACTTGTGAGCTACTCTCTCACAGAAACTCATGTTAAATGTGAAAAATCTTTCCTAAATCACAAAAATAGTCTCTTTTCATTTTTCAATTATTTTCTCTGAATAACAGTAACAATGGGAAGCTGAATAATATAATCAAAATAAGTGGTTTGAAGGTTGGAGGAAATGCCAAATCAGAATGTGGTTTATTCACTCTCTGAGGCCATGGCTGATCTTATATAGATCGCCTGTCCGTGAGTTATGTTTACAAGCAATAGTTAAATTTCATCTGATAGCCCGGCGGTGATTCCTGTTTGATAAAGACTGCCATAAGTCCCCCCAAATCTTCAAATCAATTTGCAAAACTTTATAATAAACCATCACTTATGTCAAAGAATGAAGAAGTCTTGGGTGGGGTGTTCACTTGGCCCCTGAAACCATCCATACAGGCCAATATAAAGCAGACACTTGATATCTGTCCAATCAATCTGATCATTCCAATATGCCAAAGCAGATAAATCAGATAATTGAATCAGACAGCAACATCTGATCTACAATAATCAAAGGATTTGACAATCAGAGCCAAATAATTACTTCACTTTGAGTTATGTAGCCTCAACCCAAATGCCATGCACAGGAGGACCTGTACTGAACAGCAACACACTCGGGCGGGACTAAGCAGTCTGAGGAACATGGTTACCCTCGTGATGATCCTTTTAAAGATAACTAGAGTGAATAGGTAAAGGTAGGCTTACAGGGTCATAAGATTTACTGACCTAGTGGAGATGAACTGTAAAGAGATATATCCATATAAGGGCCATTCTTTCTGTACTTGCAATGTCAGGTAGATTTTCATCTATTCGTTCAGAAACATTTAGCAAGCACCAACTCTAAGTGAGACATTAGAATACATATATGAACAAGATATAACCTCTGCTCTTGAGGAGCCCACTGTTTAGTGAAGGAAGTAAATATGGTATTAACAAGCAAGGATGGTGCAACACAGAAACTAGTTATAATGACACTAGGCACAAAATGCTACATGAACAAAAGGAAAGGGATGATTTCCACTGACCAGAGGTTCAAGATGGCAGGTGAAGAGTGGGGAGAGAAGGATTAAACAAGGATTCACAGAGGACTGGGAAGATGGTCTGAGTGAGGTTTTAAGGGATGAGCTGAATTTTTCAGGTGGACAAGGGAGGGCAAAGCATTAGTGAGAACAAACATGAGCAAAGGCACAGAAACAAGAAAACTCAATACGTTCAGGGGCTCGAGACAGGGTCCTCTCCGTAGAAGACTGTGGTGATGGAGAGATTGGAGGTGGGGCCAGCTGGACCAAAGCCAGTGGACTACATTGGAGATGAACATCAAACACTTCATTGCGACAAAGTGCTTTGTCTGGGACTCTTCTTACTTTAGTTTTGGGATATTGTTTCAGATACACTCTTAAAGAGTTTGTAAATGGAGTTGGCAACAGTCTGAAGCAGCAGTGAGAGGGGAGGGGTGGAAATGCAGCGAACATTCTTTCTGTGTGTTTCTATTTGGCAAGAAACTTTCTGTTTTCCTAATGGAAACTTTGACACACTCAGTCTGTATCTTTTCATCCACATCCAGCTCATCTTCTGAACATTCTTAGACCTTTATTCTGTCAGACCAAAAAAAAAAAAAAAATAGGAAAGGTCACAGAAATCTCAGTCTAATTTAACTGTGATACTTTCGTGGTAAACTTCTTGAGGGAGTTCACTGCGACGTGGTGGAGTACACCATGAACCCTGAGTGCTGGGGAGGAAAGGCAACCTAATCAGTAAATACTAACTTTGCAAAAGAGCTGAAGACTCTGGGGACTCTGGGTAGCTTGAAAGAAAGGAAGAAATGGATGGAAAAGAATATGTTTGATTCCTGACCACAAGTACCAAACATAAAGATGCTAGAATTTTATTTGTGATAGCAGGACCCTCCCCATATTTTAAGACTTTCTTTGATTTAAAACTTCTGATATTTGTAGTAATTAATATTTACTTTAAAAATGAACACTGGAAGACCTAAATCTGGACGAGTATGACGCAGGTCCTTTTTTATAAAAGTTGGGCTGTCCTTAGTTTCTTCCAATCATAACTCAAGACTTGAAGGTTAACACATAATATTTTGTTCTTCTTCCAGCTACCTAGAATTTTCCTGATGTAAAATTAGGAAGAGTCATGCTAAATTCTGCTCATGTGCCTAGTGAAGAATGTAAATGAGAAATCTAAACCTGGATTCTTGGTCAAGCTTCTCTTTCTTTCATTCTAAACTGTCCTCATTTCCTTCAAGATGCTTTACCTGATTCTAGCCCTCATCACTCTCAGAAAATGACCTCATCTTGTTCTTCAGAGAGAAAATAGACTATTATATGTTGAGCCCATCAATTTCCTGCTATCCCACCTACCAGCTTGCTTGAATCAATGTCGGTAAACAGAATAATAACCCAAGCTTTTGACGAAGTCACTGCTGGCCCCCCACCTGCCATATTATCCTATCTATTTTCTTTGTGGTATTTATCTGGAAATGAAAGGCCATGGCTTTGTAGTCTTTCTATAGCCACAGCAAGACTAGTACCTAGCATATGTTCAATACTCCAATAAATTAACTTGAAAAGACTTGTTTGGTGAAAAATGTAATCTTTAATATGGTGCACTCATGAGTGCAACTGGTCATTGACGGCTACTATTAAATATAAATTTTGTCTTAAATCTACATTCAACGTCAATAAATAGTTTTGCCATCTCCAATAAAAGCCATGGCACACTCTGATGGGAAAACACACCACTGCAGAAAGTATGAATGCTTCATTATGAAACCTAAGTAGATTTATGTAGAAATTGTGTGATACGGGTTATGGATGGTTGTATCTTTATATTCTACTTTTTGACTCAATTATATATATATAAAATAATATAAATATTTCTTAGGTCAGAAAAATCTCTGATTGAAATTAATACATATTTACATTTAGGGTTGCAGAAAGATATAATACTTTAAGACGTCAATTTTCTAGATTAAGTGAAATATTCAAGGATGCCACCTTCTTTTCTGATTTTACTTGAACAGGGAAAACAGGACTAGGTAATTTTTTGAGAGTTAAGTAAACGCTGCTAATCAAAGCTTGGGTTATTACCCTATTTACCAACATTGAAGAAAACTGATTAAATCCTAAAATAACTTTGGTATAATAATATTTCTTTTATTATTATTCATACATTTATTTTAACTTATTTATTGGGTGCTTCTTGGCGAAGCACTGTGGTTAATGCTTTACATGCATCATATCAATTAGTCCAAAGATCCTTAGAAACAAAACCAGTTTCCCCATTTCACAGATGAGGAAACTGAAGCTAGGGAACTTAAAAGCCTGGTCGAAATCACAGAGCTAGTATCTTTCCAACATGGTGCTTCATTCTTTCTTTATTCTTGTTAAAATTTCAGATGACTAAACTCTAACTCTGATCATTTATTGCCACATTTTTCTTACCTCTAGTTTAGAACACATAGTGGGCATCCAAAAATGATAGCAATTATCAGTGATTTGTAGATAAATATTTGTTGATGATGTAATTGCCTAACCAACAAAATGAAAACATGTTTACTCACCTAAATGCCCGAATGGTGGTGAGTCCTTCAGCTGTTTCTGAGAAGTGGCAAAGCAGAGGGAGCTGGGTGGTATCATCAAGTTCCTGGAGGTCCCTAGGACGGAGAGAAGTGCAAAAGTAAACTTCACATGCATTCAGACTCAAAGACTGCTGTGTTCATTCTAAATTAAGGTTATTCTTTGTCATTGCAACCATTTTCCTCTAGCGTCCAATGAACAAAAACTTCAACAGCTTACAATCTAAAGAGGAAGAGAAAGATGGGTACATAATGAATATGGGTCCATGCTGAATATCATGTGGTTGTTCAAAAACATCAGCTTTGTTAACAGCTGAAGTAAATTGCTATGGGGACACAGAGGAACGAGTAATTAATTCATATGTAGGAGATGGGTAATATTTTCTTTGAGAAGGTGGAATTTAGGCCAAAGCTTAAGCATGAGGAGGGCTTCAGCCAAACAGACAAAAAGAAGTGCATTCCCACTAAGGGAACAAAAAGAGCAAGCACAGAGGACTAAAGAACCTGGCAAGTCCAGTCTGGCTGGTGCTCAGAATCCTTTGGGGATGTTGCAGCGGGAAAAGGCTGTATAAAGGATGGGTGGGACTAGACTGTGGAGGATCCGTTGGGCTGGAAAAAAATCACTGAAGACTAGAAAGAAAATGATCAGAGGTGTGCTTAAGCAATGTAACTTGGGAGACAGTGTAAAGGATGAAAGAGAATGGGTGAGTTACGGTAGTCGATATAAGAGATTTTTTTTAAAACGCTGAATTAGTGTGATGCCGGTGAGATTTAAATAGGGGGAAGATTATGAGATAGTTTCCTAGAAGTAGCCTTCTAAACTGCTACAATCAATTAGTTGTAGCAGGGTGAATAAGAGAGAAGAGGCAAATATGGCTTGGTTGTTGCTTAGCATATTTGAAAAACGACTGTGCCTTTTACCAAGGTGAGAGACATCAAACAAAGAGTTTTAAAGAGAAAGACAATGAATTTGGCTTTGTCCACAAGATGACTGAATCCCTGCCTTCATGGAACTTCTGTTCACAGGTCCTCCAAGGAAATATATATAAAGTGTTCAATGAATATTTGGTGAAAAAAATGCCTGAATCTGACCCTTCTCATAAAGATGCACACTCATGACAACTTTTCTTTAAACCATAAGCTAACATTTCTAGAAGAGAGGCCAAGAGTTATATCACATATTTCAAAACATTCCTTTTTTTTTTCTCTTCGGTCTTTTTTTCTGCACTTCTCTAGGTCTTTGGGGTTGAGGGCATTAGAGAAGTAGCATTGACATTCACTGGCCAGAGTCAACTGAACTGATTACACTGTTACATGATCTTCAACAAGGAACTTAGTCCGTTCTTGGCTGCCTGTGTAGTTCCACAAACAAATGCAAAGTCTTTTTCGAATTTCTAAAACTGATTTGCTCACTTTAGAGACTGTAGATGAGGGGAGGGAAAGAGAGAGGGGAGGTGGAGAGTGAATACGAAGGAATGAGAATAGTCTGCTATTTTTAAACATAAAACTAAGTGGCTATTTGTAAATCTGACACAAGCAACAGGTGGTCACTCCATTGAGGTTTGTAGTGAAAAGAAAAAGTTAGGAAGGGGGAAGCTTTGTTTATACGACTGTATTTTATGAAACCAAAAAGGTTGAGGGTACAGCTGGATCTTGTATTCTTTTAAGTAGGAAACACTTACTTACAGAGCTAACCACACATTAAATCTTTGATTTTCGATTTTCAAAATTTCATGGCATTTCCTGTAGCTCGTCCCTCGCTTTAATTCCCTTTGGTGTTTACAAATTAGTCTGTTAAGTTGCCTGAGTTTTTCAACATGGGTGAGTCTTGCAGAGCCTCAGCATTTAGAAGGGTCTTGTTGTCTGTGAGATTTAGTATCATGTGGTCATTTTTGCTAACTTTCAGAGAATTTCAAAGAATGGTTTATAATCTATTATCAATGTTAATTCTTTAAAAATGATCTCCCTTCCATATTTTAGTCACTTACTATGAATGCTACCAGATTATTCTCACTTATAATGAACAGAATTCACAATTCAAATTTATAATGCACTAGGAATATTTGCCCAGCCTTTGCACTCAATCTGTATTGCTAAGGGGCAAAGAAAGGCCCAAGTGAGTATGTGATTGAAATAAGACACAACTGTTTGATACTAGCGGAGAGAAGACAAGGATAGATTTGGAAACAGCCAGCAGAAATGAAATAACTGAACTTTTCTGCCCCTCCAGCAAGCAGCATCAGCAATAATACCAGAAGAAATGTAAGAATGAATTTGATGGCTAGCCTCTCGCTTTTGGTCTGAATTTGCTACAAGAAAGGGGATGAGGCTGGGGAGAAAAAATATACCCTAGATTTTATATAGATCCCTAATATTCAAAGGACTCTAATTCATAGCCCTGAGGGAGAAACAATTATATTTTTTAAATTCAGAAACGTTGTATGATATATTCAGAGGTTCCCGACTATAATCTTGCCTTTTCTTGTTGGCTTCCCCAATTTTTCTTCCTCTTCCCTACACTCAAGTCCTATTAAATATTTTCAGTTTACTGAATAAACTCAATATCTGCCTTCCTATTCCAGCACTTAATCCACAGATAAGGGTTACTTTATATATGTTTTATCTCCCCAAGAGATTGTGAGTTTCTTGAGAACAGGTTCTTGTCATGTTGATTTCGTCATTTGCCACATGGCTTACCCAATTATTTGCAACACAGTAAATGCTTAATAAGTGCTGTTGAAATAAAGTAATTATGCAATGATACAAAATTTACTGTACCATTTATAGCAGGGCTTCAAAGTTAAACCGGAAATTTCAAAACAACTGGTACTATATTTCATTTAACTATTCAACATCTCAGCAAATGTTAAATCGTATATTAACAGAAGAATTTAAAATTCATGGCTATCTTTTATTTATTTGGCTGGATACTCAAGTGCATGTTAAATGATCCAATCTGAAAATTTCCAATCTGTCAAAATTACAGCACTGCTATCAGACATTCAATATTATCTACTTTTATAGTCAGCACTCTAATTTGTCTCTTTAATCTTTTTTACTTCTACTAATTTTTTACAGAATGTATTTTAAGCATTTGAAAATATTTTACTATTTTTTCCCGCTTGTGGAATCTAATGATATTAAATCACTTATCCTTTGGGACTATGTTTGATTTCGTAAGTTTTCTGTCAATGTCATGTTCAGAAAAAGGACCGTGGGATGAAAAATTTGGCAGTCTGTAAACTCACAACTCAATAGATCAATCTACATGTTACCATATGTCCAGGGCTATACAAGGCTCAGACAACCAATTACGGAAACAATTATAATAGATCTCCAAATGAAACATAGTATCAGGATAAGTTTCATCATGTTAAAAATAGGTTGCATTTCCAAATTCCACACCTTATCTTGAAAAACACTACAGCAAATGTGGATCACAGTAAATCAAATATATAGGCTTTTAAAGATGAACAGAACACTGTTTTACTTACTTAGAGGCCACTCGGAAGTATTTCTGGATAAAATAAAAGGCGACCCCAAGAGGCACAAGAGCAACCAGGAACACAGGGGTAGCATAAGAAATCATGCCAATGGCAGACAGGCAGAGGAGTGTTGAGCGAGTTAGAGATTCCAAAGTTGGAGGGATGTGCTATTAGGAAGGTAGTTTGAAAGGAAAATATTTTAGCTGAAATAAAACATTGGATACAATGCAACAAAATATTCATTTTTATATCCATGTTACATTATATAGTTACATAAGTAGTAAATAAACATTTTCATTGTAAGCAATTCTTCACTCCTCCAACTTCACTCACTTCCCATAGTTTAGTATATTTATCCTTCTGTCTATCTACCTATTTATCGTTTGTCAGTTATCTACCTATCTACCTATTTATCTTGGGGATTTTATATAAATGGCACTATACTATAAATCTTATTTGTCCATGTGCTTGTTTTATTTTATTGAACAAGATAGACTGTAAATCTTCTCACGTCACTATGTATAAATTTATTTCTTTTTAATGGCTGCATAGTGTTAAAAAAATATTTAGCTATTCCTCTACTGTAAGACATTTAAATTAATTTTCTGTAATTGCTTACTCATATCCTTTATGTATTTTTGATTGGCTTATTTATCTTTCTTATTGATTTTTATATGCTCTTTATATATTATGGATGTTTATTCTCTTTCTTTACATATGTTGATAGTTTTTCTCTCAGTTAATCTTATTATATTTTAAATTTGTCTTTGATGCTTTTAGCTCAATAGAAGTTTAAAATTTTATATAGTCATTTCTGTTGGCCTTTTCCCTTATTGTTTTCTGGGTTTTGTGTCTTAGAAAGACCTTTCCCACCTCAAATTCTATAATTACTCTCCTACATTTTATTTTATAATTTTATGTTTTTATATGGCCATCTTTATTCTACATGTATTTGCTTTTTATTTTATAGATAGGTGATTGTCCCAACATCCTTTATTGAAAAGATGATCCTTTTCTTACTGATTCAAGATACCATATTTATCCTGCTAAATCTTTATATATGCTGGTGTTTTTGAATTCTCCATTTTGTTCTTTTGATCTGCTTGTTTTCTGTGATGACCAGAGTGTTTTAATTTTATAGTATTTTTTTGGTATCTGATAGGGAAATTGTCTCTATATATACAGGATTTTTATGATTTCCAGGATTATTGGATCTCTTTTCTTCATATAAGATTTATTTCTATTTTTATAGTTTTTGTTATTATGAATGGAATTTACTTTTCACTTACTTTTTTGATTGGTGTAGAGAAAGTCACTGAATTTTATATCATATGTCTTCTGCAGATACTCTGCTGAACTGTCTAATTCGTTCTTTACTTTACTAATTGTTTTGGACTCTCTAGGAAGCAATCATATCATCTTCAAATTAAGGACTGTTTTGCCTCTTCTTTTCCAATATGTATTCCTTTGAAGCATTTTAGGTGCAGTATGATCTGACACCAATGCCATGAAAACATCACCATTTTTCAGCACATGTTTAGTCAGCTGCATGCATCAAGCATTCTTTTTCTAAACTGAGAGTAATTTAGGTGTTCCTAAGGCCACACTGGAAAATTAGAAAAGGCACGGGCTGCAGCTGATGGATTCTCTTCTCAATCATCCTAAGGGGTTTGTTCTTGGAGTGATCCAATTTCAAAGTTTGAGGTCTTTAATTTCAGGACAAACTTTTAGAGGCCTAGGGATCTAAGACTAAACTGGGCATCCTTGAAATAGTCCCTAAAATACCACACCATCTAAAGCTTCTCTCATTCAGGGTCCAATCTAATAAAAGCAAAAGACATCTAAGACAGCTTGGCATTCCATCCTTTACTTCTGGGAGACCCTCTGCATCAATACTAAACTTTTAAGAACTTGATTGTGAATCGAGATGCAACATTGATCAAAATCACTCCTTTTTATAATAAAAAAATTTTAATTCTATTCTTTGCTATTTATCTTTATTTCATGATTCTCTAAGTTCTTCTTCTCTAGGTATCTTCTTCTACATGCATAAATTATTTTGAATTAAGATCTTCCATTATGATTTTATTCTAGAAATCATTTATGCATATAATATTGACATGAACGCAAATAGGCTTTCATTTAAGCTTTAGAAATCCTCTATTACTAACAGGAATCATGGTTTATCTTAAAATGCTATTTAGTTTACACTGAGAAATTTATTTTTGAACTTGGATGTAACTCAGGGCACTCACCTGATCAATGATATTTGTATCAGCTGAAAAGCGATTGAGAATCAGTCCCAAGGGTGTGGTATCAAAGAATCTAGACAATAAACAGATTGGAATGTATGATAATAGTGAACTATTTGGAACCTGAGCTCCGCTAATGGACATCCTGGAGTCATGAAAATGAGAAGGTCTCTATTCAACTGCTCAAGGACTGAATAAAATCTTTAAAATTTCACATAAATTTTAAAATGCATGTTTTTGTGATTTGTGTATGGGAGTAAGAAATAACTACTTTTTTTTACCTTATTGGTCCAAGAATTATCTTATTGAGGAGATTGTGGTGAAGATTTTTGGCAGCTGTGAGACCCATCCATTCTACAGTGAGAGATGTAACCAGGCAGAGGAAAATACCTGCTCCACAAAGTATGCTAAATCCAGCCACATAGTAGGTCTAAAAGCAACCAACACAAAAGCACATATGAAATTAGCAGTTGAGTTTTTTCTTACTAGAACACCAAATATCAGAGTCAGTCGATACTGAAACTACATTATCTTGCGTCAATTTAGAAAGTTGAAGGAGTGTAGTTTTTGGAGAGTTTTTGAAGGAGTTCAGGATCCCCACCATAAAATCCTATGGCCAAGTCCCTGCTTGTTTCCTTCACTCTCTTTAGTTTTGCCTGAGGGCAGATGAAGCCTTAGAGTCTGTTTTCAGGTTTGAAATATGCTTGGCTTTCTACATTGTAGAGCTCATTCTTCTTATCCCTAATCTCAGAATGATCAGCTAATACACTGGTATAAGTAGTTAAAATCAAAAACCATCAGAACAACAACAAAAGTCCCATGTGTATGTTATACACACACACACACACACACACACACACATCATATGTATATAACTCCCTTGAATCCAAATCTAAACATTATCTTTAAATGTTTCTTATGATAAGCTTTAAAAAATAAAGTGGTAATAATAGATTCCATTTTGACAGTTTATTCTATTTCAGGTCCTGTTCTAATTAACTCATCGAATCGTTACAAAAGTCCTATGACATTTGAGCTATTAGTATCTAACTAGATAAAAGGGTATCACTGTTAATCTCAACAGTTCTTTGATGATTTAAAAACAGAACCCACTGTACCTGATCAGTTTTTCCAGTGTTGTTTATACTGTACTCTGATGTCCATGTGGCCAGCCAGTAGTCTATAGCTACAATGACTGAATGCTTCAAAAGCTTAGAGAAAATCATTAGGAAGAGCAAGAAGAATCCTCCAGAAGTGAGGTACCGCCAACAGGTTTTCCACGGCATTTTAGTCCTGAGCCTCATTACAGTGGACATGTTATCATCCTCATCTTCCTCCTCCTCTTCCTCTGCATACAAACACTTATTTAAGCTTCAGACAAGCAACAGGTAGAATGAATTTGTATTAGCTCACAAAAAAGCACATAAAAATCTCCCTCAAATTTATAGAAATACAAGCATTAGTCTTAGAAATTTTAAATGCTTTTAGCAGGGAAAAACGTTGTTAAAAAATAGGTAGAAAATGAACAAACGAATGAATGAATGGAAAAATAAACATAAAAGCTATGTCTGAATGAAATAACTGGCTGACTTATTACATATCAAATTGACTAGAAGTATACGCTAGAAGTTTACTAAGTTATTGAAGGAATTGCTTTGCCAATAAAACCACATGCCTGGCCTGCAAACATTTTTAATTTTTTGAACTCTAAATTTCTGAATTTGTAAAACCGCCAGGAGGAAATAGGCTCTGAAATTTATGCATAGCCCAAGAGGGCATAATCCACGCTCTCTACGGCCCATTTTAGATGTGGTCATGGAGGAGCGTGGGCAAGGAAAAACCTTCCAGAAGGCAAAGCCAGAGGACAGAGGATGATGGACAGGGAGCTCCTCTCAGATGTTTAAACCATCTGGAAACTCCAAAATGGCTATCCTAAGAACATACTCCATTACGAGGACAGGGAATTTTGGCATTTCCTGACCAGCAAAATTTGCTCATTAGTATGGTCGGTGACTGTAGTGCATTTCCCATCCTTTCCTTTTCCAAAGGCAGTTTATATTCCAGTTCCAAAGGCAGTATATTGTATATTGTATATTGAGCAGGTTGTGGGTAGGAAGGATAGATAACTTGTCTTAGGTTTACAGGTTATCAGACCACAGAGATCTAAATATGGATACAATGGGAAGACTGGGCCACCACCAAGGATCCTAATATTTGAGCTGAATGCAGTAAATGAGCAGGTCTCAGATAATCTCTCCTTTGGTAAGAGTGGGTTCAAGGTGTGAGAAGGACATGATTTGAAATCTGCATGATCAAAGAGGTGGACGTTTGCAGACTGCTAGCTGTCTTCCCAATGTCCATTCTCTGTTTCCATATTAATTGAAATTTCAACTTGTGTGTGGTTGCCTTGCTAAAGACAACGTTTCTTCACTTTCCCAGTACCTAATCTGTCTATGGGATGAACTGGCTGGTGATAAGTAGTAGAAATAATATGTGTAGCTACTTTTCTTCTTCCCTTCCCAGAGGCTTGAACAGACATACTGATAGGACCAGGGGCAGCAACCTGGTAGATGATATGTACCGTACTGGGCTCTTTCACATACGTTACCTCATTTTACTCTGTAAGGAAAGTATTATTATCTTTTTTTTTTTGGTGAGGAAGGTTATCCCTGAGCTAACATTTGTTGCCAGTCCTCCTCTTTTTGCTGAGGAAGATTGGCCCTGGGCTGATATCTGTTCCCATCTTTGTCTACTTTATATGTGGGATGCTGCCACAGCGTGGCTTGATAAGTGGTGCATAGGTTGTAGGTGGGCGCCCGGGATCCAAACCCGCAAATCCCGGGCCGCCAAAGCGGACAGCGCGAACTTAATCACGATGCCACTGGGCCAGCCACTATTATCTTATTTTGTACCTGAGAAAATGGATTAATACAGCAAGCCCAAGGCAGAGTCAGCATCTCAAGTGGTATATTCACCACTGGAACAGTGGAGAGAGTAATTGGGCATAAATCCAGTTTTAGAGTGCATTAGAAATAATTGGTGTAGAATTCTAGAAGCTGATGTCTGTTGACAGTATCAAATATTTTTTAAAAAACATTTTTAACTGTAAGAAATTGAAGTGCACAATTCATTCATTAATTTACTCAGTGAGTATTTGTTGAAACACTGAATAGTTATCATCTGAAACATAAAGGTAGCACATTTTGGTGTTCTATGGCTTGAAATTATAATTTTCTCTGTTTCTATTAATTGGCTTGTAGAAATGCAACCTTAAGCAAAATAGGAAATATGAAGTGTATATAAAATATGAAGTCTAGGAAAAATGAAGTGTAGTGCATCCACTCTAGAGACTTAAGTGTGATTTATCTTACAAACTTCTTGGCAACAAATGCCAAGGCAATGTAATTATTTCATCGCATTCCTCGAATTCCCAGTAAATCCTTTTTCCCCACTATACCTTACTAGATACCGAAAATTGAACCAAATGGCTTTCTAATTCTCTTAACCTTCATTGCTGTATTGTCATGAAAACTCCATGAGGACCAGGCCGGCCCGGTGGCTTAGCGGTTAAGTGCGCGTGCTCTGCTACTGGGGGCCCGGGTTCGGATCCCGGGCGCACAGCGATGCACCACTTCTCCAGCCACGCTGAGGCTGCGTCCCACATACAGCAACTAGAAGGATGTGCAACTATGACATACAACTATCTACTGGGGCTTTGGGGGAAAAAAAGGAGGAGGATTGGCAATAGATGTTAGCTCAGAGCCGGTCTTCCTCAGCAAAAAGAGGAGGATTAGCACGGATGTTAGCTCAGGGCTGATTTCCCTCACCAAAAAAAAAAAAAAAACAAACTCCATGAGGACTTAATGAATGATTCAAGTATAAATATTTCAAAACAGTATTTTCTCCATATCCCCCATTTATTGCTTATTTCTGAAGGATTGACATTTTATTAATAACTTCATTTTCTCATTATACTAGAACTTTCCAATTGATCTGAACAGGAGTACAGATCTATTTACAAACTACTGCCTTTCCTTTCAGCTCTCTCTCACACACAGCACAAATATACTAAAACAAACTATGGGAAACCTCTCAAGACACCTGTTGACTGATTACACACACCTTTCTTTCACTCCTGTTCTTTTCATTTTCAATATTATGTATTTGATTTGGTCTCTTTTCCCCCTGCAAAGTGGCTTGTCATTCCTCACTGGCACACTCCAACATCAATTGCCAAGGTAAAACCCTCACATCCTATTACCTGTTTGAATGTTTCAGATACAAGAAAAAGACCTACCTTCGTCTTCATCCTCCAGTTGGGCTTTAGCCTCTCTTGAGTACATGGCTCTTCGGAGAGTTTTCCTCTCCAAAGTTGTTTGGTCAGCTTCCATATCCTATAGCAAACATTGTGCTATCATTCAAGAAGCTCACAGCCACAGGAAGGTTCTGGCTTACCTATCAGTGACCCACACGTACCAATCTTTATTTACCTTTACCAGTCGCAGGTTCTCTGCTCACTCTAGAAATCCACAGCTCCTGTCATAGAAGCAGTTTGGGGGTGATGCCTGACGTTTGTAGGCAGTGCTTCAGAGCTCAGAGGTGTAGGGCAGTAAAGCCAGGAAAAGTAGTAACAAATGATGGAGATGACCCCAGGGGTGGGGGACATCTCTAGCTCCACCACTGCTCCTTGTTTTATTTTTTATGTCATTTTATTCAGATACTCTCTGTCATTTCTCTAACTAAAGATTTATTTATGTTATTAAATACCTCACTTTAAAAATGCACATAATTCTAGACTGGTCGAAGTGCTAAGTCATCCACTACTATTATGAATTATTAAATCAGAATGAGTGTCTTTAGCATTTCACTGAGGGAGCTGCACAAAAGAAAGGGACTTCAACAGGAATTGAAGGAAAGTAAGTAATTTTGAAGCAAATGGGAAATGAGGGTACCTAGGTGCCTAGCAGTTGAGGAGAAAGCCCTAGGATGGGGAAATGAGAAGAAAGAGAAGATAAAGGTGCCAAAAACAAACTTTGCAAATTTTTAACGGTTGCTCCAGACTTGTCTTGTGCTCAAGAAAGGGAGAAGCGTTTGCCTCTCTCCTCTGCTTCCAACACCCCGCCCCCTTGGCTTCAGAACTGGAGTAGCAGTATCAGTTCAGTTACATTGTGAGTTAAATCAGCCTCTGCAGGACACTCTGGGAAACTAACCCTATCTCTGTTTCTGCGGGGAAATGCATTCTGAGTTCCAAACAACTGACCCACAAACTTTTGGAATCTATGGTAAATGGAGGCCTTCCTGTATATGCTGATACAGGAAAAAAAAAAAAATCACTGTTTGTTACATCAATAAACCATTAAACTGTTGGTGATCAGTCTCTAGGTAGTGATCTTGTTTTTTTTTCCATTGGCCTCATACAACATGTGTGATTTAGGAGACTTGCTATTCTAGAAGGCTCTATTGCTTCCAGATTCTTGGTTAAAAAAAAGAGTAAAAGCGAAAGTGCCTTTTGAGTAGTATTTTTTCAGAGACAATTTCACATTAGCTTTTAATTGTGCCTAATGTTATATAGACCAACACTTGGACATGAGATTCGAGAAAACACAGAATTAAAGAGGATCCCTATCCTCTGTGTATTGTGTAATGGAATGAAATGAACCTGCACATTGACAAATAGAAGATTTGGTTCTTGTTCAACTCTCCACGCTATGTGAGCAAAAGACTTAAAAAAAAATACTTAAAGTCACATTTTTTTATGAGTAAAGCTCACATTAAGTTGAAAGGTTAAATATTTTGAATTGTGTTGATATTTGGACTAAGTAAATACAAATTTGGTTTCATTTATCCAGTAAATATTTACTGAATGCCTGTTACGGGTCGGGTCAAAGTGAAGGCTGGGGGCTGGGGAGGAAACATCAAACGATGCTATTATTGTGCTTAATAACATTATGAAGATAATGCTGGATGCCATCCAAGCTAGAACTTTTAATAATACTTACTTAAAGTTAAGTTAAAGTTAATGTAACTGGTAAAAAGGTTTTCTCCTTCTCCTCCTTGTAGCTTTCATTTTCATCCTTTTAACATATTCTTTCCTGTTTACCCCTTAACCCTTAACCCAACAGTTCTGTCTAAAGCCCTGACGCAGGATGTTTTGTGAGTCCTTTAGCTTCACCTTCCTTCTCCACTTCCTTGATCTGTTCTGGCTCTAGGTCAGCCTTTTTCAACCTTGGCACTATTGACATTTTGGGCCAGAAAACTCTTTGTTGTGGGGGCTGCCCTGTGCATTGTAGGGTGTTTAGCAGCATCCCTGTCTTCTACTCACTAGATGCCACTAGCACTTGCCCTCCAGTTGTGATAACCAAAAATGTCTCTAGATGTTGCCAAACGTCCCCTAGAAGGCAAAATCAGCCCTGATTGAGAACCAGTGCTCTAGGAAAACACCGATCCTGCCATATAACAAATTAAACAAGAAGCTGTTTCTACAAAAACTTCCCCAAAGTGTTCTAGTGGTCTTGTCCCCACAGTGTGACTCTCTCTGGCTTCAGATGAATTCAGGTGCTTGCCCTTTCCTAGGTGGCAGTAACCTCCCTCCATCCTAGGATTCTGGGCAGGTGCATGGTTCATTCTGGCTTCTACTGGCCACCATTCCACCTCACAATAGGATTCGCCCTGTCCACATCCTAACTTGCTCCATATCTCCTTCAGCTGATTTATAACCCTGTAATGTGTCTTTAATTATAGAGCTATGCTATCTCAAGTGATCACTTCATTTCTAAATACAACTTAATGGACTTTCTTCCTGGCTTGATTAACAATCTGTACTACTATAAAATCAAGCCAACAGCTCTCTCTCTCTTTTTTTCTTCCAGATCTTCTTTCCAAAGTAAACCATAAATAGTCCCACTCCTTAAGCTTACATCATATTCTTTTGTCCCTGGCATCTAGATCACTGAAAAAAAATCTCATTTGGAGCCATCCCCAGTAGATTCATAATCAAGCTTCTCACAGTATAATTCCTAAGTGGGCACTTGCCGCTTGTACTTTGTAATTTTTTTTGACGAATATCCTCATTTCAGTGGTTCTGCAATTCGCGGTATTCTACTTAAAGATTGTTACATTTATCTTTTCGTCTTTAGGTGGTTTCCTTTTGAGATTTTTGGCAAATCTACACTAAGGAGTCCCAGGATTTGTCGGACTTTTTATCTTCCTCTCTCTATTGAAACATCTCTTTTTTTCCTTTATAAAATAATACATTTTAATTTCTTGATGTTTTCAGAAATTTGCTGATATAAACATTTTCATTTTATAATGCTCATTCCTGTCCAAGAGTACCAAATTTTTGACACTTCCTAGTCGCAACTCAAGAGAAAAGACTGAAAATTTACTAATTCAATTTACAATTCCACCTCTCAATCACAAGTTGTTCTTCTTTCTTTGTACTCAATCTGGTTTCCAACTCTGTTATTACCTGTTCAACGCTATATTTACATCATATATAACATTATACTAGAATTACACTGGATATGGACCTGGGTTTAAGTTCAGGTAGTACCACTTATTATATGTGCTACACACTTAGCCTCTCTGAGCCTCAATTTTCTCATCTGTAAAAGTGAGATCATATTTTCTTTGTTTATTTTTGGGGTTTTATGAGAATTAAATGAGATTGTGTAAAAGAGGCTTTGTGGGCTTTAAGAACTACACAATTGTAAAATTTTGTTATTTCCTTCTGATCACCTTCCTTCACCCTCAGCCCTATCCCAGACATGCTTTACAACTTTATCCACAGCTCACAGGTCTTCTTTCTTTCTAAATCATCTTGGATTTTATTTTGCTCATGACCCTTCATTTGTAGCTGGTGAGTGAAAATACTCTCATATTACAGATGAGAAAAATAAGATATACATAATGAAAAATAAGATAAAATGAGGAAATACTACGCAAGTAGTTTAAGTTTTAAACATACATATAATTGCAATATGGTTCAAATTCAAAAAAAAAATCCTCTAAATACTTGACAACACTTCATCCAAAAGATATCAATAGAATTTTATAATTTCAAAGTAGCCTATTTATTAACGACCTATAAATATACAATTATTTTGGATTTCAGATGAGGACCATTATATTATCAAATATTAAATGGTAATACTTCTTTAAAAGCACTTTTAGCAATTATACGGTATATTTCTGACTCTTCTGAACTGGATCCTGAGCTCTTCTGAAATATGAGAATTACCTTTTCCAATTCTTGATCTTGCCGATTCATAAGCGTTTTCCAGTGTTCATAAAGCTCAACATCTTTGGTTTGAATGTCTTTCAAAGTCCCTTCTCTTAGGACAGTTCCATCTTTCATGGCTATGATCTAAGGAAAGGACATATTAGCATAACTGTGACAAAAAGTCTTAATTGGCCAAATGAATTAATTACCTTTACCTCAGAAAGTAACATCTCAATTTATTTATACGACTGCAATATAAAAATTAATAGAACTTCTTTTAAACTCTTACCCAGTCAGCATGCGTTAGATACTGTAATTTGTGAGTCACAAGAACAAGTGTCCTCTTGTCATCTTGGAGAAATTTTAAAATCCCTTCCTGCATCAAGTGATCACTCAAGTGAATGTCCAGGGCAGAGAATGGATCATCCTACAACCAGTAAAACACAGAGATGATAAAAATTTTCTATATTCTTTATTGTAACTCAATTCCTCTAGAAAGCAGAAATACAAATAACTAAGGGCAAATTATCCCTCAAATCCAATTTATAATAAACAGACTGAATAACTTTACATTGTTGAAAAGAGATATTAAATTAAAAATGAAGCTTTTATTTTCTCTTTCACCTTAAAAATAATTTAGAAAGTAAATAACATTTGAAGTGGTTTGAATTCTAATATATAGTCTTCAAGTTCAAATACCAACATTACTCAGCAACCTATAACAATAGACCAAAACAATGAAATGATAATTGGAGTAGCTGAATTTTAGATAATAAAAATAGGCATAGACTCCAGACCAAGATGGCAACATAGGAGGCTCCTGAATTTCCCTCCTGTCACAGATGCACTGAATATGTAGCTACACACCAAGCAATTCCCTCTGAAAGAAATCCAGAAACTAGTTAAGTGACTCCTACACATTGGGTGACAGAGAAAATACCCACATCAAAATAAGTAGGAGAGGCTGAAACACACTCTTGCCATAAACCACACCCTCAGCACAATGCCATACTATCAAGAGAGAATTCCCAACTCCCAGCGTCTCCCTGAGGAGAAAAGGGTTTGACCCAACGTTTAGCACCTCAACTTTTAAGGCTGCCAACTGAGGGACTGGCCCCCAAATCACCTAGCTCTGAAAGTCAACAGGGTGTGTGTTCACTGAGTGCCATAGGACTACAACAAACAAAGAAGCAGTTGTTAACAGACTTTACCATGGCTATTGCCCCAGAGCTCAGCACAGAGGTAGCAGGAAAAAAACAGCCATCTCCCAGTCTTTCCCTGAAGGAATTTGACTGTATACTTTATAAGCTGCTACCTGAGGGTCCACCTTCTAATTAGCATGCATCTAGGTGCCGATCATGATCCTCTTCAGAGCCCAAAAAGCTGGTGGGTACTTCCTCCACCTTCTGCCTCCAGCTTGCTCCAACAATAAAACCAAGTCACCAGTATCTCCCCAAAAGGAGTTTCTCCACACATCTAGCGCCCCAACTTTTACAGCTGCCACCCAAACAACAGCCCCCCAAATCACCTGGCTCTGACAGCCAATGGGGCTTACATTTATGAGTCCCAACAGGACTACAGAAAACAAAGAAGCAGTTTTTAAATAGGTACAAGGGCATTCCCCATGGCTATGCCTCTAGGATCAGCACAGAGGGAGCAGGCAAAAATGCTCATCTCCCAGTTTCTTGCTGGAAGGGGTTCAACTAGGAGGTTCCCAGCTACTGCCTGAGGGTCCAGCTTATAATCAGCCTTCATCTAGGTAACGACCATGATCCTCCCCTTTGGGACACTGATGGTCTTGGCACACACTCAACTACTGGGAGCCACTAAGAACAAAGACAGCGACTTGGACAGTTACAAAGGTTTGAGAGGCAAACAGGAGCTCAGGCCATCTGATTGATGAGGTTCATCTTCTACACAAGACAAGTCTAAAGACTGGGAGAGGTGGCTGTTTTATCTAACGTGCAAAAATCAACAGAGAGAGTGAAGGAAAATGAAGAAACAAAGGAATATGCTCCAAACAAAAGAACAAGATAAATCTCCAGAAATCAATCTTAATAAAATAGAGATAAGTGATTTACCCAAAAGCTCAAAATAACTGTCTTAAAGATGCTCACCAAGGTCAGGAAAGCAATGCAGAACAAAGCAAGAATTTCAACAGATAGAGAGAAAACATTAAGAAGTACCAAAAAGAATTGAGCTAAAGAATACAATAATTGAACTGAAAAATTCAAAGAGGTAGCTATACTTATATCAGACAAAATAGACGTTAAGTCAAAACCTGTAACAAGAGACAAAGAAGATCACTATATAATGATAAAGAGGTCAATTCATCCAGAAGCTATAACAATTATAAATATTTATACACTCAACATCAGAGCACCTAAATATATAAAGCAGGTATTAACAGATCTGAAGGGAGAAATAAACAGCAAAAAAATAATCCATAGGGGATCTTTAATACTCCACTTTCAACAATAGGTAGATCATCCAGATAAAAAATCAGTAATAAGGTAACAATGGACTTAAATTTCATGTTAGATCAGATGAACCTAAAAGACATACACACAACATTTCATCCAACAGCAGCAGAACACACATTCTTCTCAACTGCACATAGAACATTCTCTAAGAGATATCATATGTTAGACCACAAAACAAGTCTTAATAAATTTAAGGTGACTGAAATCACATCAGGTATCTTTTCTGACCACAATGATATGAAACCAGAAATCAATTACAAGAAGAAAACTGGAACATTCACAAATAAGTAGAGATTAGACAACATGCTATGGAGCAAACAATGAGTCAGAGAAGAAATCAAAAGAGAAATCCAAAAATATCTTGTGACAAATGTAAATGAAACACAACATATCAAAAGAAGTTCTTAGAGAAGTTTCTAGCAATAAATGTCTAAATTAAGAAAAAAGAAAGATCTCAAAGAAACAATTCAACTTTAAATCTCAAGGAACAGAAAAAGAAGAAGAAACTAAGCTCAAAATTTGTAGAAGGAAGGGAATAACAAAGATCAGAGTGGAAATAAATGAAATACAGACTAAAAATACAACAGAAAAGATCAATAAAACTAGGAGCTGGTTTTTTGCAAAGAGAAACAAAATAGACAAACCTTTAGCTAGACTCACCAAGAAAAAAAAAAGAAAGGACTCAAATAAATAAAATTATAAATGAAAGAGGAGAAATTACAACTGATTCCACACAAATACAAAAGATCATGAGACTACTATAAAAAATTATACACCAACAAACTGGACAGCCTAGAAGAAATGAGTAAATTCCTAAAAACAGACAACCTACCAAGAGTGAATAATGAAGAAATAGAAAATCTGAACAGACTCATGACTAGTAAGGAGATTGAATCAGTAGTCAAAAACCTCCCAACAAAAGTCAAGAAAGCACCAGATGGCTTCACTAGTGAATTCTACCAAACATTTAAAGACCTAATACCCATCCTTCTGAAACTCTTCCAAAAAATAGAAGAGAAGGGAATACTTGCAAACTCGTTTTACAAGGCCAGCAGTACCCTGATATCAAAACCAGCTAAAGACACTACAAGAAAAAAAAATTACAGGCCAATATCCCTGATGAACATAGATTCAAAAATCCTCAACAAAATATTAGCAAACCAAATTCAACAAATACATTAAAAGGATCATACACCATGATCAAGTGGGATTCATCCCAGGAATGCAAGGATGGTTCAACAACTGCAAATCAGTCCACGTGATATACCACATTAACAAAATGAAGGATAAAATCATACAAGCATCTCAATAGATGTAGAAAAAGCATCTGACAAAATTCAACATCCATTCATGATAAAAACTCTCAATGAAGTGGGTATAGAGAAAACGTACCTCAACATAATAAAGGCCATATATGACAAGCCCACAGCTAACATACTCAACAGTAAAAAGCTGAAAGTTTTCCCTCTAAGATCAGGAACAAGACAAGGATGCCCACTCTTCCCACTTTTACTCAACACAGTACTGGAAGTCCTACCCAGAGCAATTAGGCAATAAAAAAAAAAATAAAAGGCATCCAAATCAGTAAGGAAGAACTAAACTACTGTCTCTGTTTGCAGATGACATGATATTATATACAGAAAACCTAAAGACTATACCAAAAAACTGTTAGAACTGATAAATTCAGTAAAGTTTCAGAATATAAAATCAACATACAAAAACTAGTTGTATTCCTATACACTAATAACGAACAATCAGAAATAGAAATTAAGAAAACAATCCCATTTACAATTCCATCAAAAAGAAATAAAATATCTAGGAATAAATTTAACCAAGGAGATGAAAGACTTGTACACTAAAACCTATAAGACACTGATGAAAGAAACTGAAGGTACAAATAAATAGAAAGATATTCCATGCTCATGGATTGGAAGAATTAATATTTTTAAAATGTACACACTACCCAAAGTGATCTACAGATTCAATGCAATACTTATCAAAATTCCAATAGCATTTTTCACAGCAATAGAAAAAACAATCCTAAAATTTGTATGGAACCACAAAAGAATCCGAATAGCCAAAGCGATCTTGAGAAAGAACAAAGCTGGGGACATCACACTTCCTGATTTCAAACTGTATTACAAAGTTATTGTAATCAAAACAGTATTTTACTGGCATAAAAACAGACACATAGACCAATGGAACAGAATAGAGAGCCCAGAAATAAATCCAGGCACATATGGTCAATTAATTTAGGACAAAGGAGTTAAGAATATACAATGAGGAAAGGATAGTCTCTTCAGTAAGTGGTGTTGGGAAAACCGAACAGCCACATGCAAAAGAATAAGCCTGGATCACTATCCTACACCATACATCAAAATCAACTCAAAATAGATTAAAGGGGCCTGCTCAATGGCGTAGTTGTTAAGTTTGTGCACTCTGCTGCGGCAGCCCGGGGTTCATGAGTTTGGATCCCAGGCGCGGACCTAAGCACCACTTATCAAGCCATGCTGTGGCAAGTGTCCCACATATAAAGTAGAGGAAGATGGGCATGGATGTTAGCCTAGAGCCAATCATCCTCAGCCAAAAGAGGAAGATTGGCAACAGATGTTAGCTCAGGGCTAATCTTCCTCACAAAAAAAAAAAAAAAAAAAAGATTACAGGCATGAATGTAAAACCTAAAGCATAAAAATCCTAGAAGAAAACTTAGGGGGTAAGCCCCTTGGCATCAGTCTTGGTAATGATTTTTTGGTTCTGATATCAAAAGCAAAGGCAACAAAAGCAGAAATAAACAAGTGAGACTATATCAACCTAAAAAGCTTCTACACAGCAAAGGAAATCATCAACAAAATGAAAAGGCAACCTATGGAATGGAAGAAAACATTTGCAAATTATTTATCTGATAGGTGGTTAATATTCAAAATATATAAAGAACTCATACAACTCAATAGCAAAAAAAAATTTGATTTAAAAAATGGGCAGATGATCTGAATAGACATTTTTCCAAAGAAGACATACAAATGGCCAACAGGTATATGAAAAGATGCTGAATATCACTAATCATCTGGGAAATACAAATCAAAACCACAATGAGATATCACCTTGCACCTGTTAGATGGCTATTATCAAAAACAACAAGAAATATCCAGTGTTCACAAGAATGTGGAGAAAAGAGAACTCTTGTGCACTGTTGATAGGAATGTAATTTGGTTCAGCCATTATGGAAAATAGTATGGAGTTTTTTCAAAAATTTAAAAATAGAACTACCATATGATCCAGCAATTCCACTTCTGACTTCTGGGCATTTATCCAAAGGAAATGAAATCATTGTCTCAAAGAGATATCTGTACTCCTATGTCCACTGCAGCATTACATACAACAGCTAAGGTATGGAAGCTATCTAAGTGTCTATCAACAGATAAGTGGATAAAGAAAATGTGGTGTATATATATACAATGAAATATTATTCAGCCATAAAAAGAAGGAAATCCTGCCATTTGCAACAACATGGATGGACCTTGAGGGCATTATGCTAAGTGAAATAAGTCAGACAGAGAAAGACAAATACCATATGATCTTATTTATATGTGGAATAAAAAAAAAAAAAACTGAACTCAAAGATACAGAGAACAGACTGGTGGTTGCGAGAGGTAGGGTGTGGAAAATGAGTGAACATGGTCAAAAGGTACAAATTTCCAGTTGTAAGATAAATATGTCCTGGGGATGTAATGTACAGCATGGTGACTAGAGCTAATACTACTGTATTGTATATTTGAAAGTAGCTAAGGGAGTAGATCTCTTACACCGGGCAATTTTTCGAACTCAATCACTTCATTTGTAAAATGGGGATAATAAAGAAACCTGTCAGAGAACACAAAGGATTGCTGCAAAGATCGAATAAAATAAGGTAAATGTCTCTGTAAGTGTTTTAAAAGTGTTATTTTATTATTATTTTCTTATAAATAAAGGTGGTGGATTAATACAGTGCTATTCCCTTTAAAGCATAACAGTGAGAGTTTAGTCACTTTTAGGAATCTCTTAATAAGGAAGAGTGTGGTGGTTAAGAACAGAGGCTATGGAATAAGACCACCTGAGTTTGTATCCTTACTCCACTATTACTATCTCTGTGACCTTGGATAAATTATTTCCCAAAGCGTCAGTATCCTCATCTGTAAATAACAACCATGCCAAACTTAATAGGATTATTTTGAGAATTAAGTGAGCTAGTGTGTAAAGTACTTAGAATCATGCCTAGGTCATAGAAAGCCCCTAATAATGGTTGCTCTCATTTATATGCCATGGCCTCATTATGGAGCATCTTGGTGTTACGGTCAAATTTAACTTTTTATACAACTTAATAAAAATATAGATTTGATGGACTGGGAATCACTCCTCAAGATTCAGTTTGTATATTAACATTTTGGGGAGATACTTCCTTTAAAGAATGCAAGACAGGTGACAAATTGCCAATTCAATGAATTGTCGATTCTTCATTTTCAAGACTATATTATTTTTTATACCTATATACAGTTCTTTCTTATATTCAATGAATATGTTTAACTAGTATACTCTTGTATGGATAAATTTTGGAAATAACTTACAAATATATTCACTGATACAGCACATTTGTAGATGTCATAAAGCTTCAAAAATAACTAATGTACTTGATACATAATTGAGATGTTTCATTTGGCTTTGACATCATGTAAAGGCTAATGTGATAAAGTTTAATTAGAGCAAAATATAAAACCATTCAAGTAATTATTTGTATAGATAAAATCCTTAAAGATAGGAGTCATGTCTTTTTCTCCTTTGTTTCCTCTACCCAGTAGAGAAGACGGTACTGAGGACATTCACTAAATATTTATGGATGGAAAGGAGGAAGGAAGAAAGGAAGGAAGGGAGGAAGGATAGGATGCAGACAAATCTTATCCACAGCCTGAGCTGCATACCACTGGGATAGAGTGCTATGCTTACTTACCCACGTCCACCAAGAGTGTATTTCCCCACCCTTCTTTCTTTGTCAGCAAATATAAATGAGAAGCTCTATGATCCTGTCCAGTTGAACCAGCACTATCCACACTTCACTAACGATCCTCGTGGTTAAGAAACTCGTATAAACAACCACTGAGGGCACCTCAGTCTCTTTGACACCAATCTGGATTCCCCAAACTCTCAACTTCACATGCTCACTTGGTACTCTGAGGATTTGTTTCCCCTATATTTTCTACGATTTCACACGTTAAACCATCTTTCCTTGTTACTTGGCTTGTCTCTTTAAAGACTCATTTGTGCAGAGGGAAAAACGAAGTAGAAATTAAAGTAAAGGCCATATTCTTACCAACAAGACAATGTTGGTATTTTGATAGAGAGCTCGTGCCACACAGATTCTTTGCCTCTGACCTCCACTCAGGTTGATGCCCTAGAGAAGAAATATCCATAAACATCCACCTTTTTCATTAGTAAATGATCTGTTGGTAAAAAATCCCCTTTAAAATACAAACTTCTCTAAAAAGACCTTATATTAATTAAATTGTTTTTAATTAAATTAGTAGGATAAAATGAAAACTGTCTACTGGTCAATACTCAAATTATATTAAGGTAATTCTTGACTGATAACATTAAGCCTCCTTTCACTCTGATAGAGAGTTCTGTTGTACAAAAGCATTAATAACCACTCTTGGTGAGTGCTGAAGACTGCAGACAATTCCAAAATTTTTTTTAAATTTTTATTTATTTATTTGTCCATACTTTTTACTAGTTTCTTGAATTGTGTCTGTAGTTTACTTAATATATACCTCTTAAATTTGATATTACAAGTTATGTTCAACAGAATTATACAGCAATATTCTTTACTAATCAAGTACTAATTATAAATTTTTTTTTAAATTAGTATTTATTTAGCACTCAGTATGTGCCAGGCTTGTGTGAATGGCCTTATTTCTCTGATTCCTCATAGCAATTCCAAAACTTAATTATTGTTCTCCTTGTTTTCCACATGGAGAAACTAAGGATCTGAGAAGTTAAGTTCATGCTCTTAAACACTATACTATGCTACAATAAAGAACAGCCATTAAGAACGCAGACTACATATTCAGACCAATCCCAGCTGCACCACTAACTCTGTGTCTGGGCAAGCTCTTTAACCTCCCTCAGCCTTAGTTTCTTCAGCTGCAATATGCAGATACCACCACCACCCATACAACAGATTTGCTATAAAAGTAGATATATATATATCTTTTTGCCCAGTACTTGACACCTAGAAGGGTTAAAAATTCTAGCCAACATTGTTATAAAGATTACATACAAGCATAAATATTTTTCAGCTGGTCAGAATAGTATGATGTCAATGTAAAACACGTTTACACACACAAAAAAGAACACTTTAACAAGAATAAATAGATGTTGACAAGGGCAGAAGAAGTTGTCGGAAGCAATCTCAGCTTCCGCATCAATCTAAAAGTAAACTCCAAGTAAGTAAAAATACATTTGATCAAAGGCAGGGACTGCTTTATTTTCCTTGAGAACTCTCGAGTGGCTAGCAAAATGTTAAGTATATGGTGGTTACTCAACAGATACTTAAGGGAGAGCGGTATCAAAGAGCTCCTGTGCTCCTGTTTCTGGAACTTGTCGCTAGGAAAACACACAATTCCTAAACTCTCAGATTTCATTATGCTCCAATTAAAGGTTAAAAACAACCAGAGACTTTTCTAGATTTTTGTTCATTGTTTAATTAAATTATATATAACTCACCCTCTCTCCAATTTCAGTTTGGTCTCCAAATGGTAATAAGTCAATATCTGGCTGAAGAGAACAGGCATCTGTGACAGCTTTGTACCTTTAGGAGAAACAATTTTGAATTTTTGGATCACTATTAATATACTGCCCATAAACTAAGTCCCAGGTTCAATATCCTGGAAGTTGAAATGAACTATTTATTGAACAACTAGCCTCTAGATTAGGTTTGTGGATACAAAGATAAATAGGTATGGGTTCCCACTCTTATAAAACCAGTAAATGGAGCAGAAGACTGATAACAGGAACATAATAAAAATGCACCTTGTTAGGTACTATAGATAGGTAGGTACAAAGTGCTTCTAGAATACATAGGAAGAAATGACTGACCACTCTGAGAAGTTAATGACATCTTTGCAGAGCAGGCAATTTGGAAGCTGTATCCAGAAAGATGAGTCATAATTTTCCAGGAAGAAAACAAGGAAAAGGAAGCATAAGGAATTGCATAAAGGTGACAAAGTTCATGGTGCATATGAGGGACAACAGGAGGCTCACTCAGGCTGAAGCACAGGCTGTGGGTGGGTAACTGTGCAAACTATCATGCATGCTGCAGCGAGGAGAAATGGAAGATGATGAGGATTGACAGTGTTCAAACTGATCTAAGGCTGGCACTGGAAACTGGATGGATTGGAGGTACAGGGAAGTATGGTCACTGGGAGTGTTGGGAAAAATATCAATGGTTTCATTTTCTCAACCATCTAGTCTTAAAATATTCAAGTCATTCTTGATTCTTCCCTTTTCTTCTCTCTGCTCTTACTTATCCATTCTTATTCTAGAATGGTTTTCTGTCAACCATCTCTTCTTTTCCATTTTTTCAGTACCCCCCAAAGGTAGGCAACAAACACCGCATGCCTAGATAATTATTCCTACAAACTTTTAAATGTCTCCTTCCTCCTAATTCAGATTCATCCCATATATACCTGTCATTACACTTCTAGATTAAACATCACATTTACTTTATTACGCCCCTTTCTAAAACTTGCTGTGCCTCCCCAGAATGCACAGATTATATCCAATTGGCTTTTGAGGCCCTCCACTATCTCATCTCAGCCTTCCTGTACAATCTAGTTTCCCACTGTCAACATACACAAATCACTGTCTGTTTGATTTGTTCCCAGGCCCCAAATGATCCCATGTAATTCTACACTATTTGCTTTTCTCTTCTCTCCCCTTTCCTCATGCCTCTCCCCTGAACTAATTCTCCTTAACTTTCTTTTCTTTTCTTTTTTTGCTAAGGAAGATTAGCCCTGAGCTAACATCTGTGCCTATCTTCCTCCATTTTATATGTGGGTCGCCACCACAGCACGGCTGACGAGTAGTATAGGTCCACACACAGGATCCGAACCCGCGAACCTGGGCCACTGAAGTGGAGCAAGCCAAACTTAACCACTACATCACGGGGCCAGCCCCTCTCCTTAACTTTTAAAACCCAACTTAGGGTCGTAAAATCCACCCTTGTGAGGGTGGCTTAAGGAAAGGACCCTACCTTTGCACGCTCCAGTGGTATTTTAAAGACGGTTGAAAGATGGCATCTTATGGCTGCCCAGTCACTAGACCCTTCAGATCCCACATTCCTCCTCCTCTTTCCACAGTTAACTCTCCTTCTGTTCCTTATTTGGATTTTTCCTTCTGCTTACCAATAACCTAAGCACGCCCCCTACCCCTCCTCACATATATACACACTTCAATTTTGGCTGTTTAGTTTTGGTGTACAAATTGTTCTCAATAAGTGTACGGGATGGGCTGAAACTTCCTTTGAGGCCTCTCTTAAAAGAGTTGACACAAAAGGCCTGGTGATGGGATGGAAGTAGGGCAAATGGAGAAGAAATTAATTCCAGGATGCAAAGCTTCCAGAAAGCAACAACCAACATTAGGATTAGAAATAGTTGCTTGTTTTAGTTCTAAATTTTAAACATTCAAAAATACCTCTGTTTGTTGAAAGGACTTCCAAAGGTAATATTTTCTTCCACTGTAGCATTTAATAGCCAAGGCTTCTGTGCTGCATAAGCCACAGAATACCTGTTCCTACTGGGAAACGGAAAAGAGAAACAAAACACTAAAATTATGCAAGGGTGCTGTGCTGTACGTTTTAGCACAACTAAGGAAAATAAAAGTTGATAAAATATCTCAAACAGAAATGGAATACTTCTAAAAGATAACATCTTAACAGCCACCATCCTTGTTAATTAATGGTTAAATAGTCCACTTAAATTAAAGAGATTAGAATTCAATCAAAATGTCACACAATATGCAAAATTTGATTTTGCTATTGCTAAAGAAGTGTTTTAAGGTGTAAACTCTTAATTGAAATTTTATATTAAAAGTACTTTACAAACTATGAATTTTATATGTAGACCTTAAGAAAAGACATAATTTGATACTATAATTCCAGTAAGTATTTGTGGCTTAATCACATTAACATATTTTAAGGTAATAGATAATATATAAATATTTCAAAACAAAGAATAATATCTTGAGGAGTCCACTTCAACATCAAAATAACTACATATTTAAAAACTACATATTTCAATGCATATTGAAATAGTTTGTTTTTAAAAAATGATAACCTCCTCCCCCTCCCCCATTTTTTTGGCTTGCAAATTCTACCAGATGTCTATACATCAGACTTTCATTTGCAATAATTAGGAAAATGCATGTGAGCTGAAGATAAAGAAGATGATAGGACTGGGATAGAGAAGGGGCCAGCTTAAAAGTCACACTTCCACAATTAGTTCATGGTCTGTAAGTACTAATTAAGGAATTAAGGTTAAAAGAGAGAAGGTTAAGAAAAAGAGTAGTTAGAAATGCTCAGTGACCATCCTGAAACATCATGTCTTAGAAGTTTAGAAGACATGATAATATACAGTATGCTAGTAGTCACTTACATAAACATTTGTGCAGTAAAACAGTGGTTCCCAACCTCTGACATGTCTGCTTCCCCTGCCCCCTGCTCCTTTAAGTGGTTTTTTAAGATAGATGAAGCACTTGACTCTCCATCTCTGTTTTATAGGCAGATCCCATCACTGTTTAACTCATAAACAATATACCTATTAATTCTTGCATTTTTATTTTATGAAATCCCAAATCCAGTTTAGTAAGAACAGCTTGACTTTCAGCCCAATTTGAGACATGTGTGACATAGAGAAGAAAACAGTTGACACAACAGGCCATGTTGTCTGGCAAATTAATTCTTTTAGTAGCCTGAAATGTTGGGAACCATTGCTATTGCTAGCACATTTTAATAAATATCTTTGTACATCATCATAAAATGACTAGGAGTAAGAGACTGAATATCAAGTAAAGTCTGAGGAAGGAAGTTATTCTTATTAAATGCAGATTAAAATAGAAATAATACCTTCTGGTTGCTTCAAAAGAAGGTTCAGATTCATTTACACTGCAAGTATGGCAAACAATGTTCATTAATTATGAAATGAATGTGTGCACATATCAGGTAAGAGATAAAATTAACACTGGACATATTAAATAGCTACATTTCCCAAATGGTTTCTGATATTAATTTCAAAGACAAACCAGATGAATGACAGTCTTCTTTTATGTCTTCATCAGCTAGGAAATAATTACTACGTAAGGTTCCAAAAGGTAGATAACACTGCTCTCTTTCATATAAAATTTGGGTTCTTACAATGACCTGGGTTCTAACCCCAACTCTGCTCCAACGAGCTATGTAAACTTGGGTAATCTCTCTTGAATAGTTTCCTAGTTTGTATAAACATTTGCTATCTCCTTGGCCTCCCTATCTTAAAAATTCAAATTTATTTGCATTCTATTTAAATTCCTAATTAGCTATGCTAAGGCATGAGAGGAAGAAATACTTTCTGGGCTCTAAACGTGAAAGGTTTAGTCACAGCCTGGTCCTTAAGGAAATGGTAAGAAAGAAAGACATGCACAATAAGTCAAACTGCAACATTTGGGTATAGTTAATTATCGATTGATATGATTTATGTAAAAAGAGGTGTTTGACTAATTAAATTTATTTATATCTATATTATGGGGAAAAACACCTGAAGACTTATTCATCTTATAGTTTTAAATTTTAATACACTCATGGGTCTCTTAACAACAGGAATACGTTCTGAGAAATGCATCGCTGGGTGATTTTGTCGCTGTGTGAAGGTCATAGAGTATACTTACACAAACCTAGAGAGTATAGCCTACTACATACCTAGGCTACCTGGTACTAATTTTATGGGACCACTGTTTTATATGTGGTCTGTTGTTGACTGAAATGTCGTTATGTGGCGTGTGACTGTAATTCAGTTGAATTCCATCATTCTGAAAGACCTGAATTCAAAAACCACACACATAATTAAAGTCTACAGGAACTCCAAAAATAGATCCTATTTGACTCTGGGAAGCAGCATATGCTTTTGTGGAGAAAATTTACCTAAGTACGTTACCTAGTGATGTTTGGCTTAGAGTTACCAATGATAAGATTTTCACAACTGCACATTGCTAATGACATCTTGCGATGGTTCACAGAGGCAGGAAAAAACAATCTCAGACTAAAAATTCCCTCTCAATAATGATTATTCCCTGATTTAAGCTGCTCATAAAAAAATAATGAAGTGCACAATTTCCCAAGTGATATTTTCCACACAAGAAGTTCAGATGCCAAGAAATTTGGATTTTATTTTTTTAGTGGTAAGAAGCCAATAAATGACCTCAATGGTTTAGTTAATCTGCGGAAGAGACAGAACAGATGAGGAAGAGCAGGTGTGTGGCAGAAATTATGGATTAATTTGCCTCCTGACCATCCAGGTGGAATTGCCCATTAGACATTTGAAAATGTCAGCACAAACTGGAAGGCATCAAGTTTTTCACTAACTATTAATTAAATTCCAACTATATTTATTTAATATCAATTCAAAAATGTTTATTGATCACTTCCTAGTGCCAAAATACTAGAGATACAATAAACAAAGAAAACTCATTCCTTCTTTCATGCTACTTTCTGTTTTGCGGGAGTGTGGCAAGGGAATAAATACTATGATAGATGAGGTAAAGGGTTACATTAGAGCACAGATGAAGGACACCCAAGTCACTTTTGGCAAATCAGGATAAACAAAAGAGTTGATGCCAGAGGGATAAATAAGAGTGGGGAAGAATATTTCAGACCAGATGAAATACATATTGAATGACCTTGAGGTATCCTGGTCACACAAGGAACTGATGTAAATTCAGCATGACTGAAATGTGGCTGTAAATGGTGAGTGAAGAAAAGTACATGGTGAACTTAAAAACTATGCACAGCCAGATAATGAAGGGGCACATAAACCATTTTACAGAGTTTGAACTTTTCTGCAGAGCAATAGAAAACCAGTGACAGGGTTTAAACGAGAGAGAGAGATAGGTTCAGTTTAGAAATATGACTCTGATTGCAGAATGCAACAAATGAATTGGAGGTAACAAGACTGGAGGTAATAGAGTGACCACGGGAGGCTGTGAGAGTAATGGAGATAAGAACGCAGTGCCCTGAATTAGGCTGATGGTGAATAAATGAAGAGAAGTGGACACGTTCAAAGATACCTAGGATGGTGGGGGACTGAGAAGATGGAGGGGATAAAGGAGAGAAAGGCACTGCGGACAGGGAACACAGATGACGAAGTGCACACGGCGGGGGAAGATAGTGAATTCAGCAGTAGACACATTCAGTTTGAAGTAGCTAAGGGATATCCAAATGACCATGGCCAGGAAGCAGAATTTGAAGCTCAGGAGAGAGATACGGTAAGCAAATGAAAACTCTGGGGTAATTGTCCCACATAATGTATGCCTTAGGTACTAAGGACTTTGAATTCCATCCTTTATTAGTGAAAACTCAATAAATTACTTCAACAATTCTAGCTTGTTTCAAAAGTAAACAAAGGAACAGGAGCAGATAGAGGACTCTAAAGTCATGGGAAGCTATGAGATTGTCCAGCAAGTATGCATAGTGGCAGAAAAGAAAGTGATAGACCTTGAAAAAAAATCACTATTTAACAAATGGCTAAGGAAGAGAAATCTGATGAAGGGACCAAGAGGGGCAGGCAAAAGTTATAAGAAGCAAACTGGACTGTGAGTTTTACTTGAAACTAAGCAAGAAGACTTTTTGAAGGAGAAAGGTATGGGCAATAATGCCAAGTGGCCAGGATGTCAAGTAAGATAATGATCAAAAAGTGCTCAGTGAATTTAACAACTAGGATGCCACTGATGGATTTGATAAGAATAGTTTCAGTAGAGTAGCAGAGGGAGAAACCAGACTGTAGTGGACTGAGGTGAGAGGAGAACAAGAGGAATTGGAGAGGATGAGTGAAGACCTTTCTTTTTACCTACAAAAAGGAGTTAGGGTGGTAGCTGTGGGTTGAGATTAGAAAGAGAGAGAGAGAGATAGAAGAGTCCTGTTTTTCTACAAATAGAAATGAGAAAGAGCCAGGGGCTGGGCAAGATAAGAAGCAGATAAAGAAAAAAAGACAATATCCTCTGGCTTCAGGGTGTCTCAGTCTAGTGAGGAGACCAATGCACATTAGTGATTTGAACAATGTGCAGAGGGACTAGAAGAGAAGGTACATTTCAAGCCACTGGGAGAGTAAGAAAAGGCTCTGTCAAAGAGATAACATCTGATTTGACACTAGAAACAAAGGTAAGGCCACCAATCCAGGGCAGGGCATTAGGGAGGAAGTATATTCATTTGAGGACTAACCGCAGTTCAGTGTTACTGGAGCACAGGGGTCAGGGTGGGTGGAACAACAGGATGTGAGTTTAAAAAGTCAGACAGGGACCAGATCATAAAAGGCCCTGATGGAGTATGCAAAGGTCTTTGGAATATCTCTTGTATGCTTTGGCTAGTCAATAAAAAAATTATAAACAAGAAGGAAGTAATTAGATTCTCATGTCCAAAAGGTAAATCTTGCAATTGTGCGAAGAAAGGTGAGGGAGTTATTAGAGTGAGTAGTTCACACAAGTGATAAGTACTTAAACCAGGGATATTAAAGGTGACAGAGAAAAGTAAGGACATTGTGATTGAATAAGTGATTGGTTGGATTTCGAGAGCAATAGAGAGAGAGACGAAACTAGGTTGAATCTTTGATTTCTGACTTGCACACCCACCAACTGATTCCAGGGGGTGAGGACACCCCAACCAAGATACAGGAGAAGCAGGTTTTAGAGATACAAAGGATATGAGTTCAGTTTGGATGTGTTGAATGTGCAGCTTGTATAAGACTTTTTGGAGGAGCTGTTACATCATCAGAAGAAAGATCTTGTCCAGAAATGTACATTGGTATGTCATTAGTACTTACAGAGTAGCTGAAGTCAAAGACATAATTTAAGGGCTGAGTAAAGGAAGAGGATTCTACAGTAGATTGCAGAAAGACTGAAGGAGAATTAGAATATTCTTCCCTATCTTCCATCTCCACTTCTATTGCAGTTCCCTACTTTTGAACTCATTAATTTTGGCTTATCCTTAAAATGTAAGTTCAAGTATTATTCATTCATTCCCCTAAGAAAGCTTTTGTTGACCCCACAGACTTGACTCAGTCAGGTCACCTATTGTCTATTCTGATAAAACCTTGTACTTCTTCTTTCTGGCATTTATAAAAATTTAATCAAATAATTAATTATGAAATTATTTTCTCACTTCTCATGACCTTCCCTGCTAAACAGTAAGCTTCGTGAGAATAGGGGCCTGGCTTCCCTTGTTCAGTTATTTACCCCCAACAACTAACACAATGATTTGCATGTAATAGGCGTGCAATAAATAATTTTAATAAGTGAACAAACGAAAGTGTCATGGAAACCAAGAAACGAGTTGGTTTCAAGGAGTCATCAGTGGGGAACAATTTCAAAAGCTAGGGAGAAGTTAAGAAGGATTGAGAACAAATCATGACAATTTAGCATTTCAGCAGGCATTGGCGAGAATTTTTCACCCAGATTGCAATGCTCTTTGTGAAAGGAAAATAAAGAAGTTAAGTGTGGGTAGACCTCTCTTTTAAAAAAAGAAATGCTGCAGTTGTTTGAGAGATAGACAAGATCTTTTTTTAAATGGAGGATAAGGGAATGTGGAGAGCAAGAAATTAAAGACTTCTATAAGAACAAACGGTTAACTAATGTAGTAACGTTCTGAATAAGGCAAGACAGTATATAGCGAATTTTCACTTCTGAATACCTCCCATTGCAGGATTTATGTATACTTTCCTTTAAGAATAAAAGTTAAATATCATATACTAGTCTCAGAGGAAGAAAGAAAAGATGGCTATAGATCCATCTCTAGGTAGTCATCTTCCATGAACAAAAAAATTACCCTACTCTTTCATTTTCCATGAGTAATGTTATAGTCCTTAACTTCTAGAGACCACTTCTCCAGCCCTCTCACATAGCAATATATTTAATCAAATTCAGTTGTGGAGTGTTATTTTTTCTCTTCCAAAACAAATAAATAAATAGAGTTAGCTGTGAATTCCAACATCAGATCTTATTTGATAACATGAAAATCACCAGGTCCACATCCAGACTCATCCTCCACCTTTCAACGTGGTAGTAAATAGCACTGAAGGCAACAGAGAAAGCAAAGAGGAAAATGGAATCAGATTTCACTTCTGCATGCAGGATTTGTGTGTATTTTCCTTCGAGAGTAAAAGTTAAACTTGGTATTCTAGCAACTTCCAAGTATCATGGTTGATACCTTACGGAATGGGAAAGGATGACTTTTGCAAGCTTAAATCATGAACAACATTTGGAAGAAGGAGAGCTAGATGTGGACACAAACATGCTATATTATATCTGATTCAGGAGGGCTGACTCAATGTGTTATTATTCCTTCAAGCCAGGCAAAGTCACGTGAAAAGGAGTAACTCCTCAATTCACCAGTCTTAGAATAATGAGCCACTGTTATAAAGCCGATTACAAGACATTAGAAGATAGAACACTAGGAGAGATGGGGCTTGAGAGTAGCATGGTTGATGGCCTGGGTGGGAGGGAAAGGAAAGAAAGGGAAACCAAAGATAAATGATGGCTACGTCTCACATGATTACCACAATTATTACACATTCTGGACTCCCTCACTAGGACCATCCATCAGATAAAGCATTTTAGTTCTAGCTCTTAAGATATCAGTAGGAATTACTCTTAATCACAACAATCAGGAAAGGACAACTTCAGTGAGGTAGAACATTTGCTTTTCGACAACAATAAAGCACACCCAGATGCAGGAGTAAGAACGCTGGCACTCTGACAATTTTGGAGAATTTATTAGTTGCTCCCTCCTGTCTCTCACCTTTCTCTTCTGGAGCTACAATGTCAGACTAGGTCAAAGGTAGCAATTTCCAAGGAAACATCTATAGATGTCTTTGTGTACCAAGTTCTAACCATGTAGGTGTGTCCTGGGTGAGCAGCAGTACCTCTTCTCCTGCACAAAGTAAATATTTCTCACTGCAACAGTGCAGAGTACTTTACTGGACTTTGCTCATGCCCGTCTATAAGGACACATTTAAAAATAAAATTCACATAACCAGAGACACAGCAATGGTGAAAGAATGACAGCAAGGCACTTAGGGCTTATTATGACATTTATTGTTTTGCTTTAGTTTTTTTTTTTTCAAGCTTTAACAAATATCAAACAATTCAGTCTGCTGAATTAAAGTACTTCTTAGCATTTGCACATCATCAACCCATGAATATTAATAATTTCTAAATTATCTTTGTTCTAAGTAACATTTCTACGCCTTTTCTTATTGGATGAGGCACAGTAGCTTTTTTCTGGAATGAAGAGTAAGTACAAATAACTTTAAAAGAAGGTCAGTATCTTCTGAACACTGCTAATCTGAAAATATGTTTTATCTGATATGGAAGAAAATTAAATTCTTGTAATTCAAGAAAATAGAATTTGTGTTAGCTTATCCAATCTCTTAGAGGCTTAGTTTTTAAGTTGTGGTGAGTATCTGAGCCAATCCAAACATTTTTTTAAGAAAATCTTAGTCTTGTCTCCCATGAAAAGATGGAACTATTGTCTCCTAAGGCAAGTGTTCATAAAAAGATGATTTTTAAACTATGGAGATTATATAAATACTGAGAATTATCTTAAATCCTTTCTCACATCTTCATCCTGTTGGCACTGTCTCCAAGATATAACCTCTTGTTAGGATTCGTGGAAGAGATTTCTTTACAAGCATTTTCTTCTCTTAACTAAAGTTTAAAACAGAATTTATTCTAAAAATGCCCATAAATAATCTTTACTCATTCTCAAGAGACGTCTATATGTATAAACAGCAGACTAAGCCACACGGAACTCACGATGGTAGGTACAAAATGCTATTCAAGAACATCTGTAGGTCTTCCCAACCTCAGCACAACTAACATTTGGAGCCAGATAATACCTTGTTGTAAGGGGCTACCCTCCGCCTTGTAGGATGTTTAACAGGATCCCTGACCTCTACCAACTAGACCAGCAGGAGCCCAATTCCCCAGTGTGACAATAAAAATGTCTCTAGGCATTGCCTAATGTCCCCTGGGGGTAAAATCACATCTGGTTGAGTACCACTGGTCTACAATCCAATTTCTTAGATAATCTGTAGCCAATTTCTTCATAAACTGCTTATGGAGTATCTACTAGATAGATAAAACTAAATAAATATCATTTACTCTTGATTACACAATTATATAACATTATGGTTCAGAGTCACTTTATTACCACAATGTACTTTGAAGACCCCAAGCCAGCCATTCAAATATCCAGAAGAAGTGCCATGCTAGATACCTCTTTTTTTCATGTCTTTAAAGTTGCACAACACACCAGTCTGACTCATTCATATCTCTGACCAGATACTTCAAGTGTCTAGTTTAAGTTGGGTGTGAAGAGAAATGGCTGACTTCTCAGCCCCTTCTGAAGATTCTGGAAAAGATTACTTGATATTTCTTCTCTGAATGTTGAACCATTAAGGTTCTGTTTGCATTTAAGCTTTATAAATAACACGTTTCCCACAACTTCTTTTATTATTGAATGAATTTTTAAGTTATTTCTTTGACTGTTACCCATTTAACTTTAAAAATCTGCCTTTACAATTCCAATCTTCTATCTCAGCAATGTACTGGTTTACACTATTTTAAACCTCCATAATAAAATGTTTTATAATTTTTGATTTATGACATTTAAGGTTTCCACTAATTTTAAAAAAGCCTGTGCTTATTTCAGAGGGGTCCTCAGACTCCTAACACAGGAATCTATTGCTCTAATTTCTTCCCTTGGAAGATCATTAGATGTACGACAGAGCAACAGAAACCAATTACAAATACACATACTTGCTCCAGTGAACTTTTCCTTCCAGTGTCTGCATCTCACCAAGGATGGCGAGGAGAAGAGAGGACTTCCCACATCCCACTTGGCCCACAATCATGGTTAATTGACCTAGACAAATGAAACAAAGGATGATAACAGGATGAGATGAAAGTCTCTTAGTAAAATAAAATCAAAATACATTTAGAAGAGGCTGATGTTTCACATTCAGTGGCCCAGTTTTGGTGTCCAGCAATAAGGTATTCTAAACAGCTCCTTTCTCTGATACATAAGTTTTTTTGAAAAAGGAAAAAAAAATTAAAACATATAGGTCTTGATTTATTACTTCTAGAACTATGAGAATAGCTGACATTAGTAAAAAGAGCAACGAAATAATTCCCTAAATCATCTAAATTAGTGTTAACTTTATTATTCAACTTGTTCAAGAAGAAAAGACAGTTTTGACTAAAATAGATAATTGGTATGAAAACCCCAAATAATCGGGATTTGGGCTGTTATTAAGACGTCTTCTCCAATTTCTTACTTTGATTTACATGTATAATGGAAAAATCCCAAGCTAGGCTACCAGGCCAAGTCAAAAAAAATATTTCTATTCAATTATCCAGACATTTTAAATAAAAATTATTGGGTATTTGAGCCTTCTTGAAAACTTCATCAGCCTTCCTCAGTGATAGAGAATTATTTTCTCATATACTCTTTCATTAAATTCCTTCTCAAACAAAATGAGAAATAAACTACCCCATTATTCAAATGGCACAAATCAACAAATAAACTGATAAGAGTTCATTTGGACAGTAACTAACTTGTCCAAGATCTACACTCTGTAGTGAAAGGGAGGTTTTATCATTTCCACTCATTCCCATAGTGATACAGTGGCTCATGAACTCCATGGTGCAAATAAATAACTATAAATAATGCTTGTCTTTAAAAAGTCTTTCTTTTTTTTATTATTATTATTTTATTTCCCCCAAAGCCCCAGCAGATAGTTGCATGTCACATCTGTACATCCCTCCAGTTGCTGCACGTGGGACGCGGCCTCAGCATGGCTGGAGAAGCGGTGCGTCAGTGCGTGCCCAGGATCTGAACCCCGGGCCGCCAGCAGCGGAGCGTGCGCACTTAACCGTTAAGCCACGGGCCGGCCCTCAAAAGTCTTTCTTTTTATTAGGCTCAATCATCTTGGAAATCTATGGTTGTGATAATTAAGAATTACAAAAAATGAGTAACAAATGACTCTTACCTGTTGGAATTCGAATATCTATATTGGATAATGTAGCTAAACCACTCCCCCATGAAAAGTACCCATTTGTGACCTAGAAAATAAGAATACAGAAATTAAATTATAAAATTATGTGTATATATAGTGTTAGAGGGTAATTCCAATTAAAATAAATTTTCTTTTTAAAGCACTGAAAGACTTTCAATACATGGTAGAACACAGCGGTAAAATTCTAATTTAGAGCTGCAACTACAGTCACGCGCTGCATGACAATGTTTCAGTCATCAACAGACTGCATATAAGACGGTAGTTCCATAAGATTAGTATCATATAGCCCAGGTGTGTAGGCTATACCATCTAAGTTTGTGTAAGTACACTCTATGTTGTTTGCACAATGAGGAAATTGCCTAAAGACATATTGCTCAGAACGTATCCCCATCATTAAGCAACACATGACAGTATTTAGAGGTATAAAGGAAAAACAAAAAAGAATGGAAATGAAAGGAGGGTCTTTGAATTGGTGATATTATGAAGAATGCTAAAAATTACAACAATTTTTTCTGAAAATTTGGGATTACTGGATTATTTACATGTGAGCATTCTTAAAAAGTAATCATCCCAAGTATTTTCCAATGTAATCCCTACATTGATCATTTTCTCACTGCTAGGCAATTCCCAGAATCTAGTGATACAAAGTAAAGAATAGAAATAACTAACAATTATCCCAACAAAATGACTCTGTTAACTAAGGAGGAAGATTTTGTAATGAATGAGTTTCCTGAACTCTGTGGATATATCGCTATTCATTGAACTTAAAGGAAAGAGTGAAGGAGAGGGAGGGATAAAGCACAGAAACGAGGCAACACTGCTTAGTGGTATAAACCTCAACCACCAGCAAAGATCACAAGACCTGAGAGTCATCCAAAGCTATCCATTTGTCTTCACAGGCTTCAAGTGGACTTGATAGTTTTAACAGTTACAAAAATGAGAAACAGAAGAGGTATAACAGAACCCAAGGATTGGAAGGGTGAATAAAGACAGACAAGGAGAGAGAAGGTGCTTGAAAACTTAGAGGAAACTAAAGTAAGGATACATTTTGCTCATAAATTAATATTTTGTTTCAAAACCACACGTGATGAAATTTCTAAGCACATTATTATTTAGGAATTTTGAAGAATAGATTGGTGATGGCTAAACTGTAACTAAATCTATCCCTAAAGAGCTCTTAAATTGAACAACTTAAAGAGTGAAAAGGTTGCTTGAAAAGGCTAAATTGTGTTTTTCCATGTAGGTTTTCTCTACCTTGTAAAATGTATGGCATTTAGAAATACCCAACACACAGATAGGCCTGAAATTAGTCCTGGAAGGAGGGTGACCTGGAAAGGAAGGACTGAATTATTTATTGCTTTACAAACATTTGCTGAGCACACACTCTATGCGAGGCTCTGTGTTAGGACTGATGCAGGCTAGAGAGAAGGTATAATGAATCCTTCCTACTCCCTTGGAGCTTGCAATCAGTTGAGTAAATAAACCAAGGACAGAAGCAAGTACAATAAAAACAGTATGGGCTAAGTAACAAATGGAGGGGGCAGACACATAAAAAGTATAATAGCAGTTCAAAAAGAAAATCATTTTGAGATGAGTGAAAAAAAGCTTTTTGGCTTTTTGAAAGAGGTGGTTTTTCAGCTAGTTTTGGAAAATATATTTAATTTCAATGAAGGCATTTCTGGGTAAATAACTACAATGAGAATAGGCCCAGGACCAGAAAACTAGGAAACACATTGTGGGAAATAACAGAGCTGACTGGGGCTGAGGTTTAAGATACTGTGGCTAAATGACAAATGAGGCTCAAAGAAAATACACAGCCTCAGAGGCTGAGGATCCCTCTCTCTTGGAGAGAGGAGCCGAGCAGGCTAAAAGAGGTGCAAATATAGACGGGTTTGGAAGAGGGCCAGCACGGAACTGACAGAGGCCCGACATGACAACCTTTATGTGTTCAGTGAATTGGGAGTAAAGGTGATCTGCAGAAAGAGGAGGCTACAGGAGAGAGAGGTGTGAAGAGAGTGGTGACAGCTGAAGAGCTACTGTAGGTTATGGAAAAGAATGCTGTTGAGAGGCATGTAAAAGGAACGCCAGGAACTACTGAGGGTCAGTTGAGGCTGGAGATCATAAATCTGTGGCTATGCCAACTTGTCCCCGTGTGTCATTTCCTCCACAGCACACAGCAGCCTGGTTACAGGAGTGCAGAAGGCACAAGGTTGGATTGCTACAGAAATGTGCTAAAGGCCTGGGAGAAATGGAAGGGACTGAAGTTACTGGAGGTTTCAGTGAAGTTAAAAAACAATGACAGTCAAGGTGAATGCCTGAGAGAGCCGGAGGGTCAGGACTGGATGTCAGTGACTGACTGGTATAAGACAGTTTACGATTTCAGACGAGCAGCTGCTCCGGGTGGTGGCAAGTGTGACCACGGTGAGGCTGTGGAAATGGAGTGACAGTCAATTAGGGGATTTCTGGGCTAGGATACTAGATAGGCTGTGCACTTGGAAGTTTAAATCACATCCATGCACGGCAGCTAATAATTTAGAAAGATGGACTAGGAAACAGGTATCTAAATATTCCATGAGGTGGGGAGTGATGATGAGGTCCTCTGATAATAGATGTGAGAAAGGCAGAAAATGCTACAGCTTCACAAGAGCGTGAGAGAGGAAAGATAAGGTCTGAAAGCAGCAGGGAAGAACCAGAAGAATGCAATGTCACCTCCTGATTTGATGCTGTTGTTCCCTCTCTTACACAGAAGTAAAACAGGGAACAACCTCCACTTGAGGGGGATAGAGGAGAAGGCCACAGTTGGTTTCTCCTGCTGCTATTTGCACTGCCAGCCCCTCCTGCCTTTTACAAAATAGTCTCACTTCTCTACTATCAGGGTTAAAATCTTGGCTTCCCTAACTAGCTGTTTGACCTTGGAAAATCAGCTAACATATAAACCTTTGAAAGGTTCCTAAAAGGATAGGTACAAAAATGATCATCATAGCATGGTTTATGATAGACGGAAGATGGAGGCAAACCCAGCGGCCATCACTAAGGGATAAATAAAATGCAGGGATGCATACTCCAGAATACAGTAGTGCACCAGAAGGAGCAAACTATCATAAAAACAGTTCAGTATACTGAAAGCACGTAGACGCTCATGACAACATAACATATTTTACAAGGATATGAGTATGTTTAAGTGCATATATGGAGCACATTAGAGCTGGTACCATAATGGTGGGGAGGATAGGGGGAATAGGAGTGAGGGTCAGGGATAAGGGCAAAGAATGAATTAAAATGTAAAGGCAGGAACCAGACAGACACAAAAAGTCACCTAACTGTATGATTCCATTTATACGAAATATCCAGAATACGTAAATCCATAGAGACAGAAAGTAGATTGGTGGTTGCTAGGGGGATGGGGAAAAATGGGGAGCGACTGCTTCATGGGTATGGGGTTTCCTTTTGGGGTGATGAAAATGGTTTGCAACTAGATAGAGCTGGTGGCTGCACAACATTGCGAATGTACTAAATGCCACTGAACTGTTCACTTTAAAATGGTTCGTTTTATGCTATGTGAATTTCACTCAAGTAAAATAATTTTTAAAAATTTAAAGGCAGGGCCTTACATAGACCATTGTCCATTTCCTCCTGCTGAAAATAAGTAAAAATGCTGAATAAAATATAGTTTGTAAAAATGTCCATTAAAGCAAGGAGTAAGGAAATGCCACATCAAAGTATAAGGTAAAGAACAAATTCAGAAATGTGAGCCTGGAGCACCTAAGCCTCTTTCCCCGAAAAGGGCCAAGAAGAGCTAAGATATTTTAGAAGAAAAACAACAAGGTTTAAGAACCTGTCCTAAAAGAAGTCAATGTTCATTAGGAAGTTATAGTAATCATAACAGTGGAATATTGGACAGACAAATAAATCCGAGAAAAATAAATTGAGGCCAGCACTCAATCCAGAAATATAAAGATCCTTGATGTGTGACAGACTGCACTGAAGGTCACTGGGGACGGTGATCAATATATGGGGCTGGGACAACCAGATACCACACAGACAATTAAATCAGACTTACTACTAAATGCAGCAAAATTCCTACCGCTACATTTACTACTGCTGACCTTACAACTAAAATTATTTATTACTGATTTCTCTGCTAAATGTAGCAAAATTACTACCACTAAATTTACTACTGCTGAATTTACAACTAAAATTATTTATTACTGATTTCCCTGCTAAATCCCAACCCTACTTCATACCAAACACAAAAAATGATTCTAGGCGGCTTAAAGAACTAAAAGCAAAAGGTGTAGCCTCAAAGATTTTAGGAGCTAATACAGAATATCTCCATGACCTCTGGTAGGAAAAGTTTTCTTAAATGAGACAGAAAGCACAGCCATAAAGGAAAAGTCATATAAACTAGACTCCATTAAAATTAAGAACTTCTGATACTGTAAAGAGAATGAAAAGCCAAGCTACAGAGTGGGAGAAGAATTTTATAACATATATAACTGCCAGAGAAGTAATACCCAGAGTTTTTTTTAACAGGAGAGACAAATAAGCTGGCAATTCACAAAAGAAGAAGTCCAAACCCAAATGGCTAATATATGTAAGAAAATGTGCTCAACTCCACTAAAAATCAAAAAAATGCAAATAAAAATCACAGCAAGATACAACTGCACCTCCCCTCAACACACAATACACACTTTGGCAAAATATTGTAAGTATTGGTGAAGATGTGGAGCACCTGGAACTCTCGATCACTATTGATAGAAGTGTAAATTGGCACAACCACTTTGGAAAACAATTTGCAATTATCTAGGAAAGTTGAAGATGTACAGACCCTAGCATTCAGCAGTTGTTCACAACAGCCCCAAACTGAAAAATAACCAAAAGTCCATCAAAAGAGTAGAAAGGATAGGACCCGGCCCAGTGGCATAGCGGTTAAGTTTGCATGCTCCACTTCGGCGGCCCGGGGTTCACGGGCTCGGATCCCGGGCATAGACCTAGGCATCCAGCCATGCTGCAGTGGTATCTCGTATATAAAATAGAGGAAGATCGGCACAGATATTAGCTCAGCGACAATCTTTCTCAGCAAAAAGAGGAGGATTGGCAATAGATGTTAGCTCAGGCCTACTCTTCCTCAACAACAACAACAACAACAAATAGAAAGGATAAATAAATTCTGGTATATTCATAGAATGGAACACCGCACAGAAATGAGAATGAATGAATTATATATACATAATGTTGAGCAAAAGAAGCAAAGCATGCACACATACATCCATATATTTAAACCTAAAAGAACAAAAATATGTCTTCAGGAAGGCATACATAGCAAGGATAATCAAGGAAATGATGACTATAAAAGTCAGGGTGGGGACCGGCCCCATGGCTTAGCGGTTAAGTGCACGCGCTCCGCTACTGGCGGCCCAGGCTCGGATCCCGGGCACACACCGACGCAGCACTTGTCCGGCCATGCTGAGGCCACGTCCCACATGCTTGAGAAGGCGCCCCTTCTAGCAACTAGAAGGATGTGCAACTATGACAGACAACTATCTACTGGGGCTTTGGGGAGAAAAAGGGAAAAAAAAGGAGGAGGATTGGCAATAGATGTTAGCTCAGGGCCGGTCTTCCTCACAAAAAAAAAAAAAAAAAAAGTCAGGGTAGTGATTATATCTTAGGGGAGAGATATGAGGGAGCAGCAAATGTATGTGTTGGAGGACCTTTGGATGGAGCTGGCCATGTTTTCCTTGGTGGTGGTTGCACAGGTGTTTACTTTTATTTAATGGTATATGTTTTATGCACTTTCTATAAGTACGCTGTATTTCACAATAAAAAAAAGATTTCAAAAAGACAAATGAGTTATTATCAATTTGGGAATTTCCACCATGAAAAAACAACTTGGGCTTGAAAGTGGGCTTGAAACTGTAGTGGCCATTCAGAGGCATAGCATACTCTAGGCCATCGATAAGCATAGTTTTTTTGTTTTTTGTTTTTTTGTGAGGTTTTTTGGTGCATGAAGGGTCAATTTTGGGGAAAAAATCGTGATAGCCTCCCTTTTTCACTTTCAAAATGAGAATAAGGGCCGGCCCCATGGCTTAGCGGTTAAGTGCGTGCGCTCCGCTGCTGGCGGCCCGAGTTCGCATCCCGGGTGCACACTGACGCACCGCTTTTCCAGCCACGCTGAGTCGGCGTCCCACATACAGCAACTAGAAGATGATGTGCAGCTATGACATACAACTATCTACTGGGGCTTTGGAGGAAAATAAATAAATAAATAAAATTATTTTAAAAAAAAGAAAAGAAATTTAATAAGGCACATGGAAAAGACATATTTTTAGATTCCTACTATATTGAATAGAAAACGTCAATTAAAAAACTGACTGTTTTTTTAGTCACTAATATATTATTTCTTATGTGGGCATATTTGAGAATTAGCAGCATAGAGGACCCTTGCTAGTCTCTCATTACTTACTTTTCCATAGCCTAGTAGTTCACACCCTACTTGCACATTGTAATTGCCTAAGGAACCACTAAAACTGTTTTTAAAAGTGATGTCCAGGTCTCACATATATATTTTTAAAGCTTTCTAGGTGATTCTAATATCCAGCCAAGGTTAAGAATCACTAGAGCTCTTTAAAATTCGCGGGTGACATATTTTATCCTCAAAACAACCATACTAAAATGATGTCCCCACCTCAGGATGGGCAAACCATGGCTCAGAGAGTCCATTTGCCCAAAAGTCACACATCAAATTAATGGCAAAGGTAAGGGTAGCATTAGCTCATTCCATCCAATACCACATTTGCTCCAATTGCTAAGCACCTATTGTGGGACAGGTATCATGTCAAGCAATAGGGAGAGAGGGGAGAATTAAATGTAGCTCTTGGCTCTACTGTACACCCCACCGAGCCTCCCTCGCTCTCTGACTGGGCCGGGCAGTACAGGGGGTTGGATAGCTCCAACCAGCCAATGCAGCTAGTTTTCTAAACAGCTAGTTTCCAGGACTTCGGTGGCTCTGATGTCCAGACGCCCTTGACTGCTGCAGATATCAGTTCCAGTTCCTGCAGGGCACAGACCCCTCCCTGGGGCTTATCCCAATTCTCCATCCTCAGCTGGTGTTCCTGTGGTGGCCTGTTCTACGAAGCACACATGCCTGGGGAGAGTACCAAAGGCTGAGTTTGAAATGAGATGAAAGACAGTATTGGGAAGCTGGGTGAACGCATGCAACACTGGTCTAAGCCCTTTCTAGATGAATACAACTGCTATCTAATTTGTTTCCTTTAAAATTAGATTTATATTATTAGTTTTCTCTATAAATCAATTTACTTGGTAGATAAACATAAGAGGCAATACGTTGGATACTAGCTTCTAACGCAGATTCAGGTGAAAGGCTCATGTTCCAGTTATTAAAACATACTGTTGGAGCAAAAACTGTGGTTAGAAGATGAGGAAGGACTGAGAATTACAAACTCATCAGCATATTTTTGAAAATCTTATGAGGATTAGTGATCACTGTAAAGAGACTTTAAAGATACGATTTAGGACACTTTTGCAGAGCTTCACCATAAAATAGTAACATAAATGTTTCTATTCATGTAAGAATCCAGGAAATAAAATAACCTTTATTGCAATATCCTCAGACTCTACAGGACGTAGACGTCGTGTTGATTGCTCATAGCTGTCCAGGTGATATCGTCCAGGCTGCTTCCTGTTTATAGTTTTTGGCTGCTGCATTCCAAATGGAAAAGAACACAAGTTGAAGCTTTATGAAAACAATTGAGGTTTTATCGAACATTGACTCACATTGCTACTTCTCCACGTGAATTCCAAGAAAAAGAAACAAGTAAAGTGAATGTCATATGTTAATTATTTCAATGGCTTCTCCAAAAAAGAAAAAAGCAAATGATAATGAGAAAGTGATAAGCTATCATTTTAAATCTAATTTACAAAGCTTTTAAGAAAAATGAAAATATGAAGATGTGATACTTGCAAATGATGGAAGTTAAAGTGCTGAGCCCCAAACTAGGTTTTGGATAGTCTTTCTCCAGTTATCCGGATGAACATATCCAGGCAATAAAAAGCTGTGTCAGGTCAAAAAGCAAGCAGACTAACTCAGGTTAAACTTGAATCTACTTGTTAGGCCATTGGACTTGTTCAAGTTCCAACAGTACACTTTTGATCACCTTCCGAATCATTAGATTGGGCTACACATCACCCAAGATTCCATTGTGGAGTGAGAAAAAGCATAAAGATCTAGGATTTTTTTTTTTTTGCCCAAACAAGTATATTATTTCATAAGGATCCATAAGCATTGTAGAATGATCTAGTCTTTCTCAAACATTATTGCATTGTTCCTAGTCAAAAGACTAAAGTATCCATGATAAAGAGGTTGCCAGCTAAGGTTGGACAGTCTCCACATACTTAAAATAAGCTTAAGTTAGGTCATAACTAGAAATTTGTTATTTTCTAATTTTGAGTTTAATTTCACGTAGATAGAGATAAATGGCTAAAGAGAAGTTAGAAAATTCAGCTCTGTAAATCTCTCATTTAGAAAAATTCATAAGCTCTCAATTTGTCCCAGGAATCTAATGAGTGAGTATTTCAACATAATTATCTATCTTACTTAAATACCTTATAGAGATTATGAAGGCTAAATAGTAATATACTTTAAAACTATTAAATTACCTATAAAAGCAAAGAGTTCTAGAATTGTGAAACTCCCTTTTTTTTTTTTGGCCTGGAATTACAGGTTGAGCTTTTTGAAAAATCCACTGAGTTCTACTATGGGGATTAGGAATGTCCTCAAATAATCAGTAATTTAATCCAAATAAGACATTTCTCTTCCAATTTCCATCAATTGGTGTATCAACAGAATACCAAACTATCAAACAGTACCTTGCTAAGCACTGCAAATAACTACACAGATTAAAAAGCCACTGAGAAGAACCAGCAGTGGTTCCATCACACAGAAAATACTTAATGCACTTTAACTTAAAAAAAGAAAAAAGAGAATGTTCACGAAATTTTATTTTAGTTTTGTTTTTCTTCTCACAGTCCTCACAGATGACCCTGGAAGCGTATTGCATGAGATGTTGAAAGTCACTATCACTTAAGCGAAGTATATTTTTCACACAAGACAGGGCTATACCTCTACTATATTCACTGTCTTCTAGAGTCTTCAATTCTATAGTAGTATTGCCCCCAGAGATCCGAAAGGAATGACTTCACGTTCTTCACAAAACTAATGAGAGGGTGGGAGGAAGAGATGTGTTGACAGAGATTTGAGTCAGAGTTCCACAGATGTAATTTGAAGAGACTTTGGCTCTAGAATGTCACTAATTCTCCATGGAGATTCTACAGCCAAAACCACTTAACTCTACGCTTTTACAGAATACATAGCATCTTAAGCACTCTCAAGAAGGAGTTTCCATTAGTGTTATTTTCAAACACACAGCTTTTTTCACTCCATTTAAAAAAGTTTGTCCTTTGTGGTTTGGCCCATCAGCAGTGATGAATGATCCTGAAAGACATCAGAAGTCCAGTCTGGTTTCAATAACCCTGAAGATATTGGATGCATTTGAAGGGGATTCTTTTTCCTTCCAAAAACCTTTTCTCAGTTCAATTTTTCTTCTAGCCCTCATCTCATACAAACTTCAGATTCTTCAGATTTCCCTAACTCCACAAACTTGACCTCCTCCATCTCCTTTCTTGAGGTCATCTCACTCTGCTCTTCCCCACATCTCTGAAAGATGATCTAATAAGTTCTGTGGTAATCTCCTACCATCCTAAGTGTGACAAGGCTGGCTCTAATCAAATTCTTGACTTTCTTGCTGCCTCAAAGCGTAGACACTCTATAATGTGTTCTTGTCTTTGTGTCCATGTCCACACAATAGCAAACAAGCATTTTCAGGCATTGTTGCTCCAGCATATATAAGCATGAGTGGTAGTTCCTTCTCAGACAAAATCACATCTGCTCAATAAAATAACCTAACAGAGAGTGAAAAATAACTCCAGAAAACCCGAAGAAAACAGCAAGTTTAAATATAGCCAAGTGCTCATCTTAACTATTTTTAGCAGTTTTAAATAAAACGTAAAGAAAAATATAACATAGATTTCCAAGCCTCAATCAATTCCAGTCAGGAGAGTGCATGTGCATTTTTGTTTGGTTACATAAATAGTAAATATTCATATTTTTCTCTAATAGTAACAAGAATACCTAATATTAACTTATGACTCATTTTAGAATAACATCTTTCTACGTTACTGATATGAAACATACATATTAATTTTAAAGACTTTCTTCAGAATTTTTCAGACACACCTTTCAAGAAGGGGGTATAATCCAGTCCTATTGATTTAAATATTATCTAATGGCTAATGACTCAAATTTACTTCTCCAATGCTCACTTCTCTTCTTGGATGTCAATAAATATCTTAGAATTATCATGTGCAAAATATGTCTCTTGATTCCACCTCAACACCACCCTACTCATTTCTCAGCTTCCCTATTTCAGTTAATGGCTCCACCATCTACCCAGCAGTCAAGCCAATAACCTAGGATTCCTTGTTCAGTCCTCTTTCTCCCTCATCCCCTGCATCCAATGTATCAGCAAGTCTTTATCAGTTTCACCTAAGAAAATTTACACTGAATTTGATTACTTCCTAGCAATATGCACTGCAACTGCAATAAAAACTAATTCTAACCATCATCATTTGTTGCCTATGTTATTATAATGACGTCTGTACCAATCCCTCTGTTCTACTTGTATCCCACCCAGTAGCCAAAGTGATCTTCTAAAAATATAAACAATATTATATTAGTCTGTATTTTAAAACTCTCCAATGGTTTCCTATTGCATGTCAGTTAAATCCAAACTCTCTCCATGGTCTACAAGACCCTCAATCCTTGTTCTTACCTTGTCTTTTCCTTCTCCACCAGGCGTCAACCATAGTGCCCCTCTGTTCCTTGAACACACCAAATTAATTCCCACCTCAGGGTCTTAGCACCTACCAGTTCTCCACCTGAAATGCTCTTTTCTCAGTCTTTGTAGAACAGGTACCTACTCTTCATTCAGGTCTCAGGTCAAATGCCAACTCTCCAGAGGGCTGGGCCTTCTGAGAAATGACCACCCTGCTTTGAGCATCCCAGTCACTCTCTATTACCTTCTTTTATTTTCTTCCCACAGTGAAATTATCTTTTTTATTGGTTTGTCATCTGAGTGCTGCCTCAAGAAAGCAAATTTTGTGACCAGAAGATTCTTGTCTACCTTGTTCATAGCTATATCCCTAGGTCTTGGCACAAAGTACAGGGTAGCCAATAAGTCTGTAACATAGGCAAATACATAACACATGTCATATGACACGTAATACATGACAAAATAATACCAACTGTGTTTCCAGGCTTGATGTAGATACTGAGTAAATATTTGTGTAATGGATAAATAAACTGGTTCAGGAGTTACAAGGCTCAGATTTTAATTCTGGCTCTGCCACTTACTAATCTTATAACTTTATTCAAACCACACAACATGCAAACTCAGTATACTCATCTAGAAAATAAAAATAGGTAATGTAATGTAATACACTGAGTCAAAAGACATAATGCATCAAAAAGCACTTTCCAAACTAAAGAGTGTAATATAGCTAAAAGGTATTATAAGAATATGGTGCAGGGGTTGTAAGCTAATTTTTTATTATTTTTATATAGAGCTTGGGGTAGACAACCTCTCAATTTCCTTTTGAATTGAACATATGCTGTCCCTCATGAGATAATTCTTTGGTGATTTATAAAGACAAGCCTTATACATTTGTGTATTGATTTTAGACTTGTGAGGTTTGCTGTGGAAGCAGGTGGCAATTTTTCTTTCTATAGATCAAAAGTAAAGCTTATGATTTCTTCTAATTGGATCCATTTTAAACCATCCATTCTGGACTGTCCCTTATTCACAGCTTCCATAACAAGGAAAAGCACTTACGACTCCAGTGTGTTTCTTACAGGACTCAAAAGGGAGAGAGCCTTCACCAGTTCGCCAGCTGTCCTCACCAATTTCATCACTCAAGAGAAACTCATTTAGCTTTTGAACACTGCAAGAAGCAAACAAATGCAAAATAAGGCTTAAAAATAAAACCACCACCAACGAAGTTCTATCTAAATAAACAATCTTTTCCCCCACTCATTATCATGTTGAGCAAGCTGCCTCTGAGAGTCATTTCTCAAGACCAACTGGGAATTCAGCTAGAATGAACAAGCATCCTAAATTGCCTGGGACTGATGGGCTCCTGGGACCTGAGACTTTCAGTGCTAAAAGCAGAAAAATCTCATGAAAACCAGAAACAACTGGTCACCCTAAATTCTGCCAAATTTCTTTTGCACTTCTTTTTGCAATTGTATTCCTTGTCAAAGATGGTAGAATTGGAAAGGAATTGGAAACAGGGTGGTTAAAAATGATAATACTAATCAGAGAAGTACTCTTAGTATTCTAATTTTACAAATGAGGGGAAATAAGGTACAGAGAAGATAAGTAGCCTGCCTAAAAACATTTAGCATGTAACACACAGATCTAGGGTCCATGCCCACTATGCCATCTTGCTTCAGTGCTATATATTACACATATTTTCTGGACCTAGCAAGGAGAGGGCCCTCTAGAGCCCACTTGTTATTCCAAGTGTTGGCCAAGGATCAGCAGCATCAACAGCACCTGGGAGCTTACTAGAAACAGAGGATCTCAGGCCCCACCCAAGACCTACTGAATCAAAATATGCATTTTAACGAGATCCAGAGATGTTTAATAAGCACATTACAGTTTGAGAAGCCCTGCTCTACAACAGTGGTTTGCAAACATTCCTTACTATGGTCTCCTTAGGCTGGGCACAAGACTTCTTGGCCCACCTACCCCTCCCATTGTAATTTTCTCAAACCAGTGTCATACGATCAGGAGCAAAAAGAATCAAAGAAAACATAATATGATTTGAAAACATCCTTCTACAAATAAAATAATACACTCAAGAAAATTCTGTAAAGTTGCAAAGGAAAAGAATTGCTCCTTTCAGCATGGTAGCATGCTGAACGTGGACAAACCGGTTTGGCACATGCAGCATCAACTACAGGGGAAATATTGCGTTTGGTAGGAAACTAGAAAATATACACTTGAAACAAAAGGTTTCTTTTGTTAATTTTTCATTTGAGCTTGTAGTCAAGATAAGTGCATCCAGATAGGTCTGCATAGTTTGTTTTTGTGACAGACTAATAAAATGAAGAGAAGTATATTTAATTCAGTCTGCTGCCCATGATCTTTAAGCTCTTTAACCTCATATGCCATAGAAACTGCCTCCCTTCATCCGAAACATAAAGGTAGATATAATCCATTCGGCAGTCTAACTACTTATTAGCTTTCAAATTGCATTTACCGGGAACTGAAAGAGATAATTGTGTAAGAAAAGCTTTGGCTGAATAATATTCCATTGTATGTATAAGCCACATTTTGTTTATTTATTCATCTGCTGATGGACATTTGAGTTGTTTCTGCTTTTTGGCTATTGTGAATAATGCCACTCTAAACATGGGTGTACAAATATCTATTCAAGTCCCTGCTTTCAATTCTTTTGGGTATATCCCCAGAAGTGGAATTGCTGGATCATATGGTAATTCCAAGTTTAATTTTTTTGAAGAGCAGCCAAACTGTTTTCCACAGCGGCTGCACCCCGGTTCTGGAATTCTTGACTCACTTAAATATATTAGAGTTATGGAAAACATGGATGAACCTTGAAGGGATTATGCTAAATAAAATAAACCAGGCACAAAAAAACAAATATGTATGATTCCACTTATATGAGGTATCTAGAATAGTCAAATTCACAGAGACAGAAAGTCAATGGTGGTTACCAGGGTCTGGAAGGAGAGGTAAATGGGGCGTTATTATTTAATGAGTATACAGTTTCAATGTGAGAAGATGAGAAAGTTCTGGACATGGATTGTGGTGATGTTTGCACAACAAGGTGAATGTACTTAACGCCACTGAACTGTACACTTAAAATGGTTTAAATGGTAAGTTTTATGTTATGTATATTTTACTGCAATTAAAGAAAGAATTTCAGAACAAAAAAAAGGAAGAGATTTGGTTTATGCGCTCTCTTGAGTGTCAGCAAAGCCTGACCATATGGACTTGAAAGAGTGTTAGAAATGCCTTAGGAAATGTCATTTTATTCATCTTAAATGGCAGTTATTCCTTCTTTACTTTTATAACTTTAATTTTCATTCTGTTCTTATGTTTTGAAGAGATTGGATTTTAAGGAGCATAGCTCTGTCAATCAAAGGAGTACCTTTTAAATAATCTCACACTATGTCTTTGCACACAAAGGAAAGTACAAGGCCAGGCTCGTTTGCCTTTGTAACTAAGTCTAGGAGCTCCTGGAACACATTACTCAATGAATGTTTGTTGAATAAATCAAAGAAGAAATAAACCAATGATTCAGACATTTAAGTAAAGTTGGTTGATTTGGTTCTCTATTTCCTTTTTCTAGTACACACACAAATCTTACTGAAGCTTTTACGGAATTAACGAGCCCCATTCCTGTTAAACATCAGGAAGCAACAGTCCCTGAGCATGACTGGGGCAAGAGGAGAACTTTCTTTCCTCTGTATTAACATCTCACTTTGGAACTCCAATTAAATGAACATCTAAGGACCCCAAAACTAACTCTTCTCTGAACCTCCCCCATCCTATCCCTTCCCCTGTCCCCATCATTCTAGGCTCTCTGGCTGAGGGTCCCCTGCGCTGCTATTTGGCACTGTTTTGTTACTATCTGTCTCTCCCACTAGACTGTGAACTCCTTAAGAACAAAGATTTTCATCTTCAGAATCTAGCCCAATGCCAAAAATATAATAATTCCTCAAGAAATGTCTGGTGAATGAATAAATAGGTAATATAAAAAGCATTTCCTGTTCATATGAGGTCCTTTTAGAAATCACAGAGGCAAAACAACTATGGAAAAATGCATGAATCCTGACCAAGGGTGAAGTAATTTCCACCACGCTGCCAGGGTTATATTTTAAAAACACAAATCTGTTCATACACCAATCTTCTCCTTAAAATAACAAATGGCACCCCTTTGCCTTTCAGCATCCTTAGCATCATCTACCAGCTGATCAGGATTTTAGTCTCCAGCTTCATCCCCTGACACTTTCCACATCACAACATTTCTCCAATTATACTCAACTACATTTAGTCTGCTGAATGTACCAAGATTTCTCACCTACTTATTCACCCTTTCTCCGTGCATAGGTAGCTCCCTCAGATAGAACATGTTTTCCCTTTTTCTTCAACTGACCAAATCCTACTTATTCTTTAATATGAAGGAACCACAACTTCCTTTAAACTTCCACTGATCAGACCATCTGCCTGCTCTCTCGATGAGCTTCAATGGTCCTCATAGATGGGCTCACGGCATTGTGTAGAGCTCTATAACAGCATAACACACCATATGGTAATTAGTTTCCCCTCCTGGTCTCTCCAACTAGACTGTGGACTCCCTGCGGATTTCACTCTACCTTTCATCTTTGCAATCCCTAATGCCTAGCAACGTACCTGAAGCGTTAATACATGCACAGAAGATCTCTCTTAAGCATGGAATGGAAATTAGTAAAATGATGTTAAATTAGTAAACTGGAGATTTGTAAAATACCTAAAATATTTAGGCAATATGCTGAGCACTTTCATGTAGTATCTAATTTAATTCTCTCAACCGCCATAAGCAGGACCATTATTGTGCTCATTTGACAAGAGAGGAAGCTGAGCTATAGAGACACTAAACAACATGCTCGAGGTTGATCAATGAGTATTCCAGGGCAGTGCTAGGATTTGAAATCAGGTATCTCTGACACCAACCAATTTCCTATCCTGCCTCCACTACCTTTATAGTTCAGCATTTTACTAATTTTTCATTTGTTTAGATAATTCATAAAAGTATTTAAGGTTTCAGTTACACGTTATTTTTTCACTTTTCAAGTTTCACTTTGGGTGTTTAGATACAACTTGAATACCTTGGACAGGTACTATCTTAATTGGGAATAACTGATTTTGTTGCTGTTACGTGTTTTCCTGTAGGAACTATGAAAATTTTGTAAACAGGGACCAGGTCAAAGTGTACGCATGCTCTATGATAAATATCAGTAACAACGTATTTGATCTAAGGTAGTCGCAGAAGACTAGCCAAGCATATACTCCTTTGGGAGGTACATGAGAGAAAGGACACAAAGGTATTTTCCAACTAAGTGAGGGATTAATTTTACACATTTTTCCTTCAGCAAATAACATCTTTGGATTTAGATACTGCATTATATACCAAATACCAGAAACCTAAACTCAAATCATTTATAAAGGATACAACACATCACCTTACATTCTCCTTCAAAAAACAAAACACGTAAATTATTTCCTTACAAATAAAACAAAGTGGAAAAGTGAGGCAAGCATCCTGAAAAATCACTCTTATTGAAGTATTTTAATATTTTAGATAATAGTGACTTTTCCTACTTTTCTTCATTTCTTCACTCTGTTTTGCAAATGTAGACTGGAACACAACATAGTAAAATGTCCAGAAAACTCTAACAGTGTGAGGTGATAACCCGAATCATAACTGCCTCTTTCTTCCATTTTATTATGTATACACGTGGTCCCACTCATTGAGCACCATGAAGACAGTTTTGGCTAACAGGGCACACATTTTTAAAAGAAAGCAAAGAATTCTCCTGTAGCAGAGAATTTTAGATGGCATAGAATTTTCCAACAGTAGAGAAGTTTACAAGTCTCTTACATGCACGTATAACACAAGTTTGGGCACATACTGCCCCCCATTCTAACCCATCAAATTTCTGAATGCATTTAAGAATACAGCGAAGAACTTATCACTTCCACAGTCCTGAAGAGGAGGTTTCAAAGTCAGCTGACCAAAGTTTCCGATTATAAACAGGCTGCTCAACTCGCTGTGGGCCAACTGGCATCAAAGACTGGTCACGGGTCCCCAGGCACAGAAGAAAACGCGAGCCCAGTCAACACTGGGAAAATGCTCTTTTGGGTTCCCAGAACCAGCACACAGTGGGAAAATGCACTGTCCCCCTTTGTTGACCAGTCATCTCTGCAGGACCCACAAATCAACCACTGAAACTCATTTCAGAGAAGCAAGCTTTTATAAGCTGATTCTATTTGGCCTATGGCTTAGGAAATCTGGAGCTGAGCCCTGAAAACAGACTGGTCTTTATCAAACTGGCAAATGCCTTTTCCCTGGAACATGCAGAAGAGAGAGTGCTATGCAGAAAGATACAGGGAATACTATCTACCCTAAACTTTACTAGGATTTACTACAGTAGGATTGTATACTATGGACTTGGGGGACATCCCAAGATTTATTGTTTTTCATATCGATTCTTAAAGTCCTTTTGATGCTTGGTAACTTGATTTCAAAGGAGTTATCTGTTATAAGTTATCAACTGCTTTCTATCTCCACTTGTAGCACAAAGTCAAATTCCAATTAAAAATGCAACCATGAGAGGGACAGCTATTAAATGGAGAAAATGAAAATAAGGACCAAAATAGCAGACTCTGGCCATTTATCAATTTTATTGTTTGCAGTAGCTTCTCTTCCAGAGCACTGCCTAATTTGGAAGTGGTGCTACAAAAATCCGTCAGTGATCTGTACGTGTTTCAGAAGGCAGAACAATAAGAAAAGAAAATGAGAGCAGATGAGGGTCTGAGCTTTAAACTCTAACAGGTCCAGATTGGGGACTAATGACATATCTTACAGAATGCAACTGAAATCACGTTATGATGCTATTGTAGCCAATTAGAAGTTGGTTTATAATAAGATAATGTACACTCATTTTAATGTTATTTGGTATTTAGCCATTGTTTAGCCAATATAAACTATTGCCTGAAACTGGACATTCTGGTACTTTGAATATTAAATGCTAGTTTCCTAATTGGCATTGGGAAAATTATCTCACTTTAAAAGACCTTACAAGAGATGTTCTACATTGCTATCAATGGCAACACCATGCTTCGTACATTTAAGGCCTCAGTTTTCCAATTTTCCTCCAGTATTTAAACATATTGCCATTTCTTTCAAAAGCCAGATATAAATATGATAACTGTTTAGGAAACATGCTGAGGTTTTATAAGGTTTATAAGATATTACAGCAAAAAGCAAAATACTACTTTAAGATTGTCCTGAGTATAAGACACAGTAGACTATGGAACACACAGCGTAGTATAATATAGTTTGGTAATGTATTTATTATATAATACAAGTAAAGATGGTGTGGAAATGGTCATTGTCATATCACATCTATTTTTATAGTTGTGCATTGTGGGAAATTGTGAATCTGAGACAGAGTCTACACTGGTTAGAAGCACTATGGAAACATATTTAAAAGGAACAAACACTGAGTGGTTTTGCAAAGTCTTTCCATTTGTTGAGACTATGAGCCTGGAATTTTTTTTTCCAGATTAAACTAAAATTAAAACAGTAAACATGCATTAATGGGAATATTCTCCGTCACTGTTGGTGCAAATATAAACTGGTACAGCTTCACGAGAAAATATTACAGTTAAGTCATAAAAAAAATCTTAAAAATTTGTACACCTTTGACCTATCATTCTTTCAATGGAAAGCAACATATTCATTGAGGACCCAAAAAATGTGCATACCATTAAAACTAGTATCCCCACTTCTAGAAATCTGACTTAAGAAAACAATCAGAGAAAAATTTAAAGATAAAGATGTCTATATCAATGTTATTTATATTATTTATATTAAGTAGAAACTAGAAACACTTTAAATGCCCAATAAAGCGGTAATCATTAAATACATTAGAGTACTTCCAAACAGTGGACTATCACATAGCCACGAGACATCGTGTATTATGATCTTAATGAGGGGAAAATAATAAAAACACTAAGTGAAATAGGAGTCAAAAGCTACATACAGCCAAAATTTTTATTTTAGAAGAATAATTATTATTTTCATTTTAGAATAATTATAAAAGACTGAAACGTAGCATAGTAAAATTTTAACAATAGTTCTCTCTGGGCAGTGATTTTAATATTCTTTTTTATACCTCTTCTAATTTACTACCATGAGCATATATTATTTCTAAAATCAAGCAAAGAATTTCAGGCATTCCGGTGCATACCTTATGATGGCTTTGACAGCAAATCTGACCACTGTAGAGAGCAGGAACAGTGGCGTGACCAGGATGTGAAAGAGAGACAGTGAAGCAAAGGCTTCTGCAGGTTTTAGATTGTTCCCACTAGCATATGCATGGGTCACAAACGTCTGTGCAAAGAAAGGATTTCTTTAGACAAAGCTGGAGAAAGTTTCACAAATGATTACATTCAATTTTACAAACCTAGTATATTCTGCTCTGCCAATATGTCCAGTGCAACTATGAAAACAATTACTTCATCCAAATTACTCCCCAAGAAAAATAATACTTACTCTCGGTAGAGTACTTCATGGTTTACATGTCATCTTAGCATAAACTTGTGAGAAGGACAGAGTAGATTCTATTTACACATTAGGAAACTGACTTCTGTCAAATTACTGAGTAAGAGGAATAACTGAGGATAAGCCTGAGTTCTCAACAACCAGTCAGGCTCTTTCCAACCAATACCAAATTTTCTAAGAGAAAAAGAGAACGTTCCATTGTTTTAGGTCCCTATTAGGGATCTTTACTAAAATTGCCGACACTGGTATCCAATGTAGATTTATTTACATTTCAAATAAAACACTGGTTCTTGGGTTTGTCATTTGAGTTTGAAATATAATGTAATTGTCTAACATTTTCTGGTTATTGATCTAGCACTATCCTGTTGTAAGAAGGTCCAGGAACCCGGGTCATGGAGATTAGAACAGTTAGTTCTCAACTGCTGTTAATTTTGCTCCCCAGGGCGCATTTGGCAATGTCTGGAGATATTTTTGATTGTCACGACTGGAGGTGATAATGGCATCTAATAGGCGGAAGCTAGGGATGCTGCTAAACATCCTAATGCAGAGGACAGGCCCTTATAACACAGAATTATCTGGGCCAAAATGTCCCTAGTGCCATGGTTGAGAAACCCCGGATGAGAACTATTGCAGTGGAGTCTGCAAAGAGAAAACTGGCAGAAGTAAGGTAACATGTATTACCACCCACACATTCCTTTCATAAATCATTTCTAAACACTGACTTAGTTCCATTTCTAAAAGCAAGAAAAAGTGTCTTACAGCAAGAACAGCTGCTATGGGAATTGCTGCGTTCATGAAGACTGTGGAAAGAAATCAAATACATTAGTTGCATGGAACCGTGAAACATTTTCAGTAACTTTAATTAATCATCTATTATTATTTTAACTTTCCCTGAAGACAAGGACCAAGTGCGTTAAACAACATTTTGTCTGAGTCCACAAACATTTCCCAGTTGGCATTTCCCTATTTGCAGTTGTATGAGCCCCCACACATTAGTCTTAAGCAGAAAATGTTGCTCTTACTGAAAAATTATCGTTTTTGTGAAATGTTACAAACAGCAAAATTCAGATAGAATAATACTTCAATGATGCAAATTATTAGAATTTTAAAAATTCTTTTTGGGGGGCCGGCCCCGTGGCGTACTGGTTAAGTGTGCGCGCTCCGCTGCTGGCGGCCCGGGTTCGGATCCCGGGTGTGTACTTACACACCGCTTGTCAGGCCGTGCTGTGGCGGCGTCCCACATAAAGTGGAGGAAGATGGGCACGGATGCTGGCCCAGGGCCGGTCTTCCTCAGCAAAAAGAGGAGGATTGGCATGGATGTTAGCTCAGGGCTGATCTTCCTCACAAAAAGAAAAAAAAAAATTCTTTTTGCATTCTTGAGAGTTTTTACAGTCTATATTTTGTTTGGTCCACTAAACTAAGATAAATATATGAAAATTGGGTTATTACAGATTAAAAACAAGAATCTGACATCACTTCAAGCTCTCCTTCCAACAGTGATATTAATATTAATAGCTCACAGACCTTTTGCTTATAAAATAACTCCATATCCTAGATCCTCTGCTTTTTTAAATATCTCTCCAGGAATATATTGCATTATCATTTGATAAGCATGATACGCATAATGGAAACAAGAAAAACTCATATTGTAGGCTAAAATACTAGCATTTGGAAGTCATAGTTTAAAAAAAGCCAAGCTGATGACTTGTAGTTATATTTTTCATAAATCATAGAATTTTAGGGACTGAGGACTAAAAGATTAAGTGAATTGTTGGTAACAGAGCCAGACAATGGCACAGCAAGAGCTAGAACCTAGTTTTCTTGACACTCAGGAGATAATCCATCCAAAAATCATCCTCAGTTCTCATGATTTGCTCTCATGAACTATCTTTATCACTGTACACAGAATCAGCTTATGCTTCGGCAGGTCAGACGTGGCTTAGTTATCAAATCTGAATTCTTGAACAGTACCAGGAATCTAAACGTGGCTCTGAGCTTCATACCAGCAAGATGAGGAGCCACGTTTCTGTCTTCGTCTTCTTTCTTTGGCTAATATCACCCTTTTTTCCTACATGTACGTCTTTCTTTTCCCTCTCATCATTATTTGTAATTCATTTTTATATTCTGCATCTTTAAATAAGTAATTCAACCTTTTTTTTTTTTTTTTGGTGAGGAAGATTAGCTCTGAGCTAACATCGGTTGCCAATCCTCCTCCTTTTGCTGAGGAAGATTGGCCCTGGGCTAACATCTGTGCCCATCTTCCTCTACTTTATATGTGGGACGCCTGCTACAGCATGGCTTGATAAGTGGTGCGTAGGTCTGCGCCCAGGATCTGGACCCGCGAACCCCAGGCCGCTGAAGCAGAGCACGCGAACTTAACCACTACACCAGTGATCTGGCCCCTAATCTCCTCTTGATAAGGAAGAGTGAGAACAACTGCTCTTTTATTAAAAACTGTTTATATAGCACTCTGCATCAGGCACAGGTAGCTGGTACTCTTCCTATCCCATTATAAAGATGAGAATGACAAGCTTAAGGTCACACAGCCGGGATTCAAACCCACGCAGTCCGGCTCCTCATACTGTGCTCAACACCACTTTGCTCTGCTGCTACTCAACAACTCACAGTTACTGAGGTATGATGGGAGTACTTTCACATACACTCTCATATTTAATGACTCCAACTACCTCACCTAATAATAATGAAACAGCATAGGAAGGATGAGTAACGTGCAAGATTCCAAACTAGGAGGTGATAGAGCTTGGATTAAAACCCAGATCTTTCTGGTCAAAAGATTCATGTTCTTTCCACCTCTCCCTATAAAACTCTATCAAAGTGAAGAGAGAAGAATAAAATAGTGTCTTTTTGCCTTTCATCAATGAATTAAATCCATAAACAGCACACGACCATTGGCAATGGAGACTAGGAAGTTATTCAATAGAATTTCTTTTCCCCCCAGATATTACCTCAAGTGGCAAGAACATTGATTCACAGAAGTAGAGATGGGTCTTCAGTTCTACTAGCATTTGTCCTGTTTAACTTTGCTTTTCAATATTTTCAGATACCACTGAGTGAGCACTTTCATGTTTCAGGTGCTTTTGGAAACACTTTACCTACATTATTTGCCTCCCCAAGGTACTCTTAATACATCCCAGCTTCCTGATAAGGAAACTGAAGGAGGGAGGTTATTGAACACTAGACCCTTTGCCAGGTGCTTTATATGAGATAACGAGTGTGATAATAGTACCTGGGATACAGTCAAGCAACAACTCAACCAACATCTGTATAATTATTATCTATTTTAATCTTTACTATAATCCTACATGGTAAATATTATTATCCCATATTACAGATGAAGAAGTTGAGGCTTGGAGGATATAAGTAACTTAGTCAAAGCCACGCCACTATGAAGAGGCAGAGTTGAGATTTATAGCAAGCTCTATTCAACTCACATAGTTCAAGCTCTTAACCACCAAGAACACTGTACTTAACCAAATCATAAAATTTGGAAGTGGTCTAACTGGAACTCTACACCATTGATTCAAGAATTCCTGCTGCCTATCACAAATACATGATTGTGCATTTTTACCTTCATGACTTCTTGTTTTTCTCCCATAAGTATAGCTTCTTCTGTCCTCTCTCCTTTTGTATCTGACTTTCAAAAATCAACCCAAATCTCATGTCTAGAGACAGACAAACTGGGTTAACAATCCACCTCTGCCACTTAGTAGCGGGACGATTTAGGGGAAGTCACTTAATCTCTATCCTTCAATCTTTTAATTTCTAAAATGGAGTTAGTAATAGAATCTAAATAATTGGGCTGTTGTGAGGATTAAATGAGATGATATATGTAAAGCCACTTATGGTAATAAATGGCTGAGTATCTCAAAATATTTTTGTTATTATTATTATTATTATTTCTGGCTGCATCCATCCTCCTTCTGAGAATTTCAATCCACTGCAGAGAAGAATGCATTGTAGGGGCCACCTGCTTAGAGAACTATTATATAAGCAAGTGGTTATCCATCATTCCGTCTTGTAGCATTTTGACACCATATTAGCAGTGGTGCACAGCCGCAAGATAAATCTCCTTCCCATTTCATTTCTAACGCATCAAGCATCAAGGCTAGACTAAATGAGCTATAAAACCAAATGTTGTCTCTAAATCCATTTCACAAAAGAAGTGCTTATAATCTCTAAGAACTAAAGTAGTTTAGAATTCAAGAGGAAACAATATATCAATTTCCAAAACTTTAAACTGTTCAAAGTCTTGGGAACAATAGAGATGAGCAAACTGACATACAAACCAAATCAAATATTAGTGGGAGTAGTTCGGCTCAGTTTGTAAGAATTGTACTACCATAAACTCATTATTCTTGAGAGTACTCAGTGTCACTCTTTGAGAAAAAAGCAATATTTTTGTAACAATTGCTTTTTAAAAATTAGATTTGAGGATAAAAGTGCTCTGTATTTTAAAGTTCTTGAAAATGTATTGGAAAAGAGAGTTTAATGTGAATGTAGTTTGGCTTCTTTCACTTGGAAATGTTGACACTGTTTCTCCTTAATTTTCAAAACTGGCATTTCAAGTACAGTCTTCAAGAAAATATAATATAAGCTCCCAAAGAGATAGGTAAGACAACTACAGACAATTTTTAAGGATCTTTGGGGTTAAGAAGGTCAATAGTAATAGAGTCAAATCAATTTAAATAAACAATTTTTTACTGAAAACCCACTATCCATCCCAACTGTACCTGATAAAAGGGTTTCAATTACAGGTACTAGTATCATCACCAATTCCATTTTACAGACGTTGAAACCAAGGATTTCAGATGGAAAGCAACATGGCAAAGGCACACAACTGGTAAAGAAGCAAATTCAGATCGCCTTGACTCTAAGTCTGTGCTAATCCTGCTCTTTAATTTAAATTTAAGTAGCTTCATGTGGCTAGGGGCTATTGGACAGCACATATGTAGAAAATAAATGGGCTTTTTCTGATGACTAGAACGTCTCAATGATCACAAGCTAAACTGAGTAGACCGCACGTTTTTTTGGTGGCCCTTCGAGCAACAATAACTTACTGGAGAGTGACGTATAAAGTGCAAAGGTTTTGAGACTGGATAATTCTTTCATTCTTGTTTCTTCCACACTTTTGCAGAAAATGTGCTCCCAGGCATACAACTTTAGAAGTTTGATGCCTTTCAATATTTCATTTGTTTTCTTCAGTCTCTCAGTAGAATAATCCTATTAAAAAAAGGAATAAAAAACAATGCAAGTTGCATCCAAGTGAATCAGACCAGTGGGACCACATAATGGACCGGGATTGAGGAGATCTTGATTTCTGCCTGGCTCTGCCACTAATTATAGCTGTGAGATTCCAGGCAGAAGAAGTAAAACTCTCTGTGCTTCTGCCTCAAACTTTAAAAGGGAGAGTTGAATGAAATAGCCTCAAATTTCTTTCTACCCAAAAACTTTCATATCTCTCTTGCTTTGGTTTAAATAAAAGCAGTTTCTTAAGTTTCACATGGTCTCCTTGAATAATGTCTACAGATAATATAGACATAAATTTAGGGAAATGATAAAGAGACTTCCAATGGCTCCTTCTAGTACTTAAATCATTTTATTCTCCCCTCAGCACTATCACTCACACTTAGAGAAGAAACAATGAATTTAAGAAAAGTTAGTTTGCTTCTTATTTGGGAACATGAGGGTACGGTGTTGTGTGTGTTCATACTGTGTCTTCATAATCCACTTACTGAAACCAGTCTATTATCTTTAATTTCAAGAGATTTCCACATACTTCTTCCTAAGCTCTTGTTTAAGGTCTAAATTAGATTTACTGATTATTAACAGTTTGGATTAACTGTAGAGAGATTTGCAGCCGATACAAAACCCTCCATGTAGTCGACTGTTTCAGCTTCCTCTACCACCAAATATTACATTAAAATTACTAGTAAGGGACAAATGACCTGTGCACTATCAAAAGGAGCAGTAGAGTGGCAAAAGGCAGCTGGGAGGAAGCAAAAGTAGCAAATGGCCTGTTTTTTACATCTTTTTGTTTTTTCAGCATCTTAGATGCCTATCAAGTGATTGGTAAATGAGTGAATGAATACAGTATGAGTGTCTAAACGAAAGACAGATGCTTGAGGATAGCCGGTCTCCCCCTTGTGCCCCTCTTCCACACCTTTCCGGTTCATGTCCTGGAGTAAAATGGGTAGATGGCTCAGACAGAAATGATGAGTAACCTTGCCAGAAGCAGCAGAAAAACAAGCGATAAAAGTCACTTGCGTGACATGCAACTTGCTTGTCACAGCAGAAACACCAGCTTGGGAAACAATTCCATCAGTGGCAGCATCTCTAATTTTACGCCTGATTTACAGACAGCCTTGCTCATATTTTACCAAACTTTATTTTTAAACGTGCTGTCAACAATTTTATTATTTGCAAACACTTCTTTAAAAGAAGCCAATTCTTGCTCAAATAAAATGACTTCATGGCAAATTAAAGCCAGAAAGGGTCAATAATTGGGCTGTTCTTGCTTGCCAAGTTGACCATGAACATATTTAGCCAGGGCAGCAAAAACATTTCAGTGTAACTCCATAGATCATCACATGGTTTGATTCAAACCTAGGGAAATTTAATTTCAGAAACACCAAACCTGACCCTTTATTTGTTCCTTGATCTATTTCTCCCACGGCAATAATTGACATCCAATAGCCTCAAAGGACAATAAGTGTATTCTCTAGGCAAGTGATCCAGAAGATTCAAAGCCTCATCACTTCATTCAAAACACCAGCAACTGTGATTCTAGTATTTTGAGTCTAAGATCATCAAGTCTTAAATTTCAAATCCACTTTAAAAAATTGTTTTGCAACACAGAAAATACACATTCGCTACCTAAGAAATGAAATGAAATAGAATGATTTCCAAATATGTATTCATTTCTATACTTTCCCATACTTTAGAAAATAAAACAGCATTACTAGATTTTCCTAATAAAGTTTCCAAAAGATGTTACTTACAAGAGTGCTCTTCTGAGCCTCTGCCAACTTTGTAGCAATGAAGTACTGAATTGGGGCAAGGAGCACAATGACAGCTGCACCAACCAGTGCACTTGATCCAAGCAAATTATAGAGCAGAATCACTCCCATTATGATCTAGGAAGGAAAACACATGGAAAAGGGAAAATGAATGGGGGTGTGGGGACCACTGAATGAAAGGAAATATTTTTAGCGAAAATGTAGTATTTCTTAATTATTATATTAAGTTTATTTGGAAGTCAACTCAACTGTGACAGTTGGGTTTTACAAAGATTTATCTGGAGAAGACTAAGTAGAAGGAATTTATTTTTAGTATGATGATCTGTACAACTGATGTCAAACCAATTTATTGCATGAAGTTGACAGTGGTCCCAGGATGCTTCTGACCTTCTAAAGCAGTCTTCAGATTTTTAAAAGGACATGAAATTTTCCTTGAAAAATGTTTTCACCCACCATAAACTTGACATTCCATATTCTCTTGGAATTGTACTAGCGTTTCAAGGCGAGGAGGATGGAAAGTAGAGGGCAGCATCATAATATGAGTACAGGATGGTTCTTTGTGGACTAAAGGAATGATCTGAATTCCTCAACTCCTCAATGACCCCAGAAGTCATTTAATGACAAGAAGACTGGGCTTAACCAAAACTGTGAAGAAGCTAAAGTTGGGGCCCCATCTTACCTCATTTTCCTTGTTACATCTATTTCTTAAAACCCAAGGCTGAACCACTTAGGCCTACCCATGCTGGTTTGTCACTTTCTTCTTCTTCTTTTAAAAACTCAGGATTTAACCCTGCTATCTTCTTTCCCTGAAAAAATTTCTTCCAGTAGCTCAGCTCATCATGGCTCAAAATGTCAACTAATGAACTGTATCCATGCAGTTAAAGCATTGAACCCATGCCTATACGCCAATGATAACAGCTTAATAGTGGCCTTCTGGAGGCAATGGTACATGTTTACTGCCTAACCAATTAGGCTCTTTGGGATTTCCAATCAAAATGAAAATTTCCTTAAGGTCACCCATGATGCAGTCCTTCAGAAGCAATCTGGAATTTTTGGTGCACTTTAAATTATACCACATAGACAGCTACCTAGTTCACCTGCGTATAACTACATTTTGATAAAATGAAACAAAGCATATTTTAAATCTTACTTTGTGTCAAACACTGTACATGATATACACTTTTATTTGACTCGGATTTCCATTAAAAAATGAAAAGGCGAACAATAAATTTTAAAACTACCATATCTTCCTTATTTTATGCACTTTAATAAATGTAGTACACAAACATATAGGTGACAAACTGCATCTAATGAAATGAGATCTACAGTTCAAGCTCCATTTACAGGGTGCAAAACTCAAGATAATTTAAAATATTCAGCATCACATAAAGGGAAAAATCTGAACATGTTTCTTTTGCCATTTTTACCCAATGAGGTAAAAAAAAAACCTACGTCTTTATTAAAATGCTATTTCCATAGTAAATAGCTAAATAGACCTCCAGCCTGTCAGTGTTCCTACCACCTTATAAAGTTTGACATTTTATAATATACCAGCTATTGAAACTATGGGATGGATTAAAGCAATTGCTCTAGTTCAGAAACGCTATAAGAGAGCTTGTCAAAACAAAAGGAGTTCAGCCTTGGCTCTGAGACCTGTATGAATTTGGGAAATAACAATAACAACTAACAATTACCGAGTGCCCACGGAATGGTAGGCATTGTGCTAAAAGCTTTACACGTATTAACTTATTTAATCTTGACAATTCCAACAACTATGAGACAGATACTATTATCATTCCCATTTTACAGTTAAGGAAACAAATGTTTTGAGGGGTTAAGCCCTTGTGCGAACAGGGAGTAGAGCAGATACTTGAACCCAAGCAGTATAATTCCAAACTCCACTTTCTTAATCTATATCATAACATTTCTGAGTCTCTTTTGTCTATAAAAAGGATACAATAACATTAGCACATTCAAAAAGTTTACCCTTTACTGAGATAAATCTCTTATGCTCCTTTTGTTTTATTTCCTCTGCAAAAGAGAATCTTACTTATATTGATTTACCTGAACAGGCATAGCCCATAGATTGGGACACAGGAACAAGAACCACATGAGTTGATTGGTTTCAATGGCAACCAAGTTATTGATCTGTCCCAGGGTCATCTCACCCATGGATAAATTAGATGTAGAGAGCCTAAGGATTTTATTGTATATCATGGCCTGCAAAAAAAAAAAAATGTACTTTAAGCTCTAAACTTAATAATCAACACTGTCTTTATTTATTTTCATTGAAAAAAATAACATTTTAAAATTTTTTGAATAAAAAAACCTATAATGCCATCTTCTTAAGTCAACTACTATTTTCATTTTAGCATAGTTACTTTCAGTCTTCAACTAAATACAAACATTTTTTTCAGGCAATATAGATATTCAACTTTTAATATAAGCTCTAGAACAAATAGAAACAGAGATAAGTAAATGCCAGATTTCAAAATACTTTTCTTAATATATTATTGTAAAAGCTATTTTTAATTCAACGGGTTTACTAATTAGCTCTGTGTTTCTTTTATTAAGCAGATCATATATAAGTGTTGATGTCTTAATATCAAAGTGAAAACCGAATGAAAAAACAAAACTGAAGCCACTACCATTCCTGCCACTGGATGGTATATGTCATTTTCAAGAAACAAAGGTCATTCACAGCTTGTACGTACCAGCAGAGCTCCGCGGAGATTAATGCCAGTCTCTATAGTTACATAGTAGGAAGCCTGTAAAAATGTCCTTTGCAGAATGAGAGCCAAGAAGAGAAGAACTGCTAGAACATAAGCATTTTCAAGAAATTCCTTAGATGAGAGGATTTCTGAAATCTTATCCCAAAAGAAAAAAGACATAAATTAAAACTAGTCTTTTCATGTACCAGGTGTCCAGTTTGCATTTATTAACATTACATGGTTTTTAAATATAAAAACTCAATGTCTTGATAACACAGCAATGGAATGAGCCACAGCAAGGCAATTTTGGCTCTTCCTCATAATGTCCACAGATACAAATACAAACCAGTTCAACACACAAAATCCCAAATTGATCATGAAGACTGCTAAAAATGCCTGGCTGTAGAAAAAAGGTACACTTTAACTAAAAAAAAATTTGAATAGATTTTCTGCAAAGATATATTCTACCTTAGTTAAATGGAAAGTAGTAAATGGAGACAAAAGTTAGTTTAGTCTGTAATTTAGAAGCAGAAACCATAAAACTGGTCGTCGCTAAGCAAGACCAGTGGGAAAAAATACAATTTCTGTAGCCTTGTTAATTTAAAATAATTCTACACAGTTGAATTTTTATGATTTTCACATGTTAATTTATATTAATGAAATAAATTATAAATTATAAAATACATAATTTGGCTATTGATTTCACCCATGTGACTGTTTCAGTGACAAAACACAACTTATGAAAAACTACTTGAGTAGGAATATGACTGAAGGCATCATAAGGATATACAAAACTGACTGCTTTTTGTGTGACAGTAGCATATGGTAACTTGTTTTTTAGAAGTGAGGGAAAGGTAACACTCGAATAAGTACCTCAGGTCAATTTGGGCACTCTTCATTTTTTATGATTTAGATCCACTAAATTCTACTCTGGTCCCTCCTTTTTCTTTCATGGGAATACGTACAAATGTGTAAGTTCTGTTCTTTCTCAGAAAACATGTGGTTAATATTTGTAAGGGAGAAGGATGATAGAATTCTATGTAGCATTTAGATATCTGCGTGTAATTAGGCTAGCGGGGACAAAACATCACACAAGCGTATTCAGTGGTGAAAATCTCTGCTTCACCTCAATAATAATTGAGCACTAACATAGGCAAGGGACTGGACTAAGCACTGTGGAAACAAATATGAACTGTCCACAGTCATTCTGTTGAAAGAGCTTACAACCTAAAAAGATAAGCATATCCATAAATAATATGCTTCATTATAAACAGCATTTATAGTAAGTGAAGTAAACAATGTGTTAGGGGAGTACCGAGGAGAGTCAAATTTCAACTAGGACAACCAGGAAAAGCTTCACTAAGGAGGCAGCATTTAACGCAGGCTTTGAAAATGCATAAAATTTTAATATTAAAATGAAATTCATAGGTTTTAATTAAAATTAAAAGGTGAAGAAAAGAGGACAGGAAATCAGACTGATTGAATAGAAAAGGAAAATTGATGCATCTGGACTGGTTTCTATCTGTGAAACTAGGGAAATCAACTTTTAGAAAGAAACTAGGACATTCATGATGCAGACTTTCTTAAGAACAGAAAATATAAGATTAAAAATTTATAACAACAAATATCTTACACTATATAGCTTCCTAAATAGTACCAAAATATCTGATAAAAATATTATAATGTGACTTGCCCTGATCATTGTGAAACAGGGTGATGGCTTTTATTATATAAGAAAGGAGAAATGTACATATTACAAATCACATTGCTAACACTATTGGTCACAGGCCTCTAAAAAAGTGACTCAGTCACCTCTCATGTACTCATGCATGAAAATTCTTTAAAGGAATATAAATAAACAAATAAAATAATCAATGTGAAATTTCCAAGCATAGTTTCTGGCACACAGTAGATGCTTTTAAATGTTCATAAGCTCTGAATCTGAGAAATAATTTTGTTGCCAGGTCCATTCAATGAATACACAAACACATGATTTTCTCTACAGGGAAAATTATTGTTTTCTTTTTTTAAAAAAGCTGATGAGGGGCCAGCCCCACCAGTTAAGTACATGCGCTCCGCTTTGGCAGCCTGGGATTTGCAGGTTCATATCCTGGGCGCAGACCTATGCACCGCTTAACAAGCCATGCTGTGGCAGCATCCCACATACAAAACAGAGGAAGATTGGCACAGATGTTAGCTCAGGCACAATCTTCCTCAAGCAAAAAGGGGAGGATTGACAACAGATGTTAGCTCAGGGCCAATCTTTCTCACCAATAAAAAAAGCTGACAATAATATGTTTCTTTCCAAAAGTACCACAAACTTACTCCTGTTGTGTTATTTGTCCCATTCTGTGTTTCATTCACACGCTGAACTATTCCAGAAATACAAAGAGGTCCAGCAAACCCCAGTAAGTCAGCAAGATAACGAAATGTGCTACTAAGTAGAATTGGTCGCCCAAAAGCTCTGTACATTGCTAGCCATATAGATGGAGTCCGATTTGGATGATCTGCTACTTTTTTCTGAAAGAAAACAACAGATGAACCAAAATAAGAGCAGCAATTAATCTCAGCAACTATGGAAATTCTTTCCGATATTTTTAAAGTTTATAAATAAATGTTAACTAGTCCCTTTTCAGTATAGTATGAATAATTCTGTACCCTTGCATTCTATGCAAACAGTAGCTAATGAATACATTTTAACGAAATAGAGAGAATGAAGAGTAACCAGGCCAGTTTTTCAAAGATTTTGTATTATTTTTAGTTGTCAAAAGATGACTCAAAATTCTTAAGGCTGAATTAATTTTAATTCCCTCTGATTTGGGAAATGTAAATCTGTCATGAATATGACCAAATAACATTGTATGGAAATGAAGATAGTAAGGTACAAAGATCAAAGTTATTGACAGACTAGTCAAGATTTCTGTAGTTAACTAGACCTCAAGAGTGTCACCTATCAAATTACTACAAGCTAAACAAAACAGATCATCCCAACTTCAAATTGTTTCTCCTCCAGGTATGTCCCATCTCCATAAATGGTAGTCAATACTTTTTAAAGTTATGTTAGACTTGTGTTTCCTAGTTATTCCTCAAAGAAATGCAGAATGAAAAGTGGCATATATGCTTAAGCCAATTCATGGTTTCACACATCTATAGTCATTTGCTGAAAAGATTTTACGACCTGAACAATCATCATAATTAGGTCTTGAGGAGGAGGTGGATGAAGTTTTTTCACTGTGGCAAAGAAGTCAACTCAAGGCAGTAGAGTTCAACCGTGTTGCATATTCAACTTCCTGTTAGATGAATAATTTGACTATTTTTTAAAGTTTATTGATAAAAGATATTAACACCAAGTTCAAGCTAAATTTGTGTTGCAAAGAGCACTCAGAAAATGTAAGCTATGCTTCGGCTATATTGTTAACCTTTACTTCAGCAGAGAAGTTTAAAAAATATTAGGCAATACTTTTCCCCGAGGTGAAACCAGAGAGATGACTCAGGTTCATTCATAGTAACCATTTCCTGCAATATTAATTTCATAACACTCATTTTTGACACAAAACAGAGGTCATTTTCATCATTTACCATAAATGCTTTGTTGATCTTGATTAAGGACAGCCAAAAACTCTTCAACTGATTCACCATACCCTGCTCCCTTCCAATGTTGTTGTAAATACTCATATTTTTAATTACAATAATATTTGTAGATGATTGCAATATAAAATACATCTACCACTGTGGATAGCATACATGACCATTCAGAATGATAACAAGAGAAACTGAAAATATCCAAAGATTCTCATATTTAAAATTTTTAAAGCAATTATAAGTACTCAAAGAAGGTACCAGAAGAAATCAATTTTGGCAGACATATAAGATGATATATGGAGTAGGTAGGTGGTGCCCTTTTATTTAACTTAGTTTCCTAAGTTTGAAATACAGAGTTCAAATTTTAGTTAATAATTAATTTACGGATTTTAGTTTCTTAAAGATAGTTATTAATTGATATGATCTATTTTCCCTTAAATAACAAAATTATTGACAAGATACTTGAAAAAGATTTAATAACAAAAATTCCATGAATTATTACTATTATATGGTAACAAGGATTAGACATACATGATCACTGAACTTGATTCTTACTTTCCACTTGGTCCCAGAGAAAAGACAGCGCTCTCTATCCCTCTTCAAGTATTGACTAGGCAACTAACACAACGTTACTATATTTAATTGTCTCTTTTATATCCTCAGCAGCCCAATTAACATGACCCAAAACTACTGAGAAAGACAGATAGAGAAAATCTGCTTTTCCTTACCCATAGATGTTATTTAAGCTTAGTGTCTTTATATTTAATAGGTCCATTCTCTACAATTAAGGACGTGAAAAACAGATACTAAATTACCTTTTGTTCTTCATATGCATCTTTCAGGCAAACATAATTTGTTACCGCCCTCATTGCTATTGGTAATTTTCCAATTGCCTTCAGATCAATAGGCTTTTTATGAGCGGTTATGATAAGCGTGTTCATCCACCAGTATGTTGCTTTTGACAGTAAATTTACAAATGGTTGAAGAAATCTCACACCCAGGTCCTGCAGGTCTTCAGGAGGCTTCACTTTCTGAGGATTCATGAAGAATACATATCTCTGGGGCAAGAAAAATCCCACAGAATAACAATTAACCTAATTCTTTTTGCACATATTAAAAATAAAATGTTAACCTTTTCTACCTTTCAATTCAGGAGGCCAAATTTATATTTTCATATCTCTTTCCATTCCTTTCTGAAACATTCTTTGAAATATTTCCCTTTTGTTGTGACTAGATTAACTAGTTAAATTCCAGAATGTCACATTTAATCCACTTGGGGCCAATTCTAAAAAACTGATTATCCCTTTAAAAGATAGTTATTACTAAAAAGCAATCTTTCATGATATCCTGTGATAAAGTCAACTCAATGAAGATTTTTACATTATTTAGGTTTTTTAGATGTGCTGTCAACACCATTGGTGAGTCACTCTCTGTTATGTGGTCTGGCTGATGTTAACCGACTGTTCTCCACTATTCACGGCAGCATGTATCTTGCCATTCAGAGCAAATTCAAAGTGCTCCGATAGAAAATGAACATTGAAAAATCAGTCACTACTATGTCACCCAATACAAGTGGCAGCATTATGTGGTGACAAGCACTACAGATTTGTAATCATCAAGTATGAGTCTTGACCATGTTACTTTGGATATATAGCTACAGTTGTCTCTATAGAAGTTTCTTCAGCAGTGAAATGAGCAAACTGGATTAGACTACCTTCTTTTTAGTTCGAAATTTCTTAAAATACACTAGTTTGATTAACTCAGGTTTGCTTTGGATCAGTGATGGATGATGGAACTTGCTGATGAAAACAATTTCATCTATAATTTGAACTAAGCATAATTTTTGGCACATAACAGGCACTTAATCAATATTTTGGAATGAATAAATAGATTCCAGGGTCATATTGAGATTTCTGGAACATTAATGGTCTGAAACTTAGTGATTAATTCAACTTTATATTTATACACAAAGATGATATACATTTGTTCATCCTCTTACATACTAATAATTTCTAGCTGATTGTGATCTTTAATATTGGGGTTTTGAATTCCAGTCACTAAACAAAAATCGTTAGATACCTACTCTGACCCGAATGACATTGATCTCCACAGCCATCAGGAGTCCATTCAAGATGACCATGATGCCTGTGATGCAGAAACGCAGGTCTGATACTCCCCAACCAGACTGCCAGTACTTGACCAATTTTATGGTTTTTGTAATAAAGGCCATTACCCAATATAGGAATAGAGCTGGAAAAAGAAAAAGTAAAAAGAAAAAGATGCAATCTTTCCCTAATATTTTTTAAAACTTCACTGAAATTTCAATAAAAATATAATGCTTTTTAATAACAAAGACAATTTTAAATATTCTATTTCTAGAAAATTTCATTTGTTAAGAAAACAACATACATGCTTTAGTGCCCTTCTGGAGTTTTGAATTGACGTTATGGTAACGATTTTAAAATATTTGTGCTTCTACTCTGATCATATGCGATAGATAGGCAGATGTAAGGAGATGTAAATAAGAATAACCTACACTCTTCAGACCTTATGTGTAATTCTGTAGACTTTAAAATTGACTTTATCTTCTGGTCTTTTTTTTTAAGAAGCCCTGATTATAAGAAGAATTCACAAGTTCATATCTGTGTAACCTATCCAATATGTAAGTGTGTTGGAACTTCTAGGGATATGTCTACTGATATTACCCTGGAATTATTACAGAATCCACACAGATATGGGTTTCTGCTTTACAGATCAGCATTCAAGTAGTAAGTGACTCTTCTCACCCAAATAGTTTAAAACACACATGCATCCACAGAGCACAGAGAAGAACAATGATCCTACAGAGCAACCCCAGGCTGCAAGTGGTCAGGTCAGAAAGGTAGAGATCTACACCACCTCATAACCACAGCCCACACTTTGCAGCAAATGTGAGATGGAAGCAGAGACTTTCCTAGAAATCTGTTGTCAAGGACTCAGTATACTTCCAGCTTTGAATAAAAGTCAGTACAAACAAATATGGGATGAGGAGGAAGAAATCTAAAACACATATAAAACAATCCAGTTTGGATAACACTTATCAAAGCCAGAAAGTTTTAAGGGTGATCACAACTTCCTTAGTGAAAAAGAACTGAACATTGTCATATAAGCTCATCATATATATACTTTTTCACTTAAAACACAGAGATTGTCAAAATGGATTTAGAAAAAAAGCAGACAAAATTATATACTATCTAAAGAGATTCACCTTAAATATAAACAAACATCATACTGAAAATGAGTGAATGGAAAAAGATATACAATGAAAACAGCATAAGAAACCTAGAGTGGCTATATTAGTATCAGATAAGGTAGGCTTCAAGACAAAGACTATTATCAGAAGTGCAAAAAACTTCTTTTAATAGTGATAAAATGTCAATTTTTCAGAAAAACACAATAAAAATACGCATATGCCTAATAAAGACTTAAAAGATCTAAACACTATCAACCACCTTGAACTATTTGATATTTATAAGACTATTTGATATTTAATATTATAAAAATACACCCAAACATCTTCAGAATATACCTTCTTGTTAAGTGCACATGGTACTGGTACAGACTACATATTCACTCAGAAAACAAGGAGCAATAAATTTAAAATAACAGAAATCATATAGAGTATGTTTTATGATCACAATAAAATTAAGTGAAAAATCAAGAACAATAAGTGTATTGAATTTCCACTGTTGCTTAGCAAGTTATGACAGGTTTAGCAGCTTACAACAATGCACGTTTATTATCTCACAGTTTCCATGGGTCAAGACTCTGGGCATGGGTCAGCTGGCTTCTCTGCTTCAGGGTCTCACCAGGCAGCAGTTTAGGTCTTGACTAGGGCTGCAGTCTCAACAGAGGCTCGACTGATTTGGTATCTTTATCTTTGCCACACTCTATTGGCTAGAAGCAAGTCACAGGTCCCACTCACACTCAAGGGGAGAGGATTATACAGGGTGTGAACACCAGGCACGGAGATAATGGAGGGAACCTTTGGGTCTTTCCACATAATAAGATATCTAAAAGTCTCCAAATATTAGGAAAACAAATAACACATTTCTAATAATCCACATGTTAAAGAAGAAATCACTAGGGGAATTAGAAAACATTTTAACTAAATTATAATGAGAACACTACATATGAAAAATTTAAGGATTGCAACTAAAACAGTACTTAGAGGAAAGATTATGGCTTTAGATGTTTATTTTAGAAAAAAGACAGTCCAAAATCAATGATTTAAGTTTCCTCCTTAAAAGCTAGGGAAAGAAGAACAATGAACAAGATAAATAAAAGGATGAAAACAAGAGAGAGAAGAATAAAAAGCAATAAAATAAAAAACAAATAAGTGGAGAAAATGAACAAAGCCAACAAGGTTGCTTTTTGAAAAGATCAAGAAAACTGATAAGTCTCCTTAGACTAATCAAGAAAAGAAGTAGCACACAAATTACCATTATTAGGAATGAAAAAGGAGTGGTCCCTATATATCCCACATAGCTAAAAGATGATAATCAGGGAATATCATGAACAACTCTACAACAATAAATCAAAAATTTAGATGAAATGGAAAGTTGCTCAAAAACTGCAACTTACCAAAACTGACCTGAGAAGAAATAGATAATCTGAAGAATCTACATCTAATAAAGAAATAAATTTATAATTGAAAATCCTCCCTTATTAAAACTCCAGGCCCAGATGGCTTCACTGGTGAATTTTATTCAACATTTAAGTAAGAAATAAAATCAATCTTACACAAAGTCTTTCAGAAAATAGAGAAATAGAGAACACCTTCCAATTCATTTTAAGAAGCCAGTATAACCCAGCATATGAAAACCTGACAAATATATTACAAGAAAATAACACCAATATCTCTCACAACATAGATGTAAAAAATCTTAAATAAAATATAGCAATATTTAGTGGATAATATATCATGGCCATGTGTGGTTTAGCCCAGGAATGCATGGTTACTTTATCCTATGAAAAATCAATCAATGTAATTTAGCACATTAACAAAAATATAATTTTCCCAATCGAGGCAAACAAAAATCTTTAATAAAATTCAACATCTATTCACGATAAAAAAAACAACCCTCTGACAAATCTTTGAATAGAAGAAAATTTACTCACCTGATAAAGGTATTATATGAAAAGCCTATAATTAGCTTTATAACTAATTGTGAAAGACTGTTTTCCCTAAAATCAGGAACTAGATAAGGATTTCACTCTCAGTATGTCTATTCTGCATTTTCCTGGAAGTCCTAAGGCAAGATGGCAAGAAAAAGAAAGGATAAAGTCTGAAGAGAAATATACATATAACTGTCTCTATTTTCAGATGATACGTTTACTTATACAGAAAATCCTAAGAAACCTACAAAGCAATAATTAGAAGTAGTAAGTGAATTACCAAAATTGCAATATACAAGGTTAGTATACAAAATCAATTGTATTTTATACAATGGCAGAAACAACTGGAAAATGAAATTTAAAATACAATTCCATTTATAACAGCAGCAGCAAAACAAAAAGCTAACAATAAATTTAACATGATATAGAAGACTTCTACACTGAAAAGTGTAAACATTGCTAAGGGAAATAAAAGACGATCTAAATAAATGAAGACTGGATTGTCAAACGCAATGTTGTTAAGATGTCAATCCTCCTGCAGACTGTCTATATATTCAGTGCAATCCCTATCATAATCCCACGGGATTTTTTTTTTTGATAGAAATTGACCACCTGATTCTAAACTAAATATGGCAATGCAAAGAACTAGAATATCCAAAGCAATCTTGGGAGAAAAACAAAGGAAACGTATGATTATAATACATGATTTCGACACCTCCAAAGCTACAGTAATCAAGATAGAATGGTAATGGTATAAAAATTCACATATAGATCAAAGGGACAGAAAAGATAAAGCCAAGAAAAAATCATACTTAAGCAGTCTTTTGATTTAATTTTTGTTGTTGTTGCTGTTGAGGAAGATTAGCCCTGAGTTAACATTTGCCACCAATCTTCCTCGTTTTTTGCTTGAGGAAGATTAGCCCTGAGCTAGCAACTGTGCCAGTCTTCCTCTACTTTATATGTGGGTCGCCACCACAGCTTGGCTGGCAGGTGGTATAGGTCTGCGCCAAGGATCCTAATCCACAAACCTGGGCCACCGAAGTGGAATGTGCCGAACTTAACCGCTACGCCACGGGGCTGGCCCCCGATTTAATTTTTTACAAGGGTTCCAAAGCAATCCAACGAGAAACAGAAAGTCTATTCCACAAATGTGCGGGAACTCATTCATATCCATTTGGAAGAAAAAGAACCTGAACCAACCTTATACGATGTACACAATTAATTTTAAATGGATCATAGTCCTAAAAACAAAAATTGAAACTATAAAGCTTCTGAAAGAGAAAAGGAGAATATGAGTGAAATATATTTTGAGAGAAGACAAAGATTCCTTAAAATACAGAAAGCAATAACTATACATGAAAAAATAATAAATTATACTACACCGAAATTAAAATCTTCTGCTCATCAAAAGACTCTGTTAAGTAAATGAATATACATCCCACACTCTGGGAGGAAAATACATTCAAAACATGTACCTGATGACTTACTAGAATCTAGTATATACAAAGCACTCCTACAACTCAATAATAAAAATGCAACTCAACAAAAAATGGGCAAAAGGTACGAACAGCCACTTCACAAAGATAACAAATGGCCAATAAACTCATCAAAAAGTGCACAACATCATTAGTCATCAGGGAAACGCAAATTGAAACCACAATGTATTATCAGTACACACCCACCAGCATGGCTAAATTAGAAAGATCAAGATCATCAACTGTTGAAAGCATGTGAAACAACTGGAAGTCCCACACTTTGTTAGTGAGTATGTAAAATAAACTTGGGGGAAAGATCTAGTGGTTTCTTAGAAATATAAACATTGACCTACCTACTCTATGACCCAGAGATTTCCATTCCTACGTATTTACCCAAGAGAAATAAAAGCAGATCCACAAAAAGACTTGCACATGAATGTTTATAGCAGGTTTTTGTTTGTTTTTGTTTCTGTTTTTTTCTATAGCAGCTTTTTTTCATGATAGCCAAAACCTGGAAACAGTCCAGATTATCTATCGACAAGAGAATGGAAAAACTGTGGTATATTTATACAATGGAATACTATCCAACAATTACAAGAACAAAACAGTGATTGATACTACACCATGGATGAGCCTCAAAAAATCATGCTGCGTCTTAAAACACAGAAGAGTTTATACAGTATGATTCAATTTATGTGAAGTTCTAGAACAGGCAAATCGAATCCATGGTGGAAAAAAATCAGACTAGATGTTGCCTCTGTGGGAATGAAAATGAAGATTTTTCATTCCTGGGAGTGGCAGAGGAAAACTTGCATGGATGATGGCAATGCTCTATAGCATGATAGGGTATACAGGTGTATGCATTTAGCAAATTAAATTAAATTACATTCATGAATGTAAATTTTATCTCACAACAAGAACTGCAAATATTTAACTCTAGTTAATGACATGCATGCTGAAGTAATCTGGGGGTGAAGCATATTAATGTCTGCAACTTACTTTACAATGCATCAAAAAATAAGACTAATTGATGGACAAATAGAGGGAAGGAAAGATGTAGATATGTGATAAACAGAATAAAATGTAAATTGAATCAAATCTAGGTGGTAGGTATATGAGTATTCACATAATTCTTTTGACTTTCTGTATGTTTGGTGATATTCATAATCTAATGTTGGGACAAAACTGCTACTTTGCAGTCTTAAAATAAGTATAACTTTTCTAGGTCAAAATTTTTCTCTCCTAAAACATTGAGAAAGTTAGACTTTCATCCCTAAGTCCTCCAGTGACATGATCAAATTGTGCCCTCTTCCTTATATCTACATAAAAATTACAGCCAGAATTTGATCGTATTTCCTTGCAAATAGTATTAAAATGCATATTTTCTAATTACATATTATAACATATCATCATCAGTTTTTCAGAAACTTGATGTCTAACGTATCAAATTCCCAATGCTTTTTTTTTTTTTGCTGTTGTCTGTTGGAAATTTCACTCTTTTTTTGGCATTTTCATAAAAAGATTTCTGTGATAACAACTGCCTACCATTTTTACTGAACAGCTTTCTATTAAGATAATTTAGACTTTGACAAGCCTTTTAAATTAATATTTAACCCTATCTACTTGTTTTCATTAGAGTGCCTTTGCCCCATCACATAATGTGATGCAACACAGACTTAAATAATCAGTATTTTCCACTTATCTATTTTAAATTTTAATGTCTTCTGGATAAGCAAATAAAATAATATTTGTGGTTTAATTATTACTTTTCCTAATTTCTATATCAGTTGTCCACGTTGTTTTCATCATATAAGAATCAAATGAAAATCTATGAACCTTAGAAAATTGTAAGCATTCATTAACACAAACACACACAACTCTACCTACAACTTTAGGAGACTCACAGATGCCTGAAGCTTATCATGATCCATGCTCTAGACCTTCACCTCAGCTCTCATTATGAAAGCGTACACGAAGGAATGCAAGGATGGGATGGGACAGAGCATTAGATATAACTGATTGGGATGAGTTATATTATTTCAGCCTAAGGCAAAAATAAAATTAGGAACATTTTAGACATCCTCTGATTTCCACAAGACAAGGAGGCAAGAGAGGCTAAAAAGATAATGTCAGGCATGATGCAGACGTGAAGGGCTGTGCTCTGCGGGCAGCTGCTTCTGAGGACAGCACCGTTTTCAGCATGCCAGGAGGCACACTCTCCTGCACGGAGCCCCCCCGTGGTTTGGCAGCAATTCTAGGAAGAGTATGACATTCCCATGGCATCAATGAAAGACTTGAACCTTGGAAAAATGCCTCAAGACTCTAAGCCAGAGGCAGAAATACATGCAACTAGATGAGATGACTTGTTCCTGGGGCGGTACCATGCAACAGCTCCTTGCAGAGAGCTCTGATTCTGAAGGCCAGCACATCCCCTCCACTTTCTTCCCACCACAACCAACACAGCACGATCTCCTGGGAGAATGGAGTTTTCATGGTCTAGAGCAACTCAGCTTATTTTCATCTCTACATTTGTTGGGAGACTACTGAAGAATTACTTATTGTGGTTCTCCCATGCTTCCTGCTCCGCACCCACGCTGATAGCATTTATTATGAGAAAAAAGAAAAACAAGTAGCCCTTTGGGGGAAAAAAAAACACTTGATCATACTTACCTAAAAGTAATTTAGGGAAATTTGATGTTTCAATATTATGATAATATACTATTGATGTCGTGGTGGCCACAAATCCCATCACAGCCGGCATGAACAGGTGCAGGTGCCGCGACTCCCGCCGTCTAAGGAGAGTGGGACAGTGTCAGTGTCTAAGGCTGATGGTTCCAGATCATCTCGCATTTTCTTTCCAATTTTTTTATTAAAACTCTCTCTTAGCAATAAAATGTTTAAAGTACAGAATGCAGTAGTAGTTGTTAAAGGAATATATAAAGGAAGACTGTATTGGGAAACCTAATTCCGCTGAAAGGATATTTATCCTAACATGGAGGACTGAGCAAACAAGGCCTAAATAAGACCTTAAAATGCTTACAACAAAAGCAAATATATAACTACTCCTATACTGAAGGCCAGAACTGCTGAAATAATTTAACACCTAAAGCAAGCAAAAACAATCAGCTGAATATGAACTCTAATGTATGCAAAAAGTACATTTATTCTTTGGATAGCTTTCCTGAATTTTTTAGTGATTTCTCCATTTTCATTAATTCATGGAACACATATGTCTTTGCTCGTCCAGATGCTGTGTTAGATTCTGGGATGCAACAGTGAACAAGACAAGATTTAGTGTCTGTGGTCACAAAATCTATAGCCTATTGAGGATAGCGATAGGAAATAGGATATTACAACACAAGTGAAGGGACTGAGAGTATATACAGGGCTAGTGTCTGAGACAGAAAAAGCTTTGTGAAGGAACGGACTGCTAAACTGAGACCTGAAGACTGAGGAACTGCCACACAGAGGAAGAAGAAAGGAAGACTGTTCTAGGCAGAGGATCTAGATGTGTTTGAAGGTATTGCAAGCAATTCGGTATGACTGCAAGGAGACTAGACTTCATTCTGAGAGCAATAGAGTGCTTCAGGTGGATCAGAAATATGACCAGACCAGATTTGCCTGGCAGACAACCCGCAACTCCATTTGCATTAATAATGCCACAGAGTTAAACATTTAACTTTTCATAAAATTACTTAAATACATTAGTACATAAGCAGTATAGACAACAGAGTGACTAGTTCAAGAGTTGGGGAAAGAGGAACTTTTGGGAAAGTTATTTCAGAAGAGGTATGGTTGACAATGGGAGCTGAAATATAAAAAGGAATCCAGTAGTCAGGAAAGTGGTAGAGGAGCACTTTTAAAAGAGGGAACAGAATGTGCAAATACATAGACGCATGAAACACTATACCACGTTCAAAATTCCAAGTAGTTTAATGTTCCTTAAATAGAAAGTCTGAAAGAGGATGAATCATGAAAGGCTCTGTATGCCATGGTGAGGAGCTGGAATCTAATCTTACAGAAAATTGAAATACTTTATAGGTAAGTGGTACAGTTAGATTTGAGTTTTAGTCAGATCAATCTGGTAATAATGTGGATGATGGAGTTCATAGGTAGTGTGTGCATTTGAGGTGAGGGAAGAGACATAGAAGGAAGAAAAGCAGTTGGCAAACTATAGGAATAGGCCAGGTGAGAGATGATGAAAACCTGAACTAAGCTTTGGCAGCAGTAACATGGAGGAAATAATACATTGGGAAAAGATCAATTGTCAAATGGACGGGACTTTAACAGTGTTAGGGTATGAGGGTGATGTGGATGGATGTAGAGAATAATTCCCAGGGTGCCTGGGTAGATGGTGGTGTGACCAAAGAAGATGTTAAGAGGATGAGCAGCTTGTAGAGAGAAAGCTAATAAGTTTCCGTAGGGCCATGTGGATTGTCAAGGTGGCTAATAAACATGCAAAGGGAGTTGTCTAATAGGCAAGAGTATGCAGAGATTTGGGACATGACCAGTGATATATTTGGAATCATTCCTACAGACAGTAAGGAAAATGTGAAAGTACCATGACAGCATAAGAGCTGGCTTAAAAACCACCCACCACCTCCCAGAAATAGTACAAAATGGCCAAAGAGAAAAAGTAGGAAAGAAATATTTCATCAGTATAGAGATTAGGAAATTCTTCTAATACTCTTTTATTATTGAACCAAAGAAATAATTTTTTTAAAAAATCACTTACGTGCTATTTAGGAAATTTAAAAATGAGCATACTACCTATCAAGGCCTGTGAAAAGTGGTCAAAACCATACCCAAAAGAAAGTTTATTACCTTAAACATAGTCAATAAGAAATAGTTATAATAAGTAAATTAAGTAGTTAATTCAAGAAGTTAGAAAAAGAGTGACAAAACATCAGTAACAGAGGCAATAATAAAGGATTAATAAAGATGGCAGCTACAGTCAGGTTTTATATTGACTGTGGCATTTCTTATTAGAGATTTAAGGTATCTTTTAACCATACTAGTGTTTTTATGAAGATTGCTATTATTTTGTTAGTGCTCTACTCACAAAGTTTTATAGATTTTGAGTGGTGTCCCAAGCCTATCCTTTCCTTTAATCTCTATTATTTTTAGAGTATGATTTGCAGACCTCAGTGTTCTGGTAGAAGCACGTACATCCCATTATAGCAGAAAATCTTTAGTCAGAAAGTTAGGAAAGGGCCGGCCCCATGGTTTAGTGGTTAAGTGCGCTCGCTCTGCTGCTGGCGGCCCGGGTTCGGATCCCGGGTGCGCACTGAGGAACCGCTTCTCCGGCCATGCTGAGGCCGTGTCCCACATAAGGATATGCAGCTATGACATACAACTATCTACTGGGGCTTTGGTGGGGAAATAAATAAAAAAAAAAAAAAAAAAAAAAAAAAAAAGAAAGTTAGGAAGAAGATCAAAAAGCACACATCATGGAGGACAAAAGAATAATTTCAAAAAAGAGAAAATGATAGAAATAAAAACCTAAACAAAAATACAATAATACTGAAGATTTTAACACACACTTTTAGAATCTGATGGATTAAATAGCATAAAAATAATCAACACACAGGACTTTAGTAATCCAATCCATAAACTCAATAAAATTGTCTCCTTCAAAGAACATATATTTTTTAATACTCATTAAATACTTATAAAATAATCAAATATTTGACTATAATGAAAATGTTAATAAGTCCCAAAAGATGTTACTTTAACAAATTACATACTCTAATAATAAACCAATCAAATAAGACTAAAGAGCAAAGTGAAAATGATTTCTAGATCTAGGAGAGAATCTAAACCAGAATCACAAATTATTTAGGTAGAAATAAAAAAGAGAAGACTTCTTACAAAAACCTCTGCAAAACAGATAAGGATGTTTCAAAAAAAAAAAATAACACCTTAAATTATTTAAAAAACCTTGCATTGTTTCCCTAATTATAATGAGCATCTGTGATATTTTAAGTAAAGAATAGTTCATAAAGATTTTGCTAAAAAAAAAAAAGAAAGAAGGAAGGAAGGAATGAATAGAAGTGTCAAATGTAATAAGTATGTTAAGGAGGAAAAAGTGTCATTAATGTCCATTGGGATTCTTGTAGAAGCAGTTTCCAGAATAGGACAAGGCAAGAGAGAAAGCAAACTAAATCTTTGGGTTGAGAAGTAACTAGAAGATGACTTTTGGAGAGGCATGGATAACAAAGGTAAGAGGAAGAAGTCTGTAGCCAAAGAATGGGAGGAGGCAGCACAGTCAAGGGTGTATGTCTGCTTGTTCTTAGGATGGGCCTCTTCCATCACTACCACCATAAAACAAGTTTCTGCCATTAGCATATGTCATCATTATTAGTTCAGCCTCTGTTCTAGGTCATTGAATCTACACATCAACCACGAGCCTGGAAAAGAGGAATCACCCTTGCCTTCACGATGTCAAGTTTTTAGGAAATATTGGACTGATGTATCTTCCACTTGATACATACACATAGTAACATGTAGAGTCAGCCTAGATGTTAAGGGAATAAAAAAATGAAGACTAGCAATGGCTATGCTAATACAATGTACTACAAATATGCCAAAGAGTTTTAAACAATTATCAATAAGATAATAGCCAATTAAGCTTCTAAATGCTTGGAGGCGTAGCATACCCTAAAGTCTCTGATTGTTCTTTTTATCAGAAACTAAGATGTGCACATATATGCAAAGAACTGTCATAAAACATTACAAAATATTTGGCTCCATGACAAAAGCTTAGAAGTTTCGTTCCCTGTTAATTGCAACAGAAAAACATAAACAGATGTCAGGGGAGGTTCTTAATAGATAAGAGGAAAATGATTTTTCGAGCTTTCTTTTCAAAAACTTTAAAGACCTTTTCATGTCAATTCTTCAATGAAAGGTGTACCATTTAGCATAATTTCATAATCAAAATTTTCCTATTACTGAATTTATTTTGTTACTATGTGACAAAAATATTTCACCATATTATGTTCAAGTTTATAAATAGAAGTCATTATATCCTAACTGTCTAATACAAACTTCTTTTAGAAGAATGACAAAACTCCTTCAAAAATAGGAGTTTTATGACAAATCCTGATTTTAAAATAATTTTATGCTTTGCCTCAATTTGTAGCTATATCCCTACTGGTTCTCAGACTTCTTTAATGCCTGCCTCATCTATCTTTACAAAATAAATTGAAACACCTGAGAACTGATTATATATTTACATATAAAAATAAAGCTAGTAGAGCTATACGTCAATATAACTGATTATAGCTATTAGAGCTATATGTCAATATAGACAATCTTTCTGTTTATAACTATTTTTAAGGATAAGGTAAACATCAAAGTATTTAAAAGGAGAGAACTTTCTGCAAGGGCTACATAGATGAAGGAGCAAAGAAGCAGAAAGCACATGAATGAGCACAAATCACAGAACTTGTGTTATCAGAGAAATTGTGTAGCAACACAAAAATGTGGAAAAAACGCATGATTATTATATAAAATGGGTGATAGCTGTTGTTTCTAATAAGTTAAAAGTAAAAAATTAAGCCTGACTTGGTATGTTCTTAACTACTATCTGTATCAATATACCCATTAGTATAGTGTAATCATATCAACTAACTTACGAATCTGAAACAATGCCTTCTGCTATTTCACAAACATGTACAAATAGGAGAGCAAATGTGAGAATCCATCTCAGGTTATGTCCAGGAAAATGAAGCCATGTGTTGTGATGAATTTGTACTTTTGAGCTTTGACTCCCCCACCCTGAAAAAAAGAAAAAAGTAAAGAGATAAACAAAAGGATCAATTATAATCATGGAAATAATTTACATTGTGATACGCTTTGGGGGTTCATGAAAACTTAGTGCTCTCTAGGAAATCCTGATCTGTTTTCATTACTTCAAAAAAATAACAATTTCAATTAATTTTTACAAGACTGCCTAAGTTAACACACTGACATTTGTTGCATTGCTTGGAAGTAACACCAATTCTGGGTGACAACATGGTTATTTCATGTGAATCAAAGCTCTTACTGACAGGTCTCTGATTCACTCAAAAAGAAACCAACTTAAGGATGTTATTAATAAAAGCAATTTGATATCTAAAAATCTTTCAAAACATGGGATCTGTGGGAGGACTAACAAAATAGCCATATTTAGTGAAGAAATATAGGACTCCTTAGTTGAGTTAACTCTTAATCATATGTATATCATGTGAGAAAAATGGTAACTTATGACTGGGCCAGCCCTATTCAACAGTGGTAGTGATATTTTCTCAAAGAAAACTAAAGTATTATTCATTGAGGAGCTTTTAAGCAGGATCAAGAACATTATAGGTTCAACTTGATCTCACCACTGAAGAAAAAATTCAAGATTACATTTTAGTAAAATTTTGATGGTTTCCCCTCTAAACTATAGTTAGAATAATGCCAACTCATATACAGCGTGCTAGGACAGCACCCCACTTTTGTGTCCTTTTTTCACCTTTTTTCTTATTTTTTGATTGTAGAGAAGCCTCACATACTTCAAGAATGAATGGGAGTTTGTGCTTAAAACACTGCAGGAAGGAATTTCTGTATGAACAAAAGGGACTCCTAAAGCCTTCTTTGAAAATAAAATTGATTCTATATGTCTTAGTTGTTCCCAAAGGAACTTCATTATTGGAAGATTAGTTACATTTAACATACTCCACTAGAATTTATGCCGCAAACTCTTGCAGGCAAGCTCTATGTCTTTTGTTCAACATTATAATTTTCCTTATACCTGATACTTCTTTGAGATTTAGTATTTATGATCTCTCACTAACTCAAGTAGCCAATGTTATAGATGAACGGTCTGCATTTTTCTCCACCATTTCCCTTTGACGATCTTCACTCTAATTCCACTTGATTCAAACACCATTTTGCCAGCCTGTGTTCAATGCTAGAGATGCAAATAATTCACAATAATTGCTCTCAAGAAGCTAATTAGATGTCACAAGTGAATTATTAATTGTGAGAATTATGATAAAAAAAATAGATGTTCTACTTTTGGCCAAAAGGCATTCTTAATGTCCTATAAAATAACACCACATAAAAAACTAGTGTTTCTATATGTGGCCACTCTAGTCCCAATATATTTAATATCCATACATTTGTTTAACATGACTAACTATGTACCAAGAGTTATGTTGGCATCTGCATTATACGATATCTCATATAATGGAAATTTTTTGATCACTGTTAGAACGCCAGGCACATAGTAGTTTCTCAATATTTGTTAAATGAAGAAATAAAACCATACAAATTATTTTTAAACCCTCTTTTAAAGCAAATCATTAAATTATGCTAACTTTCTTAAGAAAATCAGTCGGATAGCTTTTTCATCTATTTTTATGAGCAAAATCATGCATGGAAATATTAAACAAATTCAAAATAGTGGTTACCTCTTTCGAAGGGATAAGAATGTAGGCTGTGGGAAGAGTAACAAGATCAGGAAATGGCACACAGAAGGATTCACTTATATTCTTACTATCAAATTCCTTAAGATGAGTGATGGTAGGTTCAATGGATGTTTATTACATTAGTCTCTGACATTTTTATATATGAAAGGTATTTTATAATTTAAAAAAGTTAAAAGCTCTATTTTGGTTGTTTTGGGGAAATTACACAAATTACACATAATTGCTCTAAATAACTAGATTTTGTGTATTTGTAGACTGTAAAATACTAGGAAAAACTATATTTTTAGTTCCTTTCCAAATAGTTTGCACATGCACTCTTTCTACTTGTAACACACCCTCATCACTCCTACTTTAACTTGCAGGCTCTGCATCCTCAAGTCCCCACACATGTCAGTCTCTACGCAATCTTCCCCACCAGCCCCAAGAAGAATTAGTTGATCTCGCAGGTTAATGCCCAAGACAATTTGTTCCTGTATCTGTAAATGGGCTTACAATGCAGTATAGTCATTTCTCTTGACTTTGACACATCTATTTCACTGGACAATTCCAGTGAATATTCCAGGCAAGTACTGTGTGTTTACCCATTTTCCATTCTCCTCACCTAGCACAAAGCAAGTGCTAAACAAATATTTTAGATCCATCTCATATAATTCTCTTTCTCTTTTTAAAAAACTGCTGCTGCTCTTTGAAGGCCATTTCTACAAGGCATTCTATTTTACCTATGGAATATCATATGCCAAAAATATATTTCATTGGAAAACACAAAATACTTGCTTGTTCTTTTCTCACAGACTTACCTACAAGTTTTCATGTTGAAGAAATTAAGTCAACATTATACCAAATCTCAGCCATTAATAAGATTTTTTATAAACATGAGGTGATATAATATAGGACAGCAGATCACTTACCAATAAACAATATTGGAAAAGTGATAAACAACAGGAAGACATGGGGGACCAGGTTGAGGGCATCCACAAAGCAAGGATTTTGTAATACGCCATCATAGATATTATATGAAGAAATGTTGTTACCACAGAATGAAAGGCTCATTTCTTCTTATATGGTTTACTCTAAAAGAGAGAGAAAAGAGAAAGAACCTCTTATTATTAAATTCCCTTTCATAAATTATAACCTTAAAGAGGAGATTACATCATAAAATTAATCTCCTTTATTTTTGCAGTCGAGGAAATAGGAAATCTTATGCCAGAGCCATTTGAGAGCTTCTTATAATGGCCTTATACATTCTGTAAGTTTTCCCTTTCAAGTGTTTTTTTTCCAGAGAAAAATATTTTATTTTAATTTGGAAAATATATAATAATTAACACCTACCAATAGTGGTACCTCAAAGGAGTGTTTGTTGGACTAAAATGGTTTCAAAGAACAAAAGTGGTGATATATAAGAAAAAGGGGGAGAAAAAATGAAACTATTGACTGAAAAGACAAAGTGGTGTCACATCAAATCCTTTCCCATGTTCATTCATTGAAAATGCATTAACAAACAACTTCAGCTGGACACAATTTACTGCAACATTTCATTAATTGCAGGAAATACTAAAACACAGAGACCACTGTGGTTGCAAATGGCAATTAGCCTTTCTTTGAAGATTAGACTCAAGCACTAAGACAACTGAATATAACTCAAGTGACAATTTAATGAAACTACGCAGGTCCTGTAGTCAGAGAATATTCTTATACGAAATGTACTCTGAGTTTTGAAACAAAGGATGTCTTTTAATTGGAATCTGTATTCCATTAGGGTAGAAGTAGATGAGTTTAGAGAGGAAACAGAGGACAAGATCACCCATGGCTTTGTTGGCCACTGTCAGGACTTTGGCTTCTACTCTGAGTGAGATGGAGCCACTGGGGGTTTTTGATCAGAGGAGTAACACTCTCTGACTTACATTTTAAATGAATTCCTTTCATTGCTGTGCTGAAACAGATGGTACAGGAGCAAGGGTCTACTCCATCAAAACACTACTGTGAAATTCCAGCAAGAGCTTTAGCATTCTGAAAACTTCTTTTATAATGCCTACTATTTATTTAATCCTACTAAATTCTGGACACTTCACATACATTTAGTCTTCAGAACAGCCGTGCAATGTTAGTGGAGTTATTCATACTTTACAGAAGAGGACAATGAGGTTCAGCGGGGTTCAGTAACTCGCCAACCAGTAGAGTAGCAGTGAGCCACACCCACAAGTCTGACTATAAACTATGTCCTTCCCACTGCATCACGTAGCTTCCAACCTATTTTTTAAAGAAAATATCTTATTTGTTCTTATTAAAATAAGTAGCAGTTTAAGAATTTAACCTCACTGGACTTGGTTACTTTTCCATATTTCTGTCACACTGGATTCTGAGTTAGATTATTAAAGGTTGGCAAAAGTTTGAATAACTAAAGTTGTACCTTTTCTCTCTTCCCTTTCATTGATAACTGATTTAGCAATGGTCACAAACAATATTTTTTCCTAGAAAAAAACAAAGAGTGTTACACAGAAAAGATTGGCAACAGTAGGTAAACTATTGGAGAAACCAAATTTCAAGCAAAAGTTTTATAAAGCATTACATGAGTAGAACAACTAGTTAGAAAGCCTATGTGTTCACAGTCTGTAAATGCTTACATGGAATTCCTCCCGCATATTATTTCTGGTAACCCCCTTTTTTGATAAATCATTGATATGCTCTCTAGTTGAGACTTTTTCTCATTTTTAAAAACAAGTTATACTTTTAAAAAATTCAAAATGAGATATGAACTTGGCAAATTGTTACCAACTATTAAGGTTCAAAGCTAGATAAAAGAATTAAAAAGGATTTGAGATTCTTTAAATAACAGTAAAATGGAAATTTTATATCATATATTGTGTCTACATGAGATGATGGATGTTAACTAAACCTATTGCTGTAATCATTTCACAATATATGTAGTCAAACCATCATGCTGTATACCTTGTACTTATACAGTGATGTATGTCAATTATTTCTCAATAAAACTGGAAAAAAAGGTGGAAAAAGCAGAAACAAATATAATAGCTAGTAGTGGAATTTCTAAGACGACTTCCTTTATTTAGTAGAAATGATAAAAGGAAACTCTAAGCCCACTCTTAATTGAAAGCCATGTATAAACTGTCTCCTAGAACGAACAAGAAAATAATTTTTACTTTAGCTAATTTTATAATTTTATCCAAAATCATAATATTCCAACTGGCCACATTTATAAACCTTGATATTTAATCATTATCATTGAGCCAGATGCTAAAGAATAATCTGAAGTTGTAAAACATATATTTCATTAGCTATAAGCATTGCGTGCCTGGTATTTAATCAATCCTGAAACCTACCAATTAAGTAATCTTTGGATAAATGTGTGTAACTGTGGAAAGAAAATATCAGAGATGTATAATAACGCGAAGAAGTCAAAGAACATTTTTAGTCATATGCCTGATGACTGGGATTCTAGGCCACTAATTAATTAACTGTAAAAATACTTATTGATATTGATCACACGCTAGGCACTAGGAATCCAATAGTGCATGACAGAAACAGTCCCTGTGGTCTTAGACTGTATAAATCAGATTACACTCCTCATATACACACCAATCCCAATAGTTCTTGGTATAATGTAAAGGTTATGATCTGCCAGACAGGGAAACATACAATGACATAATCATACTAAAGTGTATACTTCAGATTAATCAAGTAAAAGCTTTAGAATGATTTCTTCCTTCTACCATAATCTCTACTCTCATATTTCCCCCTGGCTCCCAACCTGCTCACTACCTCTCACCACATCTCTCCTTTCGCTTTTTTTTTTCCTGCCTCCTCCTCCATCTTTTCCCCTTGTCCCTTAGCCTCCTCTCCAACATGCCATGTGCATGTGTGCATTGTAACAGCCAGCCCATATTACAACTCGACATGGACAAAAAGAGGGAAGGAGTAAACTTGTAGATATGTTCATAATTATTGCGTTTAGCAAACGCATTTCATTCAATCAGGATTTTTAACTAATTCTTAAATCTCTAATTGTCATTCAGGGTTTCCCTCCCAGAGCCCTGGTTACGTTAGGAACGGTTTGGGAAGAGAATGAATTGCTGCTCTTGCTGGCTAAGCTCTGTCACGTGACTCTCTTCAGCCCCACCCCTTCTGGAGCTGTTTAGTTCAGCTAAGCACCGACAGAGGCCCAAGCATCGAGGAGCGGGAGAGGGAAGAGAGGCCAGATAGAAAGACCAGACATTTTTCTCCCCACAAGCATAAACCCAGGGAAAGATGTTCAAGTGTTTATGACAGTCGATAGGGTTGGAGAACTTGACTGAATGGACTTGGAAGACAAACATCAAAAGTGAAACTCTGATTATAGGGATGGTCTGTAGGGCAGAAAACATAAAAAGAATATACTCCTTGATGACCAAATTTACGATTTCAAGGCAAGGATACTACCCTCAGTATTCTTATTCTTTGAAATGCACTGTATGAAGTTCCACACCCTCAAGAGTTACAAAATTTGGATTTAGTTGATGAATAGAGAATAAAGTAAGTGAAAACTAGCACTCTTTTCTGTTCATCCAGCAGAAAGCGTCAGTTCTAACGGAGTAGAAATCCCAGAGAATTTAACATGCTGGAAACACCTGAAGAAAACATGCTAAAAGCTCTCATTCTTATATACAAAATAACTCGTTCTTTAGTTATTCAGAGACTAACCAAATTATGTTGTGATACAGAAACATGACATTTTAAAGAAATTATTTAGGGCTTTATCATTCTCTAGGGCATTTTCAGGATTAGATCACTTACGAAAACAAATGTAATAAGTTTTTGAAGTTATTCAGTAGATGGTTCGTAAAATATGTACTAAAAGATGCCTGTCTGTCTATCTATCTATGAATGCCAGATCCAAGTAGGAAAATCACTAGCAAAAATGACCACTGACCTCTGATTTAATGCCTGATCTGAATGCACCCACTGAAGTTCTATCACAGACCAAAGGAAATGTTGGAACTACTCAGCAGATAAGATTCCTTAGACAGACACTTCATGGGATTTTTTTTTTTTATCCCAAACTGAACAAATAAAAACAAATAAATACCTTGAGCAATCGTTTGACGCTGCTTCACACCCCTACTGGTGCACTTGCGCTACCTTCAAAACACCGGCTTCCTACACTGTCTTAAGTGTACATTTCAAACCGGGACGCAGAACTCCTAAAAAGTAAAGAGTAACAAAAATTAAGCAGATAGAAAGCGACTTCATGAACAAGACAGGAAATGTCGAAGAGAAAAAAAGTAATAATAACTCCTTGCACTATCTCCAGTTGGTTTAAGTAGGAGCCGGCAGAGTTTTGTAAGTAAAGCTGGAAACCTGATCCCCACGCCCTCTCTCCTCGGCTGGGGCCGGGTGTCCTGATCCTAGAAATAGCGACCGTGAAGGCAAAAGCGCTTTGAGAGTGCGCGGGCGCCTTTCGGTTGCCGAAATGTTAGATCGAGATCGACAGCTTACACTTATTCTTAAAATTGTTAAATGACATTTATGTAAAAGACACGGACTCACTTACTCGGAAGGCAGAGTTTTCCTCCCCTAGCCGAAGCACGCAGGGCGCCGGAGCGGATTATTTTTAGGGTGGTGGGAGATCAGCTGCTGCCTCCTATCGAGTTTCTGAATTGCACAAACTGCTCTGGGCTAGGGCGGACGCGGCGACTCCTCCGAGGCAGGAAGCTGGGCAGAAGCCCCGAGCGCAGCGCCTCGGACTGGAGACCCTCCCCACCCCCGCTCGGCCCAGCTTTCCGCATTCGAGCGGCAAACTTGGGGTGCGCGATGCGAACATTTTACAAACACAAGTATTACGCGTCCCCCAAACTTCATGAGACGCTGAAACTTACAACATAGGCTTCAATGATTCACCAGAGTCGGGTTTTCAAATGTCAAAACTCGCAAGGTACTCACTTGCACTTGTAAATTTTTTCCCAGGCTCTCTATGCGCCCTTTTATTAACCACAAAAAGAAGCGGATTTGGGGGTTTCACCATTTTCCCCGTGATCGGACCTGGGAAATGAAGGGCTCCTTCCAGGCAGAGGAACCCGCTGCCGGGCTGTATTAGGGCGTGCGAATGTCTCCCAGGAGCAAGGCAGGCTCAAGTGAAATATTTGCCCCAGCGACCCGGAAAACTTAGTCCTCTGGACCAGTCGCAGCGCTACCGAAGGGCGACCCTTACTCTAGCTCCCCGAAAGGGGGACTTTGAATCCCACGGCTGCGCAAACAGTTCCCCCCACTCTTGCTCCCGACCAGAGAGAGAATTCGTTCACAAGGAGATAACGTGTTTAAAATACACTCACCCCACAATAACTCCCCCCAGGACGCAAGCTGTAAATTTTGTCCCAGACAACTCTTTAAATAACACTCGATTTTCTCAGGGGCCAGTTCTCAGCTTGAAATAATCCCTGTTTTCAGCAACGGTCCTAATCTGATAAAGGATGGTCAGCCAGGCGGCCTCCGTGCGCGACCCCCAAGGGGCACCGCTCCAGGACCGCGGGCGGCCGGGGCTGGTCCCCGGACTTGAACCCTAAAGCCCAGCGGCCTCTGGCCTCTCGGACGTTGTGGGCAGAGGCCGATCCCCGCCCTGCAAACCCTGGGGGACTTCCCGCGGGCTCCTCTCTCTCCCGGGAAGGTCGCTGCGTTCTCGGGTGAGCGCCCGGCCTCGGCCAGAGACTTGAGCTTGAACCCGTGGCCGCTAGGGGTCTGCGGGGCCTCGTGGGGCGGCAGCCGGGAGGGTCCCGAAGACTCGGGTGCTGCGGCCTTTGAAAGCTTGGCAACTGCACTCTAGAGCTGTTTGCTGCGACGCAGGCGCAGGGGGAAAAGAGCGTGCTTCTAGCATGGGGATCCGGGTCCTGTGGGTGGAACCCGGGGAAACCCCGTGAAGAAGCCGGAAGGGGGACCAGAGGCTCCCCAGGGCATCTGGGGAGAGAGAACTGGAAATCGGGGCTGGGGGAGGGGTGGTGCAAAGAATCCCCAGATATACAGTCTGAGTGTGACTACACAAAACCAAGTTGACTTTGGGATTTAAAAAAAATTGCTGTGATTAAGATCACTTATAATGATTAAAAGTCATGTTTCTTATAGAAACTTTGGAAATTATGGAAAAGTGTAAGGGAGACCAGTGAGCCCCTTGTAACACTACTGAAAACATTCTGTTATGTTTTAACAAAAACGAGCGGTTTAGCGCAGTGATTAAAAGCATGGAGGCGAGAGCCAGCCTGCTATCTAATTCTGCTATCCCACCCGTCAGATCAGAGACTTTGGACAACTTGCTTAATCCCTCTGTGTATTAGTTTCCTCACCAGTTCAATGGGACAAGTAAAAAAATATACGCTTCATAGGTTTGCTGTGAGGGTAAATGAGATAATCCCTTTCAAGGGCAGCAACAGTGCCTGCGCCTTCAGTAAAAGCTAATGCATATGCTATCATTATTATTTTTTCTATGCATATTTTATATTGTTGGCAATCACAAGATAATTTGTCTCCTCACTATATCTTTTAAAACAATTATTTTCCGATGGTATTTTAAAATCTTTATAGAGATAGTTTAAATGGCGGCATAATATTCTATCGTGTGGCTATACCATAACTTTAAATCCATTTTCCTATTGTTGAACATATAGTTGCCAAAATTTTACTACCATATTTAACCCTCTGAGGAATATTTTCATAAAGTTTTTTTTTCTTTGTAGCAGATAAATTTTAAGATATAGTCTCTGAAAAGTAATTACAGGATCAAAAGTAGTACATATTTTTAAGGCTGTCGATATAGAATGCAAAATTATTTCCTAAAACATTCATATTAACTCCTCCCTAACTGTATGAGAGAGATGACCTATTATACTTATACCCAAACCCACATTGAGTATTCTTATATTTTAAAAATATCTTGTAACTTGACAGATAACATGCAATTCTGTTATTAAAATTCAACATTTTTTTCTAATGTTCATTAATCTTTGTATTTCCACTATTGTGAATAGCTCGCTCACGTACTTGTCCATCTTATGGGTCTTAATGAAGTTTCTTACAATTTGCATGAACTTTTAATAAGAGAAGGATATTAATCCAGTTTCATATATATAAGAAATGTTTTCTCAATTTGTCATTTTAAAAATGATAGTGGTCCTGCCTTTACAAAAAATAAAAACAATTGTTTTCATACATTCTACAAAGATTTGTTAGAGCACACACCATGTCCTGCCTGACACAGAGGTCAGTGATGGGTCAGCCCTCCAGAGTCTCTCCCTTCATGGCGCTTCCATCTTTATTTATTTATCTATTTTTTATTAAAGTATAGTTGACATACAGTATTGTATTAGTTTCAGGCATACAACATAGTGATTTGCCATTTATTTACATTACAAAATGATCGCCCTAACACTGATTACCATCTCTCACCATACGAAGTTATTACAATATTGTTGACTATATTGCCTATGCTGTCCATTACATCCCCATGACTTATTTATTTTATGACTGCAAGTTTGTACTTCTTATCCCCTTTGCCTGTTTCTCCCTTCCCCCAGCCCCGTCCCCTCTGGCAACCACCAAATTGTTTTCTGTCTCTATGAGTCTGTTTCTGTTTTGCTTTATCTATTCACTGTTTTGTTTCTTTTAGATTCTACATATAAGGTGAAATCATATGATATTCTTCTTTGTCTGGCATATTTCACTTAGCATCATACCCTCTAGATCCATCCATGTTGTAGCAAATGGAAGGATTTCAATCTTTTTTATGGCTGAGTAATATTTCATTGTGTATGTATACCATATCTTCTTTAACCATTCATCTGCCAGTGGACACTTAGGTTGCTTCCACATCTTAGTTATTGTAAATAATGCTGCAGTGGATATAGGACTGCATATATCTTTCCAAATTAGTGGTTTTGTTTTCTTTGGATAAATACCCAGAAGTGATATTGCTGGATTGTATGGTAGTTCTATTTTTAATTTTTTGAGGAACCTCCATTCTGTTTTCCATAGTGGATGTACTAATTTACATTCCCACCAACAGTGCACAAGGGTTCCCTTTTCTTCACACCCTCACCAACACTTGTTATTTGTTGTCTTTTTTGATAATAGCCATTCTAACGGGTGTAAGGTGATATCTCATTGTGGTTTTAATTTTCATCTCCCTGGTGATTAGTGATGCTGAGCACCTTTTCATGTACCTGTTGGCCATCTGCATGTCTTCTTTGGAAAAATGCCTGTTCAGGTCCTCTGCCCATTTTTTAACCAGATTACTTGATTTTTGATATTGAGTTGTATGAGTTCTTTGTATATTTTGGCTATTAACCCCTTATCAGATATATGATTTGCAAATATTTTCTCCCCTTAGGTAGGTTGCCTTTTCGGTTTTTTTGATGGTTTCCTTTGTTGTACAGAAGCTTTTCAGTTTGATGTTGTCTCACTTGTTTATTTTTGCTTTTGTTGCCTTTGCTTTTGGTGTCAAATCCAAAAAATCATTGCCAAGACTGATATCAAGCAGCTTACTGCCTGGTAAGATTCAAGATTATTTGAGCTGTTCAATGCACTTTTCATTTCTCTATAAATTTAAAATTAGCTTAAAAATTTCTACAAAATCCTGCAGAGATTTTGATTTTGATTGTATTGAATCTATAAATCAATCTGGGGAGAATTTGCATCTTAACAATCTTGTGTCCTCCAATCCATGAACACAATACACATATCTCTTTATCTAGGTCTTCTTTTATCTCTCAGACATGTTTTCAACTTTTCAGTGTATGTGCCTTGTACATAGTTCATTGAATCAATCCCAAAACATTTTATGATTTTAATGCTATTTTTTAGTATTATTTAATGCTATTTTAATAGTATTTTTTCAATATCGTTTTCCAGTTGTTCATTACTAGAATATATAAAATGACTTCGTATCCTGCAACATTGCTAGATTCATTTATGAGTTGTAGTGTTTTTGCAGATTCTTCAAGATTTTCTACATTCATGATCATGTCATCTACAAATAAAGTTTTACTTCCTTCTTTATGTGTATCTTGTTTCGTTTTTCTTGCCTTATTGCACTGGCATCATACAAGCTCCTCTTGTACGATGTTGAATAGAAATAATGAGAGTGGATATCATTGGCTTTTTCTTAGTCTGAGTGGTAAAAGGATTCAATTTTTCACTATTAAGTGTAATGTTATCTGCAGGTTTTTTATAGATCCCTTTTATCAGGTCAGAGACATTTCCTGCTATTCATAGTTTGTTGAAAGTTTATCATGAATGGATGTTGAACTTTGTCACATTTTTTCCCTGCATTTATTGTGCTGATCATGTGCTTTTTCTCCTTTATTCTGTTAATAGGCCAAAATGAATTGTTAAATTTTTGAGTATTAAACAAACCTTGCATTCCAGGGATAAATTTCCCCTGGTCATGATATCATCTCCTTTGTGTATATTCCTGGCTTCAATTTACTAATATCTTATTTTGACTTTTTGCATCTATCTTAATGAGGGACATTAGTCTAAAATTTTCTTTTCCTTTCTTTGCTTTTTGGTTTTTGATTTTTGGGTTTTTTTGGGAGTTTTGTTTGTTTTGGCAATGTCTTCATTCAATATTGAGATCAGGATTTTTCTGGCTTCATAAAATAAATTTGGAAGTATTCCCATCTCATCTACTTTCTGAAAGAATTTTATAAGATT